ATTTTGGAGCATACAGAACATATATAACAGAGTGGTGAAAATGCTGCAGAGAATACGCCAACGGCTTTAATAAAAATATCCTTTCGCATTTCAAAAGTGTTGTGAAAGCAGTGTATTTGGGGAAAGGAATCCTTGCAGTAGCGGCAACAACATACATTTAAATTTAGGGATTGTGGTTTGGCAAAGGTGTGGCCGAAATCAGAAGTTGTGCTTCCTAGGCCTTCCCTCAAACAACAGGGTGCCGGCCTTTTCACTGGAAGCTGATCTGTCAAGGATTTGCCAATATAATTCAGATCTGAAAACTAGTCAGTGTTTACAAAAGGAAGATTATTTTCCATATCAATGTAAACTGTTTTCCCCTCCTTCCTAAAGGTACAGATTTTGAACAGGGCTCAGAAGAAACAGAGCCCCTTACCGATCCAGATTCACCAAACGCACAGAGCTAGCTCTCGGAGATCGGCTTACGCCTTTTCTCACCAAGAAGGCTTTGGGGAACTTATAACATCTGGAAAGAATATGCGTGTCAACAATATACATTCAGTATTTGGGATAGGAAAAACGATGCAGAATAGCTGGATTGAGAACTTGCGGAAGAGAACATCGGAGTGTGAAATTCAGCTGAGAAAGAACTCCAAGACTATAAATCATTGAGTATGTGGAACAAAAGAGTGTGCTATTGTTGCACAGAATACTTACACTCTATTTATCTACTTGCATTGGCGTGCTTTCAAACAGCTAGGTCGACAGGAGCTGGGACAGAGCAACGGGAGCTCACTCTGTCGCGGGGATTTGAACCGCCAACCTTCTGATCGACCACAGCGCCACCAGCATCCCATTTGAAGGTGGGACCTTCTGCTGGCAAGGAAGGTGCTGTGCTACTAACCTAATACTTTGGTGTGGTTTTTTCAGAGGGTTGGTGGGAATATGAGAGAGGTATATGGGGATCTACACCCATATTCCTATTACTTCTGGTTACTAGATATTGCAGGTTTTCATTATGCTTTAAAAACCTGCCAAATCTATTCCACCACAAGATGCACATACATTTTCCTTCTTCCGCTGTTGCATCTGCCTATCTGTACCACATTCAACTTGCCTTAAAACAACCCTCTGTCTCTAACCCTTGGCTGTAATCCCACAAACAAGCTACACCACAAATTGAAGGCGGTGAAGGTCCTGTGTGAGTGTCTGTAGGCAGTTGGAGGATGGATGGTGACTAACAGATTGAGGTTGAATCCTGATAAGACAGAAGTATTGTTTTGGGGGACAGGGGGCGAGCAGGTGTGGAGGACTCCCTGGTCCTGAATGGGGTAACTGTGCCCCTGAAGGACCAGGTGCGCATCCTGGGAGTCATTTTGGACTCACAGCTGTCCATGGAGGCGCAGGTTAATTCTGTGTCCGGGGCGGCTGTCATCTGGTACGCAGGCTGAGACCCTACCTGTCTGCGGACTGTCTTGCCAGAGTGGTGCATGCTCTAGTTATCTCCCGCTTGGACTACTGCAATGCGCTCTACAGGGAACCAGGCAGAGGGCCTTCTTGGTAGTGGCGCCTGCCCTGTGGAATGCCCTCCCATCAGATGTCAAGGAAATAAACAACTATATGACTTCTAGAAGAGTTCTGAAGGCAACTCTATTTAGGGAAGTTTATAACATTTGATGTTTTATTGTGTTTTTAATATTCTTTTCGGACACAGCCAGAGTAGCTGGGGAAACCCAGCCAATTGAGTACGGTATAAATTATTATTATTATTATTATTATTATTATTATTATTATTATATGATTTGTCTCCACTGAAACAGGCAGAATTAGCTGCCTTTAGGAAATGTGGGAAGCTGCGTTATGCCTGGTCAGCCTCTATTTTTCCATCTAGCCTAGTGGTGTCTGTTCTGAGTGATAGCAGTTCTCCGAAGAAGGGTTTTACTTTCTGAGCCTGCTACCCGGCACTTTAATCTGGAGAACAGTGGGACTGAACCCGGGCTCTTCTACAGACATAAATATACATAATTTTATTTGTATGCCGCCTTTCCACAGTTCAAACCATGCTCGTGCTTTGACTCTGTTCTAAACACATTTACCGTATTTTTTGCTCTATAAGACTCACTTTTTCCCTCCTAAAAAGTAAGGGGAAATGTGTGTGCGTCTTATGGAGCAAATGCAGGCTGCGCAGCTATCCCAGAAGCCAGAACAGCAAGAGGGATTGCTGCTTTCACTGCGCAGCGATCCCTCTTCCTGTTCTGGCTTCTGAGATTCAGAATATTTTTTTTTCTTGTTTTCCTCCTCCAAAAACTAGGTGTGTCTTGTGGTCTGGTGCATCTTATAGAGCGAAAAATACGGTATCTATGAAGAATTTGTATATATTGTTATATTTCTACTGCAGTCATGTATATACTCAATATTTTATACAAATAAATTATTTTAAATATACAAGCAATCTATGTATGTATCTTTTGGTGTTCTTCTACATCTCCAGTGCCCCCTTCCCTACCTTATAAAAAAACATTATTCAGAATCGTGGTTTGCGTGACCCACTAAGGAAGATAAAATAAAATTTCAAGACTGTAATTAATTTATTCAGCATCCACTTAAATATTACTCAGTTGATGAACTTGACCCAGTGATGCCAGCTTCTCAAAGTCCTGAGAGTCTGTTACACATCCCATGGTCCCTGCCACCCCTTGCCTTTTAGCACCCCCCCCCAGGTAATCCTAGTGCCCCTAGGGAACCACTGATTTAATGGCTCTCTAACTGCTCTAAAAAGGGACACGGGTGGTGCTGTGGGTTAAACCACAGAGCCTAGGGCTTGCCGATCAGAAGGTCGGCTGGTTCGAATCCCCGCGACGGGGTGAGCTCCCGTTGCTCGGTCCCTGCTCCTGCCCACCTAGCAGTTCGAAAGCACGTCGAAGTGCAAGTGGATAAATAGGTACTGCTCCAGCGGGAAGGTAAATGGTGATTCCGTGCGCTGCTCTGGTTCGCCAGAAGCGGCTTAGTCATGCTGGCTCCCTCGGCCCATAAAACGAGATGAGCGCCGCAACCCCAGAGTCAGCCACGACTGGACCTAATGGTCAGGGGTCCCTTTACATTTACCTATGATGAGGTCAAATAGGAAACACCAGCTGGAGTCCAACAACATCTGGAGAGCCACAGGTAAGAAGGCATAGTTCTCCATTCCTCTTCTTTCTTCTTTGGTGATCACTCATAGCCGACTAAAATTGTCTTCCATAAACAGGGTTTTAGCAGTGACTCCGTAAGTGACTGTGGAGGCCAATTCTGGATCCACACATCTTTCCACAGTGGGGACATAGGTTTCCAGGCGAGGGTTGATCACGGTGAGGGTTTGCCACGGTGAGGGTTTGCTTTCTTCTCAGCACGCTTCTCCCTTTCGTCCTGAGTTCGAGCATCTTCAAAGCCTATGACAATTGGAGCGCTCGCAGGCCAGTGTTTCCCAGTTGTCGGTGTTTATACTACATTTCCAGCAGGTGTTTGTACTTGTCCTATACATTTTTGCCAGCTTATTAGGAGTCTGTGCTTATATTTTCTAAGTTTACTAGTTATCACTGAAAACAACATAACTGGCACTTTCACAAGATTATGTTGTGTGGACATCTTTCACAAGCTTCCTGACAATGTTTTTTCCCCCCAAGCTCCTTATGGGGATTTTTACTCCATTTCAAAACTTCTAAGAGGACCATTTTCCATTTTAACTTCCGAAGATTATCAAACAGCCAATCATCCCTGCCTAGTTTGCCATTCTATACGGATTGGTGCTAAGCCCCTCTCTAAATTCAAACATCAAGAAGACAGGAGGATGCTGTTTATCTGCCAACGGGGAGTTGAAATTAACTGAAGCATTTGTGATCTTATCCCATGTATATTATATCCAAAGATCCTCCTGGACCTTTGAAGTCTGGCTAAACTTTAGGCTCTAGCACTTCTGTTTTCCATATTTGAAGACATGCAAATAATCTTGCCAGATAAATAACGCCTGCAAGACTGATCAGGGAACAATTTGAACTGCCCAAGCTTACCTTAAAAGCCCTGGTCCTGAAGAACTCGAAGGCTCACTTGCCTCCATATCAGCCCATCTGAAGACCCTTTGGAGACCCTCCTCCAGCTGCTACTGCCAGCTAAGACACACAGGTGGTGACTGAGACCTTGACCTTCTCAGTGGCGGCACCTCATTTGTGGAACAATCCCCCCAGAAGGATTTGCATGGCACCAACCTTGTGGCCTTTTCAGAGCCAGGCAATCCCACATCTTTCTTTTTATTTCGCCAAGCCTTTTGATAGCCTTCCTCCATATGAATTTCTTTTTTTTATATTCTGTTTGTATTTATTGTGTTGTTTTAGTTATGTTTCTTCCCTCCCTAGGGGAATTGCTGCAGTGCATGTTTGTAACTGATTTGTTTCGTGCATTATGATTGTCCTTCCGATATCATGAAATTGGTCAAATTCTTCTTCTGTGTACAATTATATTAATGGTTTTGAGTGTGCACCATCCCTGTAGTTTGGGAAAGCCGAGAGTTGTTAAAGATTCATTTAACAAGGCAAGGAAGGCGTGTTTCACTGGATAAAAGAATTGGATAGAGCATGGTGCTGATAATACCAAGGTTGCAGGTTCCATCCCCATATGGGACAGCTGCATATTCCTGCAATTCAGGGGGCTGGACTAGATGATCCTCAGGGTCCCTTCCAACTTGATTGTATGATTCTCTCTTCTTGGGGAAGAGTCGTAGATCAGTGGTAGAGCATCTGTTCTGCATTGTGATAAGTCCCAGTTTCCATCCAGACATCTCTAGGTAAGGCTGGGAGAGACCCCACTGTCTGGTGTTTTTACATGAGTAGAATACGTGCTTTTATTTAAAATGCATCCCTGGGTTATTTGTGGGGCATAGGAATTGGTTCATATATTTTTTCAAAATATAGTCCGGCCCCCCACAAGGTCTGAGGGACAGTGGACTGGCCCCCTGCTGAAAAAGTTTGCTGACCCTTGGGCTAGTATCTATGTTACATTACGGAATAAATGTTGTGAAAGTGTTCAGCTGGAACCTGGGTGAGATTCATAAACAAATTCACAGTCAACTCATCAAGGCGAGTTAAAAGGATGCAAGTTGCCAGGTTGAAACCTGTTGAGGACACTCTAGGCAGGCTGGCGGTACAGCCTGTTACTACTTACTCAATTAAATCCCATGATGCAAGGAAAGCCAACCAATAATTGCATTGCTGAACATCCCAGAGACAAAATAACCACAACTTCAAGAAGAGCAACGCAAATGGTTTTTGTACTTTAGCCTTTTGTTCACTGATGTTTTGAATGTACCTGGAAAGGTTTCACAATATTAAGATACAATTTGATCGCTATACAGTGGTACCTCGGGTTAAGTACTTAATTCGTTCCGGAGGTCCGTACTTAACCTGAAACTGTTCTTAACCTGAAGCACCACTTCAGCTAATGGGGCCTCTTGCTGCTGCCACGCTGCCGGAGCACAATTTCTGTTCTCATCCTCAAGCAAAGTTCTTAACCTGAAGCACTATTTCTGGGTTAGCGGAGTCTGTAACCTGAACCGTATGTAACCTGAAGCGTATGTAACCCGAGGTACCACTGTATTTTATTATAGTCTCTTATGTAAATATAATGACTGCTTCCCACATCAAATGGGGGGCGCCTTTGCGTGGTCGTGCGCAGCCCCCGGATCCCAGTGCGGCTCCTGGTATTACGGGCTGGCTCCGCCCTCCCCAGGCTGGATACCTGGAGGTCTCTGCCTACCTGGGGAGGCATTGCCAGGGGATTGGCCAGGTAAGGGGAGGGACCATCCCTCCCACACAACAGAAGGTGAATCTTACCTGCAAAGCGGCAGTCGGCTCCAGAGCTTCTCTCACCCTCCCCTCCCTCAGTTAAGTCTTCCTTTTGCAGGTTAACCTCTTCTCCACGGGTATGTAGGCGCTGCTACGTCAGGGTCACTGTTGAAGGGCCGGAAAGGAATTTCCCTGCACTGGCAGGTTTTGCCTTCCCCGTAGCAAAGTGTCACAACTTTGGCGGTTTCAGGCCTTGGGCAGAATCCTTTAGTCTATCTTCCCTAAATGGGGGGGGGGGCGTGAAGCGGTAACCCACATCCCCCTTGCGGCGGTGATCTCAGGGTTCCCCGTTAAAGGGGTCTTGAGGAGAGGCATTGGCCATACGCCGAGAGGTCATTGCTCTCCCCTGCGGCGGCGGTGAAACGGGGGGGGGGGGGGGCTCTCTGCTTGAACATATGTTCTCCAGAGCCAGCCCAATCCCCACACATTCTGGATAACCCTGAAGTCTCCCAGATCCCCGGCTGGGGACTGGGAAGGATAACTGCCCAGTGCCTGAGCCAAGGTTTCCCTAGATCCGAAACTTAATAAAATTGTGGCCAATTTTAATCCCACAGCACGTTGTCTTGAGTCATTATTCCACTCAGGAGTCGCCTGGGGTTGGGGGGACTCTGCCTGTCCACGCAAATGTATGAATCCATTGTGAAGCAATTTTTAGTTCTCCACATATCTGCATCAGTTTACTTTGGGGGGGAAATTATCATGAAAATTCACCAGCGGCCAAACATTACCCTAAAACCACTTCTGTCAGAGGAGAGTCCCCGTGCTTGTAATGTGCATTTAGTAAAGGGGTTATGGATCTTATGTATTTATGAAGGCATAACCGCATAAAAGCTTTGTGTCCATAACAGGGTTTTAGCTAACATTTTTGCATCCAAATTTATCTGCTGCTTGTTTGCTTTAGCTACTATGAAATAAAGATGGCTAAACTGAAAAACCTTGCAATAAAGAGAATTATACAGGCATCCCCATCTACCTCCTTCAGGCTGCTTGTATTAATATTTCTGTGGCCAATTGTTATAGGAAATACTTGATCTGAGCATTAATCACCATAAGGAAAAGTCTAGTCTTGCTAAGTGTGTTACAGATGTTCTTTTAATACACAAACAATGTTGGTTTCATCCATCTATTATTTTAGAATAAAGTTAATCATCTTGTAAAATTCCATCCTCGAAGCACATAAAAATAAAATTATATTTCTACCATGAGTTTGTACAGCGTTATATTCGGGATGCGGTTGTAGTAAACGGATTATTCATTTGTCCTTGGCAAAGCCTGCAAGCAAGCCCTTTGGCAGAATGTTAGAAGACGTAATAAAAAAATCTGGTGTTTGTCTTTTACCCACAAAGGTCAGCCTTTCAATTTCCTTTGGTGGCCAGAGTTCATCCTCCTCCTTCTCAAAACACCAGGATCGGGGTTTGTTTGCTCTAAGGGATCAAGAGATGCAGGAGATTTTAAGCGAGAATTGGAGTTGTGGTGAGAGCAGTACATAGGACATACTATTTTTTTTATTGCATTGTAAACCACTTTGATATTTTTATGACACTGCAATGAAAAATAATAATAATTTTATAAGAATATAAATAAAATAGAGACACAGCACAAGGCACCACCCTGTGTTCTTGAGTGAGACCATTGGCCCATCTACCACAGCAATATTGGCACTGGCTGGCAGCAGCTCTCCAGGGTTTCATAGAATCATAAAATCATAGAATTGTACAGCTGGAAGGGACCGCGAGTGCCTGGAGGCGGTTGGAGGATGGCTGGCAGCTAACAGATTGAGGTTGAATCCTGACAAGACAGAAGTACTGTTTTGGGGGACAGGGGGCAGGCGGGTGTGGGGGACTCCCTGGTCCTGAATGGGGAAACTGTGCCCCCTGAAGGATCAGGTGCGCAGCCTGGGAGTCAATTTGGACTCATAGCTGTCCATGGGGGCGCAGGTTAATTCTGTGTCCAGGGCGGCTGTCTACCAGCTCCATCTGGTATGCAGGCTGAGACCCTACCTGCCTGTGGACTGTCTTGCCAGAGTGGTGCATGCTCTAGTTATCGCCCGCTTGGACTACTGCAATGTGTGGGGCTACCTTTGAAGGTAACCCAGAAACTGCAATTAATCCAGAATGCAGCAGCTAGACTGGTGACTGGGAGTGACTGCCGGGACCACATAACACCGGTCCTGAGAGATCTGCATTGGCTTCCAGTACGTTTCCGAGCACAATTCAAAGTGTTGGTGCTGACCTTGAAAGCCCTAAACAGCCTTGGCCCAGTATACCTGAAGAAGCGTCTCCACCCCCATCGTTCAGCCTGGACACTGAGATCCATCTCCAAGGGCCTTCTGGCAGTTCCCTCATTGCAAGAAGTAAGGTTACAGGGAACCAGACAGCGGGCCTTCTCGGTAGTGGCGCCCGCCCTGTGGAATGCCCTCCCTTCAGATGTGAAGGAAATAAGCAGCTATCTTCTCTTTAAAAGACATCTGAAGGCAGCCCTGTTTAGGGAAGTTTTTAATATTTAATGCTGTATTGTTTTTAACACTTGATTGGAAGCCGCCCAGAGTGGCTGGGGAAACTCAGCCAGATGGGCGGGGTATAAATAATAAATTATTATTATTATATCTAGTCCAACCCCCTGCATAGCAGGAATCAGAAGATGCCAGGGATTGAACCTGGGACCTTCTGCACTGACTGCATGTGCTCTGCCCACTTTGCCCAGATTGAACTTCCCGGTCGTGACAAGGAGACTTGGAAATACAAGTCCTGTGGGCAGCCTTCCAGCATGCTCCTGGTGTGCGTTGCTCTGAGAGTCTCCATGCCGTCAGTGCCAAGTGGAATGTGCCTTTGGGGTCACATGGCCCCTATTTATAGACCACACAGATGCCCTCCCTTCCTCAGCAAGCAAGGTCACTAAACAGGCAGTCCCCCGGGGCTGCCCTTTTGTGTGCCATGGGGGACAAGCACAGAGCCAGCTCCTAAGGACACCAATAATTTCAGGTTAGTCTCTTGCTAGCTTTTCTTCAGCCTGTGTGCCACGCACCTTAGCTGTCCCTCTAACAGTCCCGAAACCCCTTGGCTTAAGTGTACAGAGGAATTTTCTCCCTTGGCTCATTCCCGCTGCCCTTGCGGTCAGGAGGCTGGCAGGCCACAGCAGAGGGGGAAGATGAAGGCCAAAGTCATCTCTCATTCAGAGTACACAGCACAACATCCCTTCCCCACTTTGGAGGAAAGCTAAAGCAGCCTTAAACTAAATCTCTTACCTAGGGGAAATTGAAAAGGAGAAAACCTTCTTGCCATTACAGGTGAAACCAGGGCTTAATTTGACTTGGGGACCTGATTGTAATGCCAGGAAAAGGCTCACCTCTGAAATATGCAGGTATTTGCAATGAAGCGCGTTGCAGAAAGACAATCTCCCAGTCCCAGTAGGTTTGTGTGTGGTGCATTCAGTATCTTGGAAATTTCATCTTTCTTTCTTATGGAAAAAGCAAGTTCCTACCCCTTATTGCTGTGAACTTTAATGGGCAATGCTCTTGAAGTTTCAAAACCCAGCTGAATGGGATTTCTAGTGAGAGGTGAGCCTAGTTTTTTGGTGTTCCTCATAATTAACAGAAACAATCTGAGCCTGCAATCTTATACTCCTTACCTGGGAGTAATTCCCGTTGAATTCCCTAGGGTTACATGTATGGTAGTAATTTAATAGGAATTAGGAAATTTATTTGCAGCTATTTTAGAATTCAACCTTTCCCGATGCAGAATTTCAGGCACTTTGGCCACATTATTTTAACTTCTCAGGTGCTTAAAAGGTCCATGCCCACATTCCCTCTCTGTATATAAGGTGTGGACAGTTGTATGATTATCACATACAACTTGCTTGTAAGCCTGGATTTTTTGTTTTATAACTTGCCAAACTAGGCAATACATACTATTTGTATCTGTGCCTATAGCTGCCGTTTTTTAAAAAAACAAAACAGAAACTGGCAAGTTGCCTGTGTGAGTGAGATATAGTTTGGAACCCTGTCTCCACTATGGTCCTGATCTGGGTATCACTTTCCTCCCTCCCCTCGTGGAGCTACAATTCCCAGAGTGGTTTAACAATCAATCCCTCTTCATAGGGAGGGACATGGGTGGCGCTGTGGTCTAAACCACTGAGCCTGTTGGGCTTGCTGATCGAAGGTTGCCAGTTTGAATCCCCACAATGGAATGAGTTCCTGTTGCTCTGTCCCAGCTCCTGCCAACCTAGCAGTTTGAAGAAGAGTTTCGATTTGATATCCCGCTTTATCACTACCTGAAGGAGTCTCAAAGCGGCTAACATTCTCCTTTCCCTTCCTCCCCCACAACAAACACTCTGTGAGGTGAGTGGGGCTGAGAGACTGGCCCAAGGTCACCCAGCGGCTTCATGTGGAGGAGCAGGGAATCGAACCCGGTTCACCAGATTACGAGTCCACTGCTCTTAACCACTATACCACACTGGCTCTTGAAAGCACACCAGCACAAGTAGATAAATAGGTACCACTGCAGTGAGAAGGTAAAGGGTTTTTCCATGCGCTCTGGTTTCCGTCACGGTGTTCCTTTGCGCCAGAAGCGGTTTTAACCCCATAGTCCCTTTTGACTGAACTTACCTTTACCTTTACCTTCACAGGGAACTCTGAAAATTGTAGCTCTGTGAGGGGTGTAGGGTGGGGGTGTCTCCTAACAACTTTCAGCACCCTTAACAAACTACAACTCCCATAATTCTTTAGGGCAAGCCATGACTGTTTAAAGTGGCTTATCAGCACCTTAAATGCATGCTGTGGATGTGGCTTTTGTCAGTTAGTCTGATGTCATTGCTCCTGTTCTGAAAACTGTGCTTCCCCACATTCCCCTTCTATTACATTACTAGATGAGTTTCAGTCTGGTCCTTTGACTCCTGAGCACAATTCCTGGCTTTTGTCTCCTTCTGTAGCTTCCTATGAGTCAGCTGTGACACAAACATGAGTTTAAAAACCCTTTGCACAATGTGCAGGGTCTCGCAGAAAACACTATGAGAAAATGTTTCTGGTGTGCTTCCGCCCGCCCAAAAAAAAGCTCTCAGAGATTGCTAAATTCTGTACTCAAAGCCAACCCAACCCCTAATCTCCAGACATTTAGCCAGAAGAGCATCTTGCCACACAACCTGAATGGGCCTTGTGGAACACGCAATAATTAAGTTCATGCATCTCGTGTCTAAATCAATTTGGATCTAAGATTAAGGACAGGAGCAAGGGAGCTTCAGAGTGGGCATTTCAACAATTTATTTTCATTTTGACCTGAAGCAAAACAAACTCCTCTAAAATTTATGTAAGGCTAGCATGATCTTCAGTTTGTCAGATCTGGCTTCTTGCCCAGCTCAACTGTTCTTCAGCAAAGTTTGCTGACCTCTTTGAATCACACGTTTCTGTTGTAAAGGCCTACACCTGGCGTGTGACTTCCCCCCTGACAGATCCTGAGAAATAAAATGGAGGTTCTTCGCAGCAGCTGAAAATGGCCTCTGTAGAAATGCCATTGTCCAGAGGATGAACATGTGTCTCTGTGTGTAATCTGTTTCTGTGACATTGGTACAGTTTAAGTTTCTATTAAAAATAATTTCTCTTTGCGGGAACTCACGGGTTCTTTTCACTCATGTATCTGCTTGAGAATTAAGACATTTGTCCAAAGTACAGGCAAAGAGTGGAAAGAATAAACCACAAAACTCTTGTTTGGTATGATTGGATAATTCCTTTTGTATACTAGGGTTTTATTCTGTAAGAGTTTCCACATTTTGCTAGCCTAAAGAAAATCCAATAACTTTGCTGACCTTTAAAATTTAAATCATGGCCGGTTTAACTGTAATCCATGTGCCCAATTTGTTTGTAATTAGGAATATCTCTCAATTCAGGCTGCATCTATGGCCTGGAAGAGTCTATGAAACTTGCTAGCTTGTAGTTTTGCATTAATTGCCCTTTTCAGGCAAATTGCCGTAGGAGACTCCTGGGTATCTTTCCCTAGCCTAGTAGACAGTTGAGGTAAGTTGATTACATGTCAGGTTCCTGGGCTTGCCAACATGTCTGTAGCCTCTGCTTTTAGAATAAAAAAATCTGGTTTAGCAGCTGATAATTTCACATACACATATTTCCAGAATGACTTTCAAGCATTTGCGACTTTGTGTTCTGCCTCACTGAGGGATAGCATGAACTAAGTGCAAGGTAATTAAAAACTTGTATACCTGCAGGGCAACTGGACCAACATCAAGTGCAGAGTGCTTTGTTTCTGGAACTGCCAAGATGGCAGGCTTGGTGCGATGTGCTAGCAACTCTTCATTGCCCTTCCTGCTGACATTAAACACAAGGACGTTCCAGCCATCAACTGGACAACGCTCTTTCAAAACTTTCCCTACTTTATGGAGTGACCAGTCGGCAAAAGGTACAGTGTGTCCTTGAGTGGCCAAAAACACTTTTCTCATACTGGTAATATGAAAACAAAAGCCTCTTTTTCTTCTTCCTCATCTTTCTTCGATGGCATCTATAACGAAAAATATTGCCATATTTCCAAAACTGATAGTATCACACAGTCCATTGAAAGGGACCATGAAAAGCATCAGAAAATTCTTCACTTGAGGGCCTAATATAACATTTGACATTCAGCAGTGGGTTTTAGCCCAGACACTGAGGTCCTCTTCCGTGTGTCTTCTGGCGGTTCTCTCACTGCGTGAAGTAAAGTTACAAGGAACCAGGCAGAGGGCCTTCTTGGCAGTGGCACCTTCCCTGTGGCACACCCTCCCATCAGATGTGAAACTTCAGGAAAGTTTTTAATGCCTGACATTTTATTATTTTTCATATTTTGCTGGAAGCAGCCCCAGAGTGCCTGGGGAACATAGAAGGCACAAAAGTTGACATAGGTAAATGGCATTTCTGTGCGCTCTGGCTTCCGTCGCACAGCAGTTCCTGTTTTATCTACTTGCACCGGTGTGCTTTCAAACTGCTAGGTTGGCAGGAGCTGGGACAGAGCAATGGGAGGTCACTCCGTTGCAGGGATTCAAACAGCTGACCTTGTGATCGGCAAGCCCAAGAGGTTCAGTGGTTTAGACCACAGCGCCACCCGTGTCCCATACCCATGACCCACTTCTGTCATGATGTTCCGTTGTGCCAGAAGCTGTTTAGACATGACCCAGAAAGCTGACCGTGGACAAATGCCAGCTCCCTTGGCCTGAAAAGCGAGATGAGTGCCGCAACACCATAGTCGCCTTTGACCGGACTTAGCTGTCTAGGGATCCTTAACCTTTACCTAGTGCCCCATTAGCCGTAAGGGGCTAGCCTACAGTGTCCTCAAGGAGTTTGAAACTGACACAGATGAAGCAACCTCAGTCCATTTGCCCAGCTGGGGTTTAATCCAGCTTCAGCTTCCCCCCTCCATGTTCTTCTTGTCTCCCTTAGGGAGGGGAACACGGCCTCTACAAAATGCCAACCACAAGCAATATTTCCTAAGCAAATAGGTCAAGCCTGTACTACCTTGTGAAAGGACTGCCTTTAACCCAAAGGAGATGTCTGGAAAATTCAGAAGGGGATGATGTAATGGATCCTTTGAGGATTGGATAAAGTATGAGTTGCTAACCTTTGGGGGCTCATTTCGAATTCTGGAAACTTTTGTAGCACCAACACAAAATGGCCGTCATGGGGCCATGGCTAGTTATTAAATGGCTGCTGTTTGCTAGTTACAAAGAACAAGCAACTTTCTCAAGAAACAAGGTGGAACTGGGGCCTAAAGCCCAGAACACAAAGCCACTGTGTTGTACCTCACAAACAAAACATGCATTAAATAATTGGTCTTCGGCAGGCAGGTCAGGACTGACTGCTGGGTTGCGGCCTGATCTGTGGTGGGTCACAACACCAGCACTACTACTCCACAAAAAAATATGGTTTAAAAAGTGAGAAATGGATCCTCAAATGCATGCTGAAGGCAGGTCTTAAAAGTTCAAAAAGAGCTGCATTACATGCTGTGTTATTAGAGAGGCAACTGGCATTTCCCCCCTATTATTTATTGGGGAATGTAGGCTAGAACGTACATCTCAGTCATCAGGGTTTCAGTAACATTACTCCGTGATTCAGCCAAACTTTGTTCAAAGACGCATGACATTTAACAGTTCTCCAGTGTAATCTGAGTTGGGTTTCTTTGCAACATAATCATCAGGTTAGTTTCTGAACTCCACATTCTTCAAATAGCTTCCTAAGTTGTGTTATTGGTCGTGGTTACTTGCTTGGTAGTCATAATTAAAAAAAGAAAACAGATGAAAACAGTTCTGCAATGGCAGATAAGGCATTTGGTTTCTGACAGGGAGGATATTGATTAATGGCTAAGAATGGAACTCTCATCCTTTAGAAATGAGGGGGGAAAGTCTTCATGGAGTTCAATGGTCAATAGTGATTAATAGATTATGACAGCTGCACTATTTATAAGACTAACCTGCTTTCTGAGTGCCGATATTAAATTTAAGCGCTTTTTTATTACCAGTATGTATCCCTCATTCCGTATCCTGGGAGGACTCTCCAGATGTTGCTGGACTCCATCTCAACAGTCCCAAGCTGCATGGTCAGGAATAATGGGAGTTGTAGTCCAACAATGTGTGCATTAGGGATGTCGGAATTCTGAGGAAAACAGAAATGGGAGCAGAAATTGCCAATGTTCATTTATTCGCCCCATGTCTAGAATGGAAATCAATCCAGCGAATACAATTTGTATTCCCTGTTGTTGCTTTCAGTCCACAAACAATATGTAATTGATTATGCTTCCCTGCAGTTTGCATTGTGTTTCCTTTGCATTTAAGTTAATGGGATAGAATAACACAGTGGTGTTATAATTTCACCACAGCGCATAGCAAAATGAATAATGTAGTTTTTGGCAGAATCCCAACTGCAGCAGAACAGAGACAGTGTTGCACATGATGTGTGCAATGTGGAATAGAAACGAATGCATTCTTATCTCTCTAATCTAGATAAGTCCATAGTACTGAACAGCAAAATTCTCCCACAATATTTCTGAATCCAGAGAGGCTCAAGCATGTTTTCATTTTTTTATACTAGACTCACTGAAGCACTTTTGGCAGTGTTGGCAGTGAACCCCTGCCCCTTCTGGGAGCTTCTAAACCATGCTAGGATATTGTTGACTGGATATAAGAGACTTGCTATCTGTAAAACAGGTCTTATGTGTCCAAAATCTGCCCATTATCTGTAGCCCTTTACACTGAATGAGCTTTTGTACCATATTCTCAGCAACACGGTATAATCGGTATCAATGGAATATATACAGTGGAACCTCGGTTTTCGAACATAATCCGTTCCGGAAGTCCGTTCGACTTCAGAAATGTTCGAAAACCGAAAATAAAAGAGCTGTCGGCAAAGTGAACGGTGAAAATGTAAAAACGTGCCATGGAAGCTGTTTGACTTCCGAAAATCATTCAAAAACAGAAGCATTCACTTCCGGGTTGTCGGCGTTTGGGTTCCAAATTGTTCGGCTTCCAAAGTGTTCCGACAACCGAGGTTCCACTGTATATTTAAAGTTACTTAGCATAGTTTTATAAATAAATAACAGATATGTTACAAAAGACTTGGGGTATAATCACTATTTTTCTAGAAAAAGAGGGGCCAGAACTCACCATGATCACCTCCCTTGTTCTCTTATAATGACAACAGCGGCTACCAGTGAGGTGCCGGAACTGAGTTCCAGCAAGTTCCAGATGAAACCCCCCCTGCTTTTAGCATTATAAAACTGAATCGGCAAGGAAAGAAGCCAGCAGTCAGCCGCCTCTGGACATTGTACAGGTTATCAGCCCTGGATCTTGTTCAGATGGTATGATGTGCAATGAAACATACAAGAGAGTCATTGCCAAGGTTTACATCAAAGGAAGAATTCGTAAGGTTTACTGAAAAGCCCTGCTCTGAGTGTTCTGCTGCCAACTGATCCACCAACCTCATGTGAATGGTGTTTTTTCTCTATAGAAGGAAGATGAACCTGAGGGGGCCTCTCATCTGTTTAGTGTGGGGCAGGATGTGTAGAAAAGTAGGCATATTTGTTTCTTATGGAGAAAGCTGTATATTCTCTAGGATTTTTTTATTTTTTAAAAAAACCTTAAATGTCCAAGAAGAGCTGAATTGTGCGAGCAGTGTAAAATTAGGCAAATTTGCATGATTTCTCTTTTGAGTGTGCATTATTTGCTATGCAATTTCCCCCAGTTTGCATCACTTATTCCAGTTTTCAGGGCATTGAAATCTCTTCTTCCAGTCATTGTTCATCTGCCCCTATTCTGACTTCTGAGATTTCAGCAGACCTTGCTTACATACTTTCAGGTGTATATTTTGCAAGCTTTAGAGCTAAGTACTTGCTCATCTTTAAAAAACTAATGTCTCTGTGAAATGTTGGAAGGTATGTCGGTTTGATAAAAGGGTCTCTGCAACATGAAAATTTTGCAACATCCTGGCCTTCCAGAACAATTAGATCAATAGCATTGATAAGTAAAGGTAAAGGGACCCCTGACCACTAGGTCCAGTCGTGACCGACTCTGGGGTTGCAGTGCTCATCTCGCTTTATTGGCCGAGGGAGCCGGCGTACAGCTTCCGAGTCATGTGGCCAGCACGACTAAGCTGCTTCTGGCAAACCAGAGCAGCGCACGGAAACACTGTTTACCTTCCTGCTGGAGTGGTACCTATTTATCTACTTGCACTTTGACATTCTTTTGAACTGCTAGGTTGGCAGGAACAGGGACCAAGCAATGGGAGCTCACCCCGTGATGGGGATTCGAACCGCCAACCTTCCGATCAGCAAGTCCTAGGCTCTATGGTTTAACCCACAGCGCCACCCGCGTCCCAGCCAATAGCATTGATAGTAACGCCAATATTATTTTGGATCCTGTCACTTTGCATTTCCTTTACTGTGTACAGTTCAGAAAACGTTTAAGAGAAGTACCATCCACTAACGGCTTGAAGAATGGCTTTCCTTTTCCTGAGGTTATCCTTAGCCAAAAATCTCATGACATTTTGCACTTATTGCATACAGAGAGGTCCAGGTCTTTGGGCCGCTCAGCCTCACAGTCCATTCCTCCCTCATGCCAGGGATGGAAAGATCTGTCATTTTCAGTTTCCCCCATCTTAAATTCAGTTCTCCACATTTTGCAGTGATTTGCAAAACATATTTTTTTTTAAAAAAAAAACCTTAATGTAAACATTTTTGCAAGCAATTTCCCCTAATACAGTGGTACCTCAGGTTACATACGCTTCAGGTTACATAGCTTCAGGTTACAGACTCCGCTAACCCAGAAATAATGCTTCAGGTTAAGAACTTTGCTTCAGGATGAGAACAGAAATCGTGCTCCGGCGGCGTGGCAGCAGCAGGAGGCGCCATTAGCTAAAGTGGTACCTCAGGTTAAGAACAGTTTCAGGTTAAGAACGGACCTCCAGAACGAATTAAGTACTTAACCCGAGGTACCACTGTAGAATGTATTTGTCAAACTGTTTTCACCAATACCTTCTTTTTATGCACACTTTCCCCTAAAATATGCATTTTTGTAAATATGCTTACCTGAAGAAATGCATCACTAAATTCACAGAAGTGTGACTTTTGAAGAATAGATATGTTTGGGTTTGCATATTGCATCGGAAAGTTTTTAAATGCATACTAGATCGAAATTCTCCCTTGCAACATTGTTTGCTGTGGTTTTTGCTTATGACTTTTTTAAAAAAAATCATTATTATTATCCTACACTTGGCCAGAAATCCGCAGTTGCTCGTCTGCCAATTCAGGTAGCTCGTATAATATTGCAAGGAGCCTTTCTTTAAGGTACAGTGATTGTTCTTCACCTGTAGCCCTGCTGCAGAGATTAATGCTTTTTTATAGTCACTCTTCTCTGTTTCTTATTAGCATCCAGTTTACATATCTTGTGTCAAGCGCTGGAAGCCATTACCTTTCAAGGTCGGACCCAAGGACGTGCCTGCAGATTTTTCAAATTATATTTGCGTCTCAAATGAAATCAGTTTGCTTCTAGGGAAAGTAAAACAAAATAATGTTATCAAGGTAGTGTTTTAAGGATTCCTTTCTTCATTGTAGGGGGTCTCCCAGGTCCGATTTAGGACTGCACTCCATTTGCTATTGTGTGGGACGTGGGTGGCGCTGTGGGTTAAACCACAGAGCCTAGGACTTGCCGATCAGAAGGTCGGCGGTTCGAATCCCCGGGACGGGGTGAGCTCCCATTGCTCGGTCCCTGCTCCTGCCAACCTAGCAGTTCAAAAGCACCTCAAAGTGCAAGTAGATAAATAGGTACCCCTCCAGCGGGAAGGTAAACGGCCTTTCCATGTGCTGCTCTGGTTCGCCAGAAGCAGCTTAGTCATGCTGGCCACATGACCCGGAAACTGTACGCTGGCTCCCTCGGCCAATAATGCGAGATGAGCGCCGCAACCCCAGAGTCGGTCATGACTGGACCTAATGGTCAGGGGTCCCTTTACCTTTACCATTTGCTTGTTTTTCACACCAGAGGGCCTGTGTGCTGGAGGTGTCAGACTTAGACCCAGGTTCAAAGTCCTGCTTGGCCACAAAGCTTATTAAGCATAACCTCATTCACGTGGGGTTGTGGTAATGAAATAATGAAGGGGTCTGTCAGGAGCCAGCCAGCAATAAAACACACTGAGTAAGAGAAGTTAGCTCTTTATTAGAAGAAACAAAGTCTACTCACGAGTGCCAGGCCTAAGAAGTCCAGTAACTCTTCTGGGTAGGCCTTACACCTGTGAGGCAGTTGTGGAGGCTAAAGGTCCCTGCCTGCCCACAGCTGCCTAAGTCTCTCCCAAGTCCTTCCCGATCAATCTGAGACTATGCCAGTGTGTCTGCCTTTGCTCCTTTTGCTTCATACCTCTCCTGGTCCTGGAAGACCAGGGGAGAGGGGAGCTGGTTGCAGTAGAAGTGGGAGACATTCCTGCTGAACACCTTCTATCCCATGAAGCTCGTGCCAGAAATTAAGAAAAAATATTTCTGTGAAAGTTAGTTGATTATTTCCGATTTTAATGCTTCTATTTGGTTTTTTATTGTATACAGGATCCCAGGATTCTTTGGGTGAAGCCATGTGCTTCAAATAATAATAATAATAATAATAATAATAATAATAATTTATATATTTATCTATATATTTATATACTTAAATATATAGAGAGTGCACAGCTTTAACCAAAGCCTTTCCTTTGGCTTTCAGCTCCATTCTGCAATTTACTTGCTACAATCGGGTAAAGATAACCATAAGGAAACAATGGCATACGAAATGTTCTTTAGTTTATGCTTACAAGAACAGTAGTTTAGCTTTATTTTAGCACGTTCCAGAACATGATTTCCCAATGAGATAAAGTAAGCAAAGCAAAAGTCAATTTAAAACAAGAGTTTAATGACTAAGAAGAGGGTTTGGAAATGTGCAGTGATGGCTTTGTAGTGGAGAAATATTGGACAACACTATGTATACACTAACTGATTTCAGACTTGCGGGAAATGTTGCCCCAAATGTCACACTGACATCGTAATTATACAGAGAAGGGAGAAAGTTGTAAGAATATAAACAGGTTGGTAAGGGGAGGTGATAGAGCAGAGGTCGATATGCCAAAGCTCTGAGAGTTGATTTATGTTTTTATTAGGGCTTAATGCGCACCATGCATTTAAAGCATATTGCTTCTCCCAAATATTCCTGAGAACTGTAGTTTATACCTTACAGAGTTGCCAACGTCACCATCAGTGCTATTTTTCTAGAAAAAGTGGTGCTGGAACTCAACATGAAGGCCTCCCTTGTTCTCTTAGAAAGGCAATGTTCTCTTAGAAAGACCTTTAAAGCCCTAAACGGCCTCAGTCCAGTATTTCTGAAGGAGCTTCTCCAGGTTACAGGGAACCAGGCAGAGGGCCTTCTTAGTAGTGGCACCCACTCTGTGACGCCCTCCCCATCAGATGTCAAGGAAATAAACAACTATCTGACTTTTCGAAGCCATCTGAAGGCAGCCCTGTTTCGGGAAGTTTTTAATGTTTGATGCATTACTGTATTTTAATATTTTGTTGGAAGCTGCCCAGAGTGGCTGGGGAAGCCCAGCCAGATGGGTGGAGTATAATTAATAAATTATAATAATTATTATTATTAGCACCCACCAGTTGCGGAACTGAGTTCCGGATGTGCTGGAACCGAGTTCCAGCGAATTCCGGCTGTTCAAAAAGCCCCGATTCTTCTTCTTATTTGGTTGCTTTCTTTGTGAAAATGACCCAAAGCGACATACAAACACAATATACACACTAAATCTAAATACACAACCAATACAAACCTTTTTTTAAAAAGCCCTCATTTATACAAATAAAAAATAGGTCTTACAGATCCTGCCCCACTAAAAGAGGCTACTAGTATTTAAAACCCTTCAAATTAAAGGTCCAAGTAAAAAAAAGAAAGTTTTTGCCAGGCACCTAAAAATAGATGAAGATGGCGCCGAGTGAACCCCGCTGAGGAAAGCATTACATAAGTAGGGGGACACTCAAAACAGACTTCTCCACAGTGGCACCTCATTTGAAGAATCTCTTCCCCTTAGATTTATGACCTGTGCTGGTATTGCTATCATTTTGATGCAAGATCCAAACATACCTGCTTACCTTGGTGTTTAAAGACTTTTAAGCTGTTGTTTCATCAGCTTGCCCTGTTATCTTAACTGCTTTAATTCTATTTTGCTGCATTTTTATCATGTGTTTTATGGCTGGATGGTGTTTTTTGGACTGTATGGGCTGTTTGTTATATTTATGCACCCTACTTTGGTCCTGATAGACGAAGGGCACATTCTTAATATGTTTTCAATAAATAATGAAAAAGAGTTCTAAGGTGGAAACTAGCAAGGAAACCATCCTTTGGTAATGGCTGTTCACAGCTGTATTTCTGGAGGTTTTAAGTGAGCTTCAGTGGGTCTGAAAATCTCCTTAAACGTGCTACGGCTAGCGAATGAATTTGCATCTGAAACCCCCTATTCCGTTTTCCTGCAATTTATCTACTAGTGACTGGTATCAATATAGAACTTTGACATTAAGCCCTAAATGACTTAACACCTGAGAGAATTTGTAAAATATCTGGGGCTAAGATCTGCAGAGAAGAGGCCCTTGTGGTAATTCCTGGGGTGGCCCAGGAGAGAACATTCTCCATAGCAGCCTCTAAATAATAATAATAATAATAATAATAATAATAATAATAATAATAATAAATTTTATTTGTATCCCGCTCTCCCCAGCCAAAGCCAGGCTCAGAGCGGCTAACATCATATAAATAAGACAATATGCATAATACAATATACAATATGCAAATAAAATAACATTCAACATTCAGTAAAATAATATTAAATAATATTAAATATCAGCATTTCAAAATGAAACAGAAATCCATTCAACAATTACAATAAGTAATTTCTAAACTCCAATCAATAAAACAACAGCAAACCACAGTGCACAACATAATACAATACAAAATAAGAAGCAGAGACTGGAGGGTGGAGCAAGGCAGGTGGAAAGAGGCCTTGCCTGATGAAGTCTCTCCCCTTCCCTCCCCACAGAGGCACATCTGGCACCTTCATAATAAAGTTTTTCTGGTATACTGAAGAAGAGCCTCCATATCTTGGTCTTTGACACTTAAGGTCTATATTTTTAGGACCCGCTCTATTCTTGTGATTGTAATTTATTTTACACTAGTGAGTAATAAATGACGTTGTTGTTCCTGCTGCTGCTGTTGTTATCATTATAATTATTATTATCGTTATTATTATCATTATTATATGTTACTCAAAAGGTAGGCTGTTGCTGTGATTAATCTTTAAACCCTGCCCCTGGTGTTATGTTTCCATCTTCAACCTGCATGTTGGGCAGACTCTCCAAGTGTCCCTATTTTCCGGAGACAGTCCTGGATTTTCAGAAGCCGTCCCAGTTTCTGATGGGATCCCGGAATGTCCCACTTTCCCTTAAAGGTAAAGGTAAAGGGACCCCAACCATTAGGTCCAGTTGTGACCGACTCTGGGGTTGCAGCGCTCATCTCGCTTTACTGGCCAAGGGAGCCGGCGTACAGCTTCCGGGTCATGTGGCCAGCAGGACTAAGCCGCTTCTGGCGAATCAGAGCAGCGCACGGAAATGCTGTTTACCTTACCGCCGTTTACCTTCCCCCCTATTTATCTACTCGCACTTTGACATGCTTTCAAACTGCTAGGTTGGCAGGAGCAGGGACCGAGCAACGGGAGCTCACCCTGTCCCGGGGATTCGAACCGCCAACCTTCTGATCTGCAAGTCCTAGGCTCTGTGGTTTAACCCACAGCGCCACCTGCGTCCCGTGGAGGGTATGGTAGGACGTCCCTATTTTCGCTGGAGAAATGTTGGAGGGTATGGAGTTATGTGACCCCCCGAGTCAACGAGATAAGTAACTATACAACTTTTTGAGGATATCTGCAGGCAGCCCTGTATCGGGAAGTTTTAAAAATATTTAATGTTCTATTATATTTCTATGTAAGTTGGAAGCTGCTCAGAGTGTCTGGGGCAACCTAATTAGATGGGTGGGGTAACATCATCATCATCATCAACAACAGCAACAGACCAGGATGTCCCTGTTTTCATTGGAGGAATGTTGGAGGGTAAGGTTGGGTGTGGTTGTCTGCAAAGGAACTCCCAACACTTCTTTGCAGACAACTGTTACAAATAATTGCAGTTAACTCAAACCAGGGGGTGAGGGTGGGGAAAACTCTTCTTGGCACCACTGTCTTTTTATTTATTTATTTAACCCACCCACCCCCTCAGGAGTCTGAATCCTAGACTTGTAGAGTTAAGGTTGTCTCGTCATTCCTTGTGGCCTCCTCTCCCACACCTTTTCCCCGCTCGGAGTAAACAGCATGAAAACTTGTGTAAGCAGCATCCCAGCCAAGCCTTTTATAAACTAAACTTTAATTTGTTATTCTTTTGGCATCCACCAGAGTGTTCGTGTGACTGGGTGGGTTGGCTGTGGAACTGAGCACTGCAAAAACTTTCAGCGGCGGAATGTCTCATTTGGCGGTGGCTCTGTGTCACTAACCAAACACACACGACCCCACCATATGCATGTAACCCCATGGAGGACAATCGGTGGAAATGTTTGGTGTGAGTAAACCGGGCTCATTGTGAGCGAGGTCTTATTTTTTTCCCCCCCGAAGATATTTATTAAGGTTTTCAATATATTACAAAAATAGAAAAAAGAAAAAAGAAAAATACAAAATAAAAATAGTTAAAAACAATTCAGTTTTTCAATCACTTATCATTCATTTGCTTATTTCCCGGACCTCCTCACACCTCCCTTTTCTGTATTCCAATTCAGTTTGTTAGTTCAGCAAATCCCTCCCCTCTTTGTTTATCCTAATCTTCAATCTTAAAATATTGTAACATTAGATTTTTACCTATTAATAGTCTATTTTTTCATATTCCCTTATAACATTACAGCTGGAAACCACTTAGTTTCTATCCAACGTCATTCTAACATTCATTAATTTACAGTATTTCTGTAGATAGTCTTTAAACTTTTTCCAATCTTCTTCCACCGACTCTTCTCCCTGATCTCGGATTCTGCCAGTCATTTCTGCCAGTTCCATATAGTCCATCATCTTCATCTGCCATTCTTCCAGGGTGGGTAGATCTTGTGTCTTCCAATACTTTGCAATAAGTATTCTTGCTGCTGTTGTGGCATACATAAAGAAAGTCTTATCCTTCTTTGGCACCAATTGGCCGACTATGCCCAACAGGAAGGCCTCTGGTTTCTTTAGAAAGGTATATTTAAATACCTTTTTCAGTTCATTATAGATCATCTCCCAGAAAGCCTTGATCTTTGGGCACGTCCACCAAAGGTGAAAGAATGTACCTTCGTTTTCCTTACATTTCCAACATTTATTATCGGGCAAATGATAGATTTTTGCAAGCTTGACTGGTGTCATGTACCACCTGTATATCATTTTCATAATATTCTCTCTTAGGGCATTACATGCCGTAAATTTCATACCTGTGGTCCACAACTGTTCCCAGTCAGCAAACATAATGTTATGTCCAACATCTTGTGCCCATTTAATCATAGCAGATTTCACCGTTTCATCCTGAGTATTCCATTTCAACAGCAAGTTATACATCTTTGACAGAATCTTAGTTTTGGGTTCTAACAGTTCTGTTTCTAATTTTGATTTTTCCACCTGGAAGCCAATTTTCTTGTCCAAATTGTATGCCTCCATTATCTGATAATAATGAAGCCAGTCTCGCACTTTGTCTTTTAATTTCTCAAAACTCTGCAATTTCAATTTGTCTCCTTCTTGTTCCAAAATTTCCCAATATTTCGGCCATTTGGCCTCCATATTGAGCTTTTTCTGAGCCTTTGCTTCCATCGGTGACAACCACCTTGGGGTTTTATTTTCAAGTAAGTCCTTATATCTTATCCAGACATTTAACAATGCTTTCCTAACAATATGGTTTTTAAATGCTTTATGTGCTTTAACCTTGTCATACCACAAATATGCATGCCACCCAAAAACATTATTGAAACCTTCTAAATCCAAAATGTCTGTGTTCTCAAGAAGCAGCCATTCTTTCAACCAGCAGAATGCTGCTGATTCATAATAAAGTTTGAGGTCTGGCAGGGCAAATCCACCTCTATCCTTTGCATCAGTCAATATTTTAAATTTTATTCTGGGCTTCTTGCCCTGCCAGACAAATCTAGAAATATCTCTCTGCCACTTCTTGAAACAGTCCACTTTGTCCAAGATTTGCAATGATTGAAACAAAAATAACATTCTTGGCAATACATTCATATTTATAACAGCAATTCGACCTAACAAGGAAAGCTTCAAGTTTGACCATGTCTCTAGGTCCTTTTTCACTTCTGACCAACATTTCTCATAATTGTCTTTAAATAGATTTAAATTCTTAGCAGTCATATTAACCCCCAGGTATTTTACTTTCTTAACCAATGTTAAACCTGTCTCCTTCTGAAACCTCTGTTTCTCAATCGATGTTAAATTTTTCTCAAGCACCTTAGTTTTTAACTTGTTCAACTTAAATTCGTGAGCGAGGTCTTACAGAGTCGGCCACTCAATATTAGTAAAGCTTTGGAGGAAGAGGCAAAGATCTACTTAGTTTTTTCACTATAACTGGGACAATAAACAGTTACTGAAAGCGATAGGAAATGGAGGGGGGAGATATTTTTCTAGCTTTTTCTTCTGTGGGTTAAACCACAGAGCCTCAGAAGGTTGGCAGTTCAAATCCCCGCAACGGGGTGAGCTCCCGTTGCTCGGTCCCTGCTCCTGCCCCCCTAGCACTTTGAAAGGACGTCAAAGTGCAAGTAGATAAATAGGTACCGCTCTGGCGGGAAGGTAAATGGCGTTTCTGTGCGCTACTCTGGTTCGCCAGAAGCGGCTTAGTCATGCTGGCCACATGACCTGGAAGCTGTACGCTGGTTCCCTTGGCCAATAAAGCGAGATTAGCGCCGCAACCCCAGAGTCGGCCACGACTGGACCTAATAGTCAGGGATACCTTTACCTTACGCTAGAGAGAACAGAGAAATGAGGGGGGCTTGTTATAGTAAATACAAACCTAGAACCACGGCTTTCCTTTTATTTCAAACGTCAGTGTCCTAGCTTTCTGCAAATTTGTCTGTCCACCCACATTGCCCCCACCTGAAACTGTTTTCCTGGGAGGGGAAGGAAAGATGCTGTAAGAATTCTGGAACAGATGAGAAGATAAACGATTGTGTCTGGGAAAAACTGTAACATTTCACTTGTGCGTATGAGAGGGACAGTAAGACAGACAGCTGCTTCTCACTATACACAACTTTCCCCCCTTGAAATTGTGTAGAGGTATCACAATTTCCCTCTTCTCTAGGGGGGCATGAGTATGGACATCATAAGTGACCTGATGGATCAGAACAAAGGCCTGTCAATTCCAGCATTCTTTGAATGACTAACCAGATGCCTGTCAATGTTTGAAAAGGAAAAGGTTCTGACCTCCTTTGACTCCTTTCCCTGGTCCTCGGACCCTAGTTGGCACAAAAGAGTCCTTGAGAAAGAGTACTTTGCAGAATGCTGCTTTTATTCTTAAAATAGTCTTCTCCAACCACGACCAACAGCTTTATACATATCAAACGCAACCAGCTTTCTACCATCCAACCAACCCACCACACACACAGAGTCAATGACCACTCTATATATACAGTGGTACCGCGGGTTACATACGCTTCAGGTAACATACGCTTCAGGTTACAGACTCCACTAACCCAGAAATAGTACCTCGGGTTAAGAACTTTGCTTCAGGATGAGAACAGAAATCGTGCTCCAGCGGCGTGGCAGCAGCAGGAGGCCCCATTAGCTAAAGTGGTGCTTCAGGTTAAGAACAGTTTCAGGTTAAGAATGGACCTCCGGAACGAATTAAGTACTCAACCAGAGGTACCACTGTACAGACATATGTAGGTGAAAGGTTGCAAGAGTCATGCAGGCTTTGCCGATTCATTGTAGGCCACTGACTCAGTTACTTTTGCATTAAAGAAACAGCAGCAAATTTTAAGCCATGACAACGCTGACATGAAGGCCACAAGCAGAACATGGTTGCAATAGCACTCTCTCACTTGTGCTTCCATACAGCTGGAATTCAGAGACTTAGTGTTTCTGATACTTGAAGAAACACAAAGCCATCGTAAGCAGCAGTCATTGATAGCCTTATCCTCCACGAATTGGAGGAACATCTACATGAGTGGACACTACTTCATATTGTGGTACTGGATTCCATCGCTTAACTGTTGTATGAAGTAGTCATATCTATTTTGAAACATCTGGATTGCCTTCTAGTTAGCTTCTGGCTCAGTACAAAGTGCTAGTTTCAACATCTGAATTCATAAACAATTCCGGACCCTGATATTTACCATCTTCTCAGATATTTCTCTGGTCACTGAGATCCTCCATTAAGACTCTCTTTTGGGTACCTCACCTCTGAGGTGTCATAGTATGCTTCTAAGGCAGTGTGTTTCTGAATATTGTTTGCTTGAAACTGCAGGATGGGAGAGTGTTTGTGTCCTGCTTTGGGGCTTCCTGTAGGCATTTTGGTTCCATTAGTATATCTGTTGCATTGGATTTCCTATTGCACCACCATTATTCTCACTAGCACACAACAGCCCCTTACACTACTAGCACAACAGCCTTTCTGTTGGTGGTCAAAGAATGTTGATTCTGGGCCTTTAACTTTCCTTTTATGTCTGTTGTGTTTCTATGTTTCTTTTATTCAGGAATTCGCTACAAGGATCTTATTGTTGGCGTGCCCAAGGAAATATACAAAAACGAGAAGAGAGTAGCTCTTTCTCCTGCTGGCGTCCAAGCTTTAGTGAAGCAAGGCTTTAATGTGCAAGTGGAACATGGAGCTGGTGAAGAAGCAAAGTTCTCCGATGATCTATACAAAGATGCTGGAGCAAAAATTGGGGACTTGAAAACGGTGTTTGGATCAGATCTTGTGTTAAAGGCAAGTTTGCTAGTGAAATGTATAGACTTACATTTGTGACAGTATGACATGGCAGCTTCATCTAGCCATCTCCAAGCCTATATCTCTTGGGCAACCTTATTCAATGCACCCTAAGGTTGCCATGTGTCCTCTTTTTCCAGGACACGTCCTCTTCTTCAGGGGTAAAATTTCTGTCCAGGTGGATTTTTTTAATTTGCCAAAATGTCTCTGGCTATACTTTCTGGATGAGTCATAGACCTAACTGGTGGCTGAAGACTTGCTTTCCTCTTCTCTTCTCCTGCCCTCCTGAGCAATATATCACAGCTTCTATAGATGTCCAGTTTTTCTTGAGCATTCTTTCTGATATGTTTACAGGGTGGTTATACAAATTTGCCCATAGTGTGGTTATGGCTTCCCATTAATAACTTCTTCATCTTACACTGAAATTTCCCTGTCACTAGCTATAACAAGTCCTTGAGAGCCAGTGTGGTGTAGTGGTTAAGAGCGGTAGTCTCATAATCTGGGGAACCGGGTTCGCGTCTCCGCTCCTCCACATGCAGCTGCTGGGTGACCTTGGGCCAGTCACACTTCTTTGAAGTCTCTCAGCCTCACTCACCTCACAGAGTGTTTGTTGTGGAGGAGGAAGGGAAAGGAGAATGTTAGCCGCTTTGAGACTCCTGAAGGGGAGTGAAAGGCGGGATATCAAATCCAAACTCTTCTTCTTCTTTTTTTTTAAAAAGTGGATTTGTGGCACTAGGGTGTGCTACAATTCACTTTAGGGGGTGCCTTAATTCACTTTAATTGAATGTTCATTGAACAAACAGAAACTTCCATCATGCGCTTGAAACGCTCCTTCGAAACAGTGACAGTCTAGAAGGCACCCTTTGTTTACTCACTGTTTAGAGGACTAACACCCCCTGAAGCTGCTTGCTATAAGTCATCAATGTGGGGAGGGGGTGTAGAATGCAGGTGTAATAAGAGTAAAGAAGGAAACATACAAATATCATCTTTGACTGAGTTCACATTTACAATCAATGCACTTTTGTTGGGAGCCATTGTCATAACCTATGTCCTTAATCCTGCTTCACTAGTAAAGGTAAAGGTAAAGGGACCCCTGACCATTAGGTCCAGTCGTGACCAACTCTGGGGTTGTGGCGCTCATCTTGGCTGAGGGAGCCGGCGTACAGCTTCCGGGTCATGTGGCCAGCATGACTAAGCCGCTTCTGGCAAACCAGAGCAGCACACGGAAACGCTGTTTACCTTCCCGCCGGAGCGGTACCTATTTATCTACTTGCACTTTGACGTGCTTTCAAACTGCTAGGTTAGCAGGAGCAGGGACCAAGCAACAGGAGCTCACCCTGTTGCGGGGATTCGAACCGCCGACCTTCTGATCGGCAAGCCCTAGGCTCTGTGGGTTGCCATATTTCATTTTTTTTTTTTTAATAATTGATATTTATTGAATTTTCAAAGAATAACAACAAAAATTTCCAAAAAAAAAATAAAAAAATTTAAGGATACAAAAAACAAAATTAGTGCATAAACAAAAAAGAAAAGAAAACCCAGCCGCAAAGAAAAAAAAAAGAGAAACAGAAAAACAAAAATATAAAGTCCTTTACAATCTCTATTGACTTCCTTTCTAGACTTCCTCCTCCTCCCCTCTTTTGTTTCTTAATTTTTAATTTTTACAGCAAATCCTTTCTGTTTTTTCATAACAATCTGTCATTACGTTTCCTTATTCTATTTTCCCTCTTGTCATATAAAAACTTTAAAACTCATAGCTTATATTCAATATTTACCAAATTCTTGCATCATTACCTTTTACGAATCATTTACCAATCCTTACTTAAGTCATGTAATTTCATTCAACATCCTTCAAACATTTGTAAGCATTCCCAATATTAAAAAGTAAAAAGAAAAAATAATAAGTCAAATTCAGTCCAGTCAGCTTCCAACCTCCCCTCCCCTGGACCCGGGATTGTCAGTCCTTTTAACCTCGGTAATCCGGCTCCTTAACCTGGTTGTCTCGTATCCGAGGCCCTCAAGTCTCTTTCTTGCCCCTTTCGCCACTCTTGTTGATGATTCCTTTCCAGTCGTGGATGCTCCAGCAAGAAAATGCTTTTGACCCTTTGCAACAAGTCCATCCCAAACCCATTGCCCAAGCCAGACAGCAAATAATACCACTTCAAATTTCCACAAAGCTTGGAGACTTCGGCTACTCCAATCCTCTGATAGCCCATCACCAGACTCGGAAGGTCCAAATAACCATATGGAGGGGGGGTCGATCCATCCCCCCATTTCCAAATCTAACCACATTTCATCTTTCCGAATCTGGTTTGTCCCAAGTTCATTTATCAAGTTCAAAGGCTGATCTTGCCCGTCCAAAGGTCCCTCCATCTCTGAAGCCTCCGTCACTACAGCAGGTTCATATGCTTGTATAGCCTTTAACTGAATTTCATTTGTTTGCTGCTGTGCTCTGGTAACTTCCATCCTCAAGGTCGTCTCCTGACGCATCTGGTCCAGCTGGGCACTTAGTTTTGAAAAACCTTCCAGGAACAATTGTTCCAGCCTTTGTACTAGCATTGTCCTTCAAGGTCAAAGAAAATTCTTTCCCACGAGAATAGTCCAATAGTCCTTCTCTTTTAATCTCTCTGCGTTGCAATTTCACTAAATTCCACTAGATGGAATTCTTTTTTTTTTAAAAAAGGAATAAAAGCAACAGCAACAATCTTTCTTTTCCAGAAACACTTTATCCAAAATTCCCCCTCCAAATTCAAGAGGCAACAGTAGAATCAAAATGTTACCCTTCTTTTAACTAACTGTCGAGCTGGATAAACTTCAGAACGTCAATTCTGACAGCCCGCTCCTGGTTCAGGGCGGTGGAAAATTGCTTTATTTTAAACTCACTTCCGCAGGATTGAAAAGTCCAAATACAACCCCTTTTTCTCCTGCTGTCAAAGGGGGTTCAGAAATCTTAGATGTTGAATTCTAGTTCTCTTAAAATTTAATTTTCAGGCTTTAGTATATTTTGTCTTTGCTTTCTTCACATAACAAAAGAACGGAAGGCGACTTCCTGTTTAGACCTTCCCATTCCGAGTCCCAATTAAGTTCAATTTCAAGTCCAATATTATTTATTTATTCACCAGTCTTAAAAGTGGTTCAGCTCTTCCAAGATCAGGTACTCACGGATAGATGTTTTAGATGCCAAATTGTCCAGGAAAAAGGCAGCGCTCTCCGATAACGGCAGTGCGGCTTTGCTGCACGGAGGAAGCAGACGACTCACAGCACCACGCACCTCCCACTCCGGAGCCCGTTACCGGGCTCCTGTACAAGGGGAGAGAGCGCCTCGGTGCCCGCCGAGTCCCACGTCCACAGGCTTCTTCCGCCTGTGGTTTTTGCGGGTCCCCGCTGCGCCGTAGCGGCAGGACCCAAGCCTCCGTGCAGCGGGTTCCCTTCAGTCCGAAGGGAATTCCGCCATTTTCCGGAGGCGCCACCCCGGAAGTCTGGGTTGCCATATTTCATATTTCAAAAAGTAAAAACCAGGACACCCCAAAAGTGTTTCAACTTGAACAGAGATGAGTTAAGTCCAGTAGGTCTGCAATTGAACATCATCATCCTTGCCCAATACATTTTCATGACACTTTGCAGAAGTCAACAAAAAAACAGTGTATCAGTATCAGCATCAAACTTTATTTGGGTTGCAGACTAGCATAAGACCAGCATATACTCTGGTTTCTCTTCAGATCGTATAAAAAGACATAGCCTTCGCCCAAGAAGCTTACAATCTACATTTCAGCACAGGGGAAGACAAGGAGAGAAATGGAAAGGGGTGAATATGATTTGTTTCAGTTGTTGTGGGATAGGAACTAAAGGGTTACAGGCTTCATGGAAAAGGTGAGTTTGGGGGAGGGATTTGATTGAAGAGGTGGCATTCTATAAGTCAGCCTTCACCAGCTTGGTTCCCTCCTGATGTATTGGACTATGACTCCCATCAATCTTAGTCAGCACAGCTGAGTTGGCTGAGCCTTATGAAACTTGTAGCCCAAAACATCTGGAAGACACTGAAGTGTAGGTGGGTTCCAACGAGGCAAGACACAGTGAAAACAGCAAGAACCTTTATTGAACTAACAGAACTGGAAAACAGGGGCAAGGCAACTGCTTATATACATTTCTGAAGGCCAGGGCCACTCCCAGCATGATTGGCTGTCTAAACTTCCAAGCTGCGAATCACAACTCAGAGTTTAAGGGCCAATGGCAGAGGCCCGAATCCTGAAATGCTCTGTGATTGGATATCATGCATCGAATCAGAACACAAGGGCTCAGAATCCTTAGTCCAGACTCAAGTTCAGACAAACACAAACCACTGAATACATAACAGATACCAGAAGGTGTTCTGGAGGGTGTTTAATTTAGGTACATGGAAATACATTTTGGATTAATATTTTGGATTAAACAAAGCATTTCTTTTCTTTCAGGTCAGAGCTCCAGTCTTTAATGAAGTGTTGGGAGTGCATGAGACAGCCCTACTGAAGGAGAAGGCGACACTTGTCAGCTTCATCTATCCGGCTCAGAACCCAGATCTGCTGGATAAACTTGCTCAGCGCAAGGCCACCGTCTTGGCAATGGACCAAGTTCCTCGAGTCACTATCGCTCAAGGATACGATGCCTTAAGTTCAATGGCCAACATTGCAGGGTGAGGATCCACAATATTGAAGGACCAGGGCTACCGTTTCAGATTAATCAATTCCAGCCTCAGCCCCACTACAAATCTTTGCAGCCTCTCTGACTTTAGTGCCAGAAGGACAGTCAGCATGCTCAGAAGAGCCTTGGTAAAGGTAAAGGGACTCCTGACCATTAGGTCCAGTCGTGGCCAACTCTGGGGTTGCAGCGCTCATCTCGCTTTATTGACCGAGGGAGCCAGCGTACAGCTTCTGGGTCATGTGGCCAGCATAACTAAGCCGCTTCTGGCGAACCAGAGCAGCACACAGAAACGCCATTTACCTTCCCGCCAGAACGGTACCTATTTATCTACTTGCACTTTGAGGTGCTTTCGAACTGCTAGGTTGGCAGGAGCAGGGACCGAGCAACGGGAGCTCACCCCGTCGTGGGGATTTGAACCGCCGACCTTCTGATCGGCAAGTCCTAGGCTCTGTGGTTTAACCCACAGCGCCACCCGCGTCCCCAGAAGAGCCTAGATCAGCCTAAATCATAAGGTAGGGAAACCCTGTCTCTGGGGGGAGGCTTTTGTCATAGGAAGAACCCATAGCTTGGGGCACCAAAAGACTATTACATTGCATTTGTTCTGCCCTCACAGAGCTACAATTCTCCAGACTGGTTTACCAGTCAATCTCTCTTCCGAGGGAGCTTTGGGAATTGCAGCTCTATGAGGAGGATAAGGGTCTCATCACAGCTTTCAGCACCCTTAACAAACAACAGCTCCCAGGAGTCTTTGGGGGAAGCCATGAATGCTTAAAGTGGCATGATACTGCTTTAAATGTATAGTACAGATGTGACTATAGGGACGCGGGTGGCGCTGTGGGTTAAACCACAGAGCCTAGGACTTGCTGATCAAAATGTCAGCAGTTCGAATCCCCTGACGGGATGAGCTCCCATTGCTCGGTCCCTGCTCCTGCCAACCTAGCAGTTCGAAAGCACGTCAAATTGCAGGTAGATAAATAGGTACCGCTCCGGCGGTAAGGTAAACGGCGTTTCCATGCGCTGCTCTGGTTTGCCAGAAGTGGCTTAATCATGCTGGCCACATAACCCGGAAGCTGTACGCCGGCTCCCTCGGCCAATAAAGCGAGATGAGCGCCGCAACCCCAGAGTCAGTCACGACTGGACATAATGGTCAGGGGTCCCTTTACCTTTACAGATGAGACTATAGTTTTGCAGCAGCTCCTGCTTTTTCTACCCACTGCAACTATTTCCTCCTAGCTGCTGCTGAGCAAACCAAGAGCCCTGTTTGCTCCAGGAGGCTGAGGAGCATGAAGGAGCAGAGAAACAGAACTAAGAAAACCACCTTTTTCGGTATATTAAAAAGCCATGTTTGGATGGTAGGCCATGACTGACATAGCAGGAGTCATTCTACCCCATAACTCAATGGTGGCTGTAAACCATGTGTGCCTGGCTTTGTTTCAGTTTGATACCAGAAGTGTTGATTAAACTGCACTGGGAATGGGGCTCTTTAAAGGGATAGGGATGACCTCCAAATTGCAACCTGGGGATTACCATCATCGTTCCTTTTAACAACAAATTCAAGTGGCTGAGCACTTGAGTTAGGAAGCAAAACAGGACCACACCAAAATAAGGAAGTGGTTTCCTCATACTCAAGGGATTTCCTTGGTACACAGAAGAATATATAACAAATAACGTCTTTTTAAAAAATAAAACAAAAACAAGGAAACCCAAAACTGCCTGACAAGAACTAGTTACAAAATATGATGGCAATTGAGTCAACATGTCTTTGTAAAGGAAGGAGGTGTCTAAAGTAACCAAAAGTCAATTAATTCAGTGGTTTTATTATTATATTATAGTATTTAATATAGAATGGTGATGATGATGATGATGATAATCGACATAAGAGAGGAGAGGTGTTATGGGAAGAAGGTGAGTTGAAAGAAACTAGCAGTTGGGAGCGGAGAATATAGCATAATTTGCATGTGAAAGGATAATGGGAGAAGAAACTACAGGGGATGAGTAAATACATTATGAGGGGAATGTTGGCATAAGAAGCAGAAAACATAAATGAAAAGGCCTTCTTAGGGCTTCTGGATCAGCAAATTTTGTCCTAAATGTGGAGTGTGATTCACACTACTTCCAGAATAAATGTCTTGAGGAAATATGAGCTATGTACTATGGCAAACAATTTAGCAAATGCCAAAGATGAATTAGGTATCAGTAGAAAGTGAAGTCAGTAGCTGCTAGTTGATTAAGACAAACTCGGCTTCTATCGATCACTGTTTGGTGACTGTGGGCCTTCAGTAATGATCAGCCTTCTCAAATGGGCCCTGGTGATAGAAAGTTTGAGGACTCCTGTCTTAGATGGGGAGAATATACAGCAACTGTGTGTTGCAGGTCCAACATGCCCTATTATACTTGAATATAGAGAAGATGTGTAGAATCTTCTAGGAGATATTAAGTGTGTTGTGTGGGAACGCTAATGACACTTAACCTCTCTGTCTTCTGTTCTGGGAGACATTATAATTTTGGGCCTCTTCAGTGGCCATTTATGACACCTCATTTGGGCAGAAGGAAAGTATGTGGGATGTTATTAGATGCCAGCACTTAGGAAGCAAGTAAGTGTTTAGGAAAATAGCCTGGAAAAATAGTGTTGTCAGATTTAAACCACAGCGTAAAGTGTGTGTAATAGCCCTGTAGCTGGAGAGATTACACCTGACTTAACATCTCCCAGATGCACGGCTCTTAAAAGACGCAAGAGTTTTCTCTGAATACAGCAATGGCAAGTCTGGCTTGGTGTCTTGACCAAAATGAGTCCGATTGAGATGAAGTGGCTTTAATTCTGAACCATTTCAAGATGCAGCATGTGTACATAATTGGTGTAGCATTTAAACCAGTTTGTTGGGTTGAAAGAAAGAGAAAATTCCAGCAGCTTTGAAATCAGTTCCAAACGTGAATTGATTCAAAATGTGTTTATTCCTGAATGGCAATGACTGGCCCCAAAGGTTTTGGCTCATAGTACAGTCAATGTGATATGAAGGGCTTCAAACTCAAGCATACTTAGTTGGAAATATGGGACTTGCTTCTGAATGAATGTGGCTAGGACTGAGTCGCTGCTACTACCCGGTCATTCAAAAACACCTTGGATGTAAAATCTGATCTGGAGGCAATTTGGATTGACTTTCAAGTTTATCAGCTGAAGTTTATCAGCCTGTTCTTTCACAGGCTCTGCTTTTGTTGTGTTAATAGCAGAGTAAGGGTTGCCACATATTTCTGGGGCTGCAGCTGTTTCTGCAATTGGTTCCAGAACAGCTTTGTTTTTGAGCACTTCTAGAAGACAAATTAGGTGTCAGTAGCATATTCTGGAACTGCTTACCTGGATGCAATCTCCTGAGAAAACAGTGCCTTGATATATTCAATGTATTGCTTATACAATGGTTTTCCGGAAAGCAATGATGGCGCTCGACATGCCGCGGGGACAGCTCGTTTGATGTTCCTTTTCTGGCATAAGATGGCAACTTTTGCCATTTGCCAAGCCCAAAGATTGCTTGAACAGGGCTGCATGCTGTCCTCCTTTGCACAAAACACCCAAGAAGGGCAAAAGTGTGAATGCCAATAACCTGCATGGTTTTTGTCGTGCAAATAGCTGCCCAAAGAAAAGCCTCTGTAGCCTCAGAATCTGAGAAGAGGAGAGGAAAAGGTTAACTCCTTCTCTTCCTGACTGTAGTAATGGGTAATGATAAGAGTTATACACTGTGGCCAGTTATTATTGCTGTTATTATGATATATTTATTAATACCCACCCTTTTCCCTGATGAGATTCAAGGAAACTTACAGATAAAAAGAAGAACTTCAGAGAAAAAACAGGAAAAAACAATACAATAATTAAAAACAATCAAACACTGACAGAATTAAAACAATATACATATAGAACATATATTAAAAGCAATAATTACAATGAAAACAGTGTGGCACCAGCCCTTTTGTTAAAAGCAGTCAGTTCCCAAACGCCTGTCGGAACAAGAAAGGAGAGAGCCAGTCTAGCTTTCTAGGGAGAGAATTCTAAAGTCTGGGGGTTGCCACTGAGAAGGCTCTCCCCAAAGTTATTATGGGCTGGAGCTAAGACTCGTTTAGCTTTTGCTAGTGGTTGCTTTCATTTTCCTGTCCAGTTGTATGTTAACCTGTTCATCAACAAACAGCCTCTTGCTCTGGTCTTACAAAATGAATAACCCGATACAGTGATAGCTCGGGTTAAATACTTAATTCGTTCTGGAGGTCTGTTCTTAACCTGAAACTGTTCTTAACCTGAAGCACCACTTTAGCTAGTGGGGCCTCCTGCTGCGCCACTGCCGCACGATTTCTGTTCTCATCCTGAAGCAAAGTTCTTAACCCGAGGTAATATTTCTGGGTTAGCGGAGTCTGTAACCTGAAGCGTATGTAACTTGAAGTGTATGTAACCTGAGGTACCACTGTATCTTAAATAAGAACTTAACACGGTTGTAGTCCCCTGCAAAATAGTCTATCTGAAGAAGTGAATTGCATTTCAAGGAAAACTCCTCTTAGCATCAATGGGATGCTTGAAACGCAACTGGTAGCTTCTGAGGGGTGAAATGAGAGAGAAAGCGTTGTTTCCCTTCCCAAGCCCTGCAGTCCTGAGGCTGCTCAAGCATCCCTTTTGCTGCTATTGACATAACTAAAGATGGCGGCCTGCTGGACAGAGTCAATTCTGCACCTCTTCCTTAAATACAGATGTATTGACACATCAACATTTGTGTACTGGAGTCCTCTTTATCTGTTCCATCCTCCTTCAATCTTCAGTGGTAGCACCACAGTGCAGGTGAGATCATGCCAGTAGCTCCTTTGACCTGCAAAACGGCTTTGGTGTTGTATGGCATAAAGCATGCAGGCGTCCCTGCTAGCATCTCAGTAGCCCAACAATCCTAATTTGGGGTCAATGGAGCTAGCACACAACCAAGGGAGATTGAGTATGCACAATGATTTCGAGGGGTCCCTGTGTGCTCTGACAGCTGTCTGTGAGTCGACCTCCTGTTGGATCATCTTGTAGGCAGAGTGAATGCAGGCATGGATGCAATTACAGTATTCCTCTTTACATATACAACAGAGGGATTCCCTTGTTAATCAGCGATAATGTAAACCCTGCGTGAAGTGAAAAATAAGGCAAACATTGCTGCGACTTTCCAAGGAACGTTTATGTTGGAAGCATTAGGTTGGGTAGCATCCACGGATGTGGATTTCCTTAACATACTTTCAAAATGAACCCCCCCCCACAAAAACAAAACAAAACCCCATTGCTTTAAAAAGAAAGAAATAATCTAAACCTCTTGTTTTCTTCTTCAGAGAACTAGTGAACCCAGAATAGCTCCAATTCTTTGGAAGTTATGCACCCCTAATGAACCTTAGACATGCCCAGTGCTTTTTTTTCTGGGGGGGGACGCAGGGGTACGCATACCCCTGAACATTTCGTCAATCTTTGTATTTTTGTCCATTTACTGTACAGTGGTACCTCGAGTTAAGAACTTAATTCGTTCTGGAGGTCCGTTCTTAACCTGAAACTGTTCTTAACCTGAGGTACCACTTTAGGTAATGGGGCCTCCCGCTGCTGCCACGCTGCCATTGCGTGATTTCTGTTCTCATCCTGAAGCAAAGTTCTTAACCTGAGGTACTATTTCTGTGTTAGCGGAGTCTGTAACTTGAAGTGTCTGTAACCTGAAGCATCTGTAACCCAAGGTACAGACCTGAGGTATAAATTACCATATAGCGTATATTCAACACAAAAAACAGCGGCAATTTGTTGTTGACAATGGACAGCTGGACATATAAAGGGCCCCATTACCTTCAGTAGCTTAGGGCCTCATCAAACCTAAATCCGGCCCTGATACGGGGTGATAATAAAACATTTCACTCTCCACCAGGTGCCTCTCCCAAAGTATTCATGGTTCCCTCCACAGCAATAGTCCTTTGTTGGGCACTTGAAAGCATGTAACCAGCACTGATATAATTTGTTATGACAGTCAAATGTATTTTTTCACTTAGACAATTTATATCTTGGAGATGCTCTCGAGCAGTTGTTTGTTTTCTTGGGTGGCTTTTATTAATTCTCCTTTTGGTTGCTTTCTGTATATTTGTTAAGTCTGTTGCAATTTATTCACAAAGCCTACTGAAGAGCCAAGAAATATTTTCACCATTTTCTTTCTTCTCTCTCTCTCTCTTGCTTTCTTTCTCTCTAGGTACAAGGCTGTAGTCCTGGCAGCCAATCATTTTGGAAGATTTTTTACCGGGCAAATTACCGCAGCTGGAAAAGTTCCTCCGGCAAAGGTGCGAACAGTACAGTGGTACCTCTGGTTGCGAACGGGATCCGTTCCGGAGCCCCGTTCGCAACTGAGCAGAACGCAACCCGCGTCTGCGTGTTTGCGGGTCGCAATTCACTGCTTCTGCGCATGCGTGTGACGTCATTTTGCCCAGAAGTAACACTTTCTGGCACTTCTTGGTCACAACGGGAGGAAACCTGAAAACGCTCAACCTCAATTCAATTCAGTTTGCATTTAAAGGCAAATCTATGAAACTCACTCTGCCCCAAACAATTTGAGAAAGGAACCATGGCCACCCTTTGAAACCCACACTCATGTGAATTTTGTGATGCAGTTCATCAACCAGGCAATGTTGACAATAATGCCTATATTAGGGGAAAGCGTGCATCAAAATGAACGTGTTGGTGAAATAACATACAAAAATGCATTAAATTGTGGGGGGAATTGCTTGCAAAAATAGGTACATTCGTCAAAACTATGTACAAAGAATGTCTTTATTAGGAGGCATTCTCTTGGTGAATTTTATTTTTATATATATAATATTATTTATTAATTTTAAATTGCAATAATCCAATAAAAGCCACATTATCACAATACCAAATTACAATACAATTTAAAAAGCCAATTATTCCAATACCAAATTAAACAATTTTAGGTGACTTCCTGTGTGCCAGATTTCAGGGTGCAAAGTTCTTATTTCTTTCTCCTTCCATAATTTTGATTAATCCAATTACAACAGTTCTGATCTTGCTCCTTTGTTTAACAGCCACTGATTTCTTGACTTTCGTTCATGATTGCATATCTAATAAATTTTATAGGAGTTTGTATCCTACAAATTTCCTGTTTGAGGTGTTCCCTTGATGAATTTTCATGAGGATTTGAAAATAAAAAATTACAAATCGCTGCAGAAATGTGGATAGCTCAATTTAATGAGAAATTGAGAGGACCGTAATTGACAGATCCTTCCAACCCTACCTGCTTTCTTGCTAGGCCAATGAGCGAGCTGGCAAGCATCTATGGTTGCACCACCACTGTTGCCTAAGCCAGAGCAAAAGGCAAGTGAACAAGCAGGTTGCAGTGGTGAAGAGGAGAAGCAGCTGCAGGGGGCCCCTTGTCAATGGGCCCCCTTGTGGAGTGTGGACCCTTGATCCTAACCCAACCATGCTGAACTTTGTTGCCAATCCTGGATTAGTTATCACGCCATGGTTTTCTGTCTTGTAAAAGTTTGCAGTGAGGCTTGAGACTAATAAGCAGACAGTATGTTTGCTCATGGTCTCATTTCCAAATATTCCATAGAGGAAGATTTGGGCCATCACTTTCTTCCTTTATTCTAAACCATTTTATCCTGCTTAAGTGATGTGTGCTTTGTTCCAATAGTGCATCTTTGTTGCTATTTATTGCTGTCGTTTTCCTTTCTAGATATTAATCATTGGTGGTGGTGTAGCTGGCTTAGCTGCAGCCGGAGCAGCTAAATCCATGGGAGCCATTGTTAGGGGATTTGATACCAGGTATAGTAATAATAATAATAATAATAATAATAATAATTGCTATTTATACGCCGCCCATCTGGCTGGGTTTCCCCAGCCACTCTGGACAGCTCCCAACAGAATATTAAAAACACAATAAAACATCAGACATTGAAAACTTCCCTAAAAAGGGCTGCCTTCAGATGTCTTCTAAAAGTCAGATAGTTGCTTATTGCCTTAACATCTGGTGGGAGGGTGTTCCACAGGGCGGGCGCCACTGCCGAGAAGGCCCTCTGCCTGGTTCCCTTTAACTTGGCTTCTCGCAGCGAGGGAATCACCAGAAGGCCCTCGGCACTGGACCTCAGTGTCCGGGCTGAACGATGGGGGTGGAGACACTCCTTTAGGTCTACTGGGCCGAGGCTGTTTAGGGCTTTAAAGGTCAGCACCAACACTTTGAATTGTGCTCAGAAACGTACTGGGAGCCAATGTAGGTCTTTCAGGACCGGTGTTATAGTAACTCAAATCCTCAGACCGTAAGCTGTTGTGATTCTTACAGAAACGCAGGGTCTTTAAAGATTGCTTACGGTGTGCACATATTCCTTTCCTGCTTGCAGCCTATGATCTTGCCAGTGTACCTACATCTCTTTGCAAATAAACCAGTAACTGAGCTTGATTTAATAAAAAGCAAAGATGAAACTCTGAAATCCACGTTTGGGTTGCAAAAATGTGGCAAGCTTTTGAGATCTTCCAGAACTCTTCATCTGGCGAGATGTTACACAAAGCAGGGTGTGAGCAGAGCCGTCTTTCCCAGTGGGTTTACTGTGCGTTGGTTCAGGGCACCAGCCTCTCAGGGGCGCCCCAGTGAGTGGGGGAGCTGCACGGCTTTGCCGGCGGCCTCCCCTTTCTGTGATGGCCTGGGATTCACTCGGATGCTGAACCTGAGGGATCCCAGCCTGCACAGGATTCCCCGCCTCCAGAACCAGCTGAGCCAGGGCTGGGGCATGAGCCTGAAGGATCCTCACCTGTGCTGGATCCTCAGGTGCAGGCATCAGCTGAGTCTGCTCTGGCTCCTGAGGTGATGGAGGACCCATTGCCTGCAGGTGCTCCACTCTCAGCCCCATCAGAGGAAGCTGAGGTTGCCTCTGGGTCTGGTAACCCTCCAGCCTCTCCTGAGCTGCAGAGGCTCAGGGCAGAGAGGCGGAGGGAACTAAGTTCCCGCAGGAGGAGTGCTCGCCTCCAGGCCAGGGGAGGCGAGTCACCAGAGGATCGGGGCCGCCCTATGCCTTGGGACAGATAAAAGCCGGCCAGCCCCAGTCCCAAGCTGCGGGAGCAACATTGTTGGTTGCTAGTTCCTGCCTGAATCCTGTCCTGTTTTCCTGCCTGAGCTCCTGACCCGCCCTGGCCCCCTGCTTGCATGCCTGTTCCTGACTTCGCCCGACTCCCTGCCCTGCACCCAGCTTCAGCTACTACGGACTGCCTCCACCTTGCACCTTTGACCACGGACCGGACTTAGACCTTGCCTCTCGGGTAACCCATGGGACCAGCACACCTTTCCCTCCTGCAAGCCCGTCAGCTGTGCCCCATCAATGGCTGTGGGGCATGCAGCTTCCTTCCCAAGCCTCCGCGGGAGGAGAGCGATCCCCGCAGAGGCTTGGACAACTTTGGGGATCAGGGAGTGGGGCGCCGGAGGGATCTTTGCACCACGGCGCTGGATATGCTTAAGACGGCCCTGGGTGTGAGTTCTAGAGAACTTGTCAGCTTACCACATTTGGTTGGTATTGCCCAAATATGGACTTTGGAGTTCTTCCTTGAAGGACACTCTGCATTGGCATGGACAGCTACCTGTTTTTAGTGCATATTAGGTTAGCTACCTGTGGCTTTGGGTGGCGCAGTGGGTTAAACCACAGAGCCTAGGACTTGCTGATCAGAAGGTTGGCGGTTCAAATCCCCACAATGGGGTGAGCTCCCGTTGTTCGGTCCCTGCTCCTGCCAACCTAGCAGTTCGAAAGCACGTCAAAGTGCAAGTAGATAAATAGGTACCACTCCGGTGGGAAGGTAAACGGCGTTTCCGTGCGCTGCTCTGGTTCGCCAGAAGCGGCTTAGTCATGCTGGCCACATGACCCGGAAGCTGTACGCCGGCTCCCTCGGCCAATAAAGCGAGATGAGCGCCGCAACCCCAGAGTCGGCCACGACTGGACCTAATGGTCAGGGCTCCCTTTACCTTTTTACCTGTGGCTTGGAAAAGATCTGACTCTGCAGTGCCTGTGAAATTCTCCCCACTTTGCCTGCAGGCCTCCAGCTCTGGAGCAGTTCAAATCTCTTGGCGCGGAAACGTTAGAAGTGAGCATTGCTGAAGCGGGAGAAGGCGTCGGAGGGTATGCGAAAGAGATGTCCAAGGAATTTATCGAGGCGGAATTGGCCTTATTTGCCAAACAGTGCAAAGAGGTGGACATTGTTATTAGCACTGCCCTTATTCCAGGTACTGTACAACTTTATAACGATTCCAGATGCCCTTGGCAGAGTGTGCTCCTAATTAGGAGCCTGCAGAGCCTGTCACCAAGGAGGCAGCCAAGAGGAGGGGCTGTAGCTCCGTTGTAGAGCTTCCCAGTTTGCATGCTGAAGGTCCCTGGTCCAACCCTTTGCATCTCCATGGGGGACTGAGAAGGACTCCCTGCCTGAAACCCTGAAGGGCCACAGTCAATCAGTGCAGACAACATTGAGCTAGATGGACCAGTGGTCTGACTCAAGATAAGACAGCTTCCTATGCCAAACATTCCTCCTCTGAATTCTTTGTGAATTGCATCGTACTTGATGGGTGGGCATGTGATACAAGATAGCTACCGCTCCATCAGATTATGTGTGAAGAACTTGGGTGTTTTTGTATTACAGTGGTACCTTGGTTCTCAAACTTAATCCGTTCTGGAAGTCCGTTCCAAAACCAAAGCGTTCCAAAACCAAGGCGCGCTTTCCCACAGAAAGTAATGCAATTTTTTGTTTTGTTTTTGTTGTCTTTTTTAGTTTTCGAATGTTGATTTTTGTGTGTTGTGTATTGTTATGTGGAAAATACTAATAAAATTCATTTATTAAAAAGAAAGAAAGAAAGAAAGAAAGAAAGAAAGAACCGTAATGCAAAATGGATTAACCCGTCCCGGACTTTTAAAAAAAACCCTAAAACAGCAATTTAACATGAATTTTTACTATCTAACGAGACCATTGATCCATAAAATGAAAACAATAAACAATGTATTGCAGTCACGCAATCAATCAATCAGTAGCTGAACTCGGTTCTGCACAGTCACGAAAGAAAGAGCTGCGAAAACAAAAACACAAAATAAATAGCAAAAACAGACAGATCTCAGCATAACACTCAAAACGGAAGTGTGGCACCTCGAATCAGGAGCGTAACACACAAAATGGAGCACGTTCGGCTTCCGAAAAAGGTTTGCAAACCAGAACACTTACTTCCAGGTTTGCAGTGTTTGGGTTCCAGGTTGTTTGAGTACCAAGGCGTTTGAGAACCAAGGTACCACTGTACATGGTACCCAGGTAATTTATCCCAGGTAATTGACAACAGGGACAAAAGGCACTGAGGAAAGAGGAAGCAGAAAAAGGCATTTCAAAGCCTTAGGTAAAGCGATAGAAGAGGTCCCAAATTCCTGCACCTAATATTTCAGTATTAGGCCTTACAATAAAAATGATGCATGTTTTATTATTATCATTATTCATTTGTTTCAGCCTGCCCTCAACCAAAATATCTCAGAGGAGGGTACATTGATGGTGATGATGATTATTTAATTTCTATACCGCTTAATTTATTAAAAATCTATTTCAGTGGTGTACAGAAAAACGAAACAACAGACAACTTAAACAAAAATTTTACAAAAATACATAGTTACATACGTATAAAAAGGTTACATTTATACAAAGTTACTAATATAGAGAGATCAATACCAATTCGTTTTCCTTCTGACACACCCTCCCTCTCAGCCTCTAGGTTTTCACCCAGGGTCCATAAAAACATAGCAGCAGAAAGTGCATTAGCAAACTTCTGAGGAAAATATGGGACCAGGAAAAGCTCAGCCTGCAAGAACTACAGATGAATCCTCTTTTCATGCATGTGTGAGACTATTAAGGGTCAAGACAGGAGGGTTATGCGAGTTGTGACCTGGAAATCAAGTGCAAATGTACAGAGCCCCCCCTTGATCTTCACACTAACTCCACCCCCATAAAATGCAGGAACAGGCAGAAATGGTATCAAACCAAATCATTCCATTATTGCTTTATTGTATGTGGTTTTGTTGGTACCTGCTCAGGCTTTTTTAAAAATGCTATGCGCTGTATTAAAACTGATGAGAATCCCCATAATTCGTTTCTTTTCTTGCAAATTGCACCAGGGAAAAAAGCTCCTACCCTGATTACTAAGAATATGGTGGAGTCCATGAAGGATGGCTCCGTGATTGTCGATCTTGCAGCTGAGGCTGGTGGCAATGTGGAAACCACCCAACCTGGAGAGCTTCATATTCACAAGGTTTGTAGAGGGCCTGTTTGGGACACTTTGTCCTCCTCTTGATTAATGAGATGCCTTGCTTTGTTACATATGGGCCCTGCCCTTCTTCCAAGGTTTCCACAGCATTGGACCTTGGGTTCTCAGGTGGCCCCACATCCAGATACAGGCTAAGACCAGATCTTCTTGACCATATTAGATACTTTCCAGGTTCCTGCTCCTTCAAGAATATAGCTAGAGAAAACTAGAATTGCACTACTGATCTTCCAAGGAAATAAGTTGGCCCTGGGCAAAATTTTCCCCTCCTTCCCATTGAAACTATTTTGGTCGTATTGATCAATCTAGCACAGTACAGTTTCCTTCAACTGCCAGCTGCTCTCCAAGATCAGAAGCCAGCTGAGATCCTTTTAACTGGAGGTGACGGGGATTCATCCTGGCACCTCTGACATGCAAATCAGGCGATGTACCACTGAACTACAGGCCCTTGCCCATTGCTTAAGTCACACTTGCATTTTATGATGGGGTGGAGAACCTGGGGCCCTCCCAATGTTGTTGGACTCCAGTTTCCATTATCCTTGAACCTCTTCTTCTCTGGTGATCATTCGTAGCCATGTAAGATTGTCTTCCATGAACACTGTCTTAGCAGTGAGTCCATAAGTGACTGTGGAGGCCAATTCCGGATCCACATGTCCTTCCACAGTGGAGACATAGGTTTCCAGGCAGGAGTTGATCATGGTGAGGGTTTGGTAAAGGCTCTTCTCCAATTGGAGTGCTCACAGGCCAGTGTTTCCCAGTTGTCGGTGTTTATACTACATTTTTAAAGATTTGCCTTGGGAGAGTCTTTGACTCTCTTTTGTTGACCACCAGCATTACACTTTCTATTTCGAAGTTCGGAATAGAGTAGTTGCTTTGGAAGACGATAGGCATGACCATGCTGGGTGGGGCTTATGGGGGCTCCACCCCTATGGCATATGACTTTCTTCTTTCACTTTCCATCCCATTGCATTTTGAGTATTATAAGGGCATCTTCTCTCTTTTTTTGTTCTTGAAAAAATGCTTCCCATACCATTGTCTATTAGAGTAAAGCTAAATGGCTTTTCTTATACTGTAGAGTCTCCAAAAACTGGGTGGAGAAGTAGTGGGGTGGGTTTTTGTTTTTGCAAATGTTTGTGTGTGCACTGGCGGAGGAAGAGGAGTGGGGGGGGAGCGCACCGCCCCCGGCAGTGTGATCCCGGTGGGGTTCCATCGTGGCTGCCCCCCTACCCATGCTGGGCGCCCCCCCCCTGCTCTCCACCCCCCCCCCGTGCTGGAGCATGAAGCTCCGCCACTGTGTGTGTGTGTGTGTGTGTGTGTGTAAATAAAGTAAATATATTGTCTCCACCATCCTAGGAAAGGCAGTGGTTTTCTAGTGATTTCTTACTTCTTCCCAGAGCTTTTACCAGTGTTATGTAGAGCCGCTAAGAGTCACTGGGGCTTCATTGTAGGGGAGGAACATAGAGTCCGTTGTTGGTTCTAAAGCCCTGTAATATTTGCCAAGGTGAACAATGGAATGAGTGACTTAAGTGCAGCAAAAGGCTTCAGTGGTGTGTCTAGGGATGAGGGTGGGGGAATTTGATTCAGTTTAAAAGTGAACTTACCTAATTTGCCCCTTTCAAAACAGTGTGTAAACTAAAACACAACCAACCTTTCAAATTCACATTTTTCTTATTTTTTCAGTGCAGTTCTCCAGTCAAACAGCGTATAAAAAAAATGCATGTGCTTGGATAAGTTGTGCATAAAAATGCATGAAAATAACATGCAGAATATATGATAGAGTAAGGAAAATTCCTCTTCAGAAATATTAGACAAAATTGCATAAAACATGTGTTTTAAAAGAAATGTGCACTAAAATGCTGATGGATTTTAATGAGGACTCCCTTTTTTAAAAGTGGTGTTGTATCCAACTAAGTCCCACTCAGAGCAGACCCACTGAAGAAGTAGGGCCGAGTCAGTCATGTCCATTAATTTAAATAGGTCTACTCTGAGTAGGACTAGCATTGGAAACAACCTATCCATGAGAGTGCATTGCTCTTGTGATAGGAATTTTGAGGTCTTAGATATATGGTAATGTTTATAAGTGTACCAACCAAGCACGTACATAGATCAGCACAGGAAGACCGACCTGGAACCATTTTGATTCCTAAACTGAGCAAATGTTTTCTCTGCAAGGTCAAAGTGGGAAACCTCCCCATTGTTTCTTTCCTCACAATTCCTGTCTCAAGGGCACATTTAAGATATGAGTAGGGTGTGAGCCTGTGACCTGGCCCAGGAACTAAGTATTTATCATTACAAAAGACTGGCCAGGCTACCCAGGCAATCCAATCAAGTAACCTGCCAGACAGGAGAAAAACAACATTCAAATTTCTGTTTAGACCGCCTTTTTTGTGATGTAGGTATGATGTATCTGGGGAGTGGTCTTAGGTTACACCCCTTCTGTGATGTATGTATGATGTTTCTGGGGGTGGTCTTGATCTACAGGGTGGCAATTTCAAAAGTCTTTATAAGGCCTTGCGTGCCATTGTTCTGGGTTCCTCCTCCTCTCCTGCAACAGATCAATAAAGATCAAGCTTACTAGCTGCTTTGCTTTTCAATACTCTCTGGTTGGCCTCTGTTATCTTCTCCTACCAATAGGGAACCTATGTAAGGACTCTATATGGGCTCTTGGATACCCCATAAGAGAAAAGGGCAACTTTTGTTTACAACACTCTTCAGAGGACCACACATTCACGGTGACCCATAATTAAGAGGCATACATTCCCTACTTCCATGTCTGGCTGCCAGTCCAAACCAGGCAGACAGAACCGTAAAGGGCTAAAGAATACCAATCAATATCCAGATTTTCAAACCAAACAAGGTATTTCACAGGTGGGGGATTTGCAGCACAAGTATGTACCCAGCCTACAATGTATGGGCATTTATTTCACAGTACCGTACCCAACATAACTGGTGTTTTGCTAGTGAATAAAAGGCTCTGAACTCACTATGCACTTAAAGTCAAAACTTGCACACTCCTTAAAAAACCTAGAATCAGAATGTTCAGGTTTTCTTTTTCATTTATTTTCTTTTTGAAACAATGGCAAGGGGATAGTTATAATATTTTCTCACTAAATGTATTTGCTTACAAATTTCTCAGGACTAATTGGAGTGCAATTAATCTGCAAAGTACATCTCGTAACCATGATAGCATCGGGCAACTAAGAGGTGTTTTCAAACCTTTAAAATGCATTTTGCTTTTTCATTCTTGAAATAAGCACCATATGACTGTATAGCTCATTCCCTGAATGGCCTCCCAGCTTGTTCAGTCATTGGCTCCCGGTCAAAAGTAAAGCCTTTCCTTTCCCCTAAGCATCAACACAAGCCATTCGTTTTAAAAAGGAGAAACCACTTAACTTGTAAAATGAAGTGTCAGAAAATCCACAGACATGTGCAAGGTTTGATTTAAATCATTCAAGAAGGCATTTGGGCATATAAGTGGTAGATAAATAAATAAATTTGCTGTTGATTCTGAAAGGTGCACCAGGTTTGGGCAAACTGCATGAGGAAAGTTTCGAGACAATGCATGAGAAACACTTTAGGAAAAATAATAATGCTTGTTTATTTCGTTTCCCCCAGGGCGTGGTACATATTGGTTACACAGACCTGCCAAGTCGCATGGCTACTCAGGCCAGTAGCCTTTATTCAAACAACATCTTGAAGTTATTAAAAGCTATTTCTCCCGACAAAGAATACTTTTACTTTGAGCCAAAGGATGATTTTGATTATGGGACTATTGATCATGTAATTAGAGGGACTATGGTAATGAAGGTGAGATTCTCCCCACCCTCCCCCTTCCCAAAATACTTCAATTAACAGTTTAACAAATGCATGCAGAAACCCAGTGAAACCCAGACTCCTAAGGAATAAAGGGGGAGTATCCAAATGCACAAGATAAAGATAATTTAAGAGTTGCCACTGCTGATTCTTTGCTTGAGGCATGAGTCTGGCTTTGCACCTGCAAGAGCAGCCAATATTGAACCCTCCAAGTGTGGTTGGGCTACAGACCCCATCAGACCCAGCCTGCAGCACCAGTGATCTAGGATGATGGGAGTTGTAGTTCAACAACATCTGTAGGGCACCACTTTGGGCCGCAGGTGGTGCTGTGGTCTAAACCACTGAGCCTCTTGGGCTTGCTGATCGGAAGGTTAGTGGTTCAAATCCCCGCGATGGAGGGAGCTCCCGTTGCTCTGTCCCAGCTCCTGCCAGCTTAGCAGTTTGAAAGCACGCCAGTGCAAGTAGATAAATAGGTACCACTGTGGCGGGAAGGTAAATGGCATTTCCGTGTGCTCTGGCTTCCGTCACGGTGTCCCATTGTGCCAGAAGTGGTTTAGTCCTGCTGGCCACATGACTCGGAAAGCTGTCTGTGGACAAACGCCAGCTCCCTTGGCCTGAAAGCGAGATGAGCGCTGCAACCCCATAGTCGCCTTTGATTGGACTTAACTGTCCAGGGGTCCTTTACCTTTACCTTACCTGTGCAACAGAGATTCCACCTGTTATCTTATGACTGTATCCTAATGAGAGTCTTTCCCTGCTACAGGAAGGGAAAAAAATATTTCCTGCACCTTTGCCCAAAACCGTACCACCTGCTGCCCCAGCTAAGCAAAAAACCGTCCTGGAGCTAGAAGCAGAAAAACAAGCTTCCATCTCGCCATTTAGAAAGACCATGACGTCAGCAGGAGTTTATACGACAGGTATTTCATCTTTTAAAAATTGTATAAGACGCATTCCCTACACATGTTGGGGAAAGTAGCCTTGCACCTGCCTTTTCTACCAACCGTGGGTACATCTGTAACATCAGAAACTGGATATAACATTTGCACTGGATTTGCACCTGTAGGCCCAAAGCAGAGGGCAATTTCCCAGATTTTATGTGATTTTAATGTGCGGCAGCCTCACCAATAAGCCGAGTGTAGCAGCCGGCTTCAGGCAGCTGACTTTGGTTGGCATGCAGCGGCAGCAAATTATTCATTGATTTATTATTATCATTAGTTGTTTTAGTGCCAGGGAGGGGAAGAGGGGATTGGGTAGTATGTACCTTGACTGTGGGGTGCCATTTGCTGTCCCCCCTCCCCAACAAGGCAGCAATATTTCTTGGTCTGGTCCTCCTGATAGCAACTTACGCATGTAGTGCCTATCTAAAAGTTGCACCTTAATCCCAGAGTGCATTTACTAAGCAGCTGGGGTGGGCAGCAGTGTGATGTTTTGCTGCCATATATATAGGAGGGACGCAGGTGACGCTGTGGGTTAAACTTGCCGATCAGAAGGTCAGCAGTTCGAATCCCTCTGATGGGGTGAGCTCCCTTTGCTTGGTCCCTGCTGCTGCCAAGCTAGCAGTTCAAAAGCATGTCAAAGTGCAAGTAGATAAATAGGTACCACTCTGGCGGGAAGGTAAACGGCATTTCCGTGCGCTGCTCTGGTTCGCCAGAAGCGGCTTAGTCCTGCTGGCCACATGACCCAGAAGCTGTACACCAGCTCCTTTGGCCAATAAAGCGAGATGAGCGCCGCAACTCCAGAGTCGGTCACGACCCTTTACCTTTTTATGGGGACAATGTGGGGACTAAAGTTTTCCTCGGACTGGGATTTGTCAGGCTGCATATGCAGCTCTGTACGTTTTCCAGTTTCCTCCATGGGGAGGAAAAAACCCACACATTGATGAGCATAGAAAAGTAATATGTTAAGGAGATGAGTTCTTCCTTCTTCCTGAGACATGCAGGGACTATTTTAATGGACAGCATTCAGATCTGCAGCTTGCTGTGGTTACAGGCCCCAAAAAGCTTTACCATTTTGACATAAGTTATGCAATCCCAGTGTAAGCCCTGAATAACCAGACTATTCACTTAGAATTGGAAAACAGACAATTGGCTGGTTGGCCAGGTCAGGTTTCCACCATCAGCAAAGGATAAAACAGACAGAGAAGGTCAACACAGTTTCTCTCATCAGGTAATGCTGAAGAGCCTGTGTGGTCTGCTGTATATTTTAACCATTTTCAGATGCTCTTACGAAGCGAGAAAAGAAGTCAATGGAGAAATTAGTGCTGTTTTTTTCATTTCGCTCTTCTGGGTGCTCTATCATTTGATGATTCGTTCAAACAAAATACTTAGCATCTCAGAATATGGCATTTCCGTTCCTGGACGACAAAGTGTTCTGGAACAGGCAACTTGGCGAAGTGAACTCTATCCCAGGCAGGTCTCCCTTTTCTGGCAAAAGCAGAGAATGCAAGTTATGCCTATAAAACCCTATTTCAGAAGGCTGTTCCTGCTCCTGTTCTTATTGTTGTCAAGGTCAAAATGTCAATGAGTATGGGTGTGGGCTGATGATCTGGGTTTACTTGAAAGAAAAATGCATTTTTGATTTGATGCCTTTCTGTTTAGGCCTAACAACGGTTTTAGGGCTGGGCCTCATTTCTCCTAATGCCGCTTTTACGCAAATGGTTACCACCTTTGGGCTTGCTGGAATCGTTGGCTACCATACTGTTTGGGGTGTGACGCCTGCTCTTCACTCACCCCTCATGTCAGTAACTAATGCAATTTCTGGTAAGTCTTGACTCTTGTACACTTTGCCTTGTTTCATGTGATGATTACCATAGAGCAGGCTCACTTATAAGAAAATTCAGAATGAATGCGCTTTTTCAGATTTGAGGAAAGCCCGTCCCAAAATAAGTGGCAGCCATGGTGGATTGGCTTCCATATTTTCTCTCATTGTTGGGAAATTACTTGATACAATAGCAAAGATACCCAAAGACTGCTCATTGGCTGAAGTTATCAAATGCAGCCATCATTTGGGGAAACCCAACCAAAGTATTATTATTATTATTATTATTATTATTATCTGAGAACACTGTAATGTAGGATTTCATCAGAAGCTATAGGACTTGATTGTCCATGCATTACATCAATCCAAGTGGCCAATCCAAGTGTGGCTTAATATTTCTGTGGAAAGCCAGCAATGTCCATCAAGTGAAGTACACATGCTCTAAATGCTCTTTGAAAACAGTTCCTGCTTGTTCTGCATAGCAGCACATACTGAAGACCATTTTTTCTCCCATTCTGCCTTAAGATCTGCAACTGAGGCCCTACTCGTGAGTGTGACAGGGCCTTCTCTGCAGTAGCACCCCATCTCTGGAATGACCCTCCACACCTTGGAAATGCACCTAGCACTGACATTGCTGACATTTGTCATCATGCATCTCTTTGCTCAGGCCATTGGGAAAGGAATGAGAACTGTAAAAAGCCACTCAGCTTGCTGCTAGTTGATTGGGTGTATTTTAATCATGCTTTATGATGTTTTGACACGGTTTTTGTTTTACAGGTTTGTTGTTTTATTGCTGTATTCCAACCTGGGTCCAGTTGGTAAAGGTCGAGTTAGAAATACAATCCATCCATCCATACCAACCACAGGGTTCTTTGACATTGCTGAGGGACAGTTTTATATAGCCAGCTAGTTTTCCCTGGACTGTGTTATTTCAGTCTGCAGAGTGAAAGGTTTGAATGCCCTTTTCCAAATGAAGAAGAACAAGACTCCCTTCACAGAGAAATCTAGCACATCAGAAAGATTTGTGTGAACCATTCTTCCAGCTAGTTTTCTAGCAGAAAGTTTTTTTCACATCTGTGGTCAAGTATTCAGATATGTCATCCCTCACCTGCAGATTTATGGCAAGAGGTCATGGAAAAATGCTGCCATTTGATATTAGACTTGTCTTTTTACTTTGACGTAGCAATCTCCTTATGGTCCAGAATCTGAACTTGGCCTGGAAGCCAGTGCAGGTGCTGTTGAAACTGATCCTACTTTGGGATAGTAACTTTACAATCTTTGCCGTTTTATTTCTCTGTAAGAAGCCAGCCCTTGATAAGCAATTTCTTATAATTAACAATGGGCAGTGTGGATTTAGCAATTTTTATAGCTCAACAAGCTCTGACGTCCTTGCACTGTCAGTAGAAGCTTCTGTCCCGGCCCTTGAGGTGGTTTTCTTTTTAGTCTGCTTGCTCAGAAGAGGAGCAGAATGATGTTGACATTTTGAATAATCACCATATTCAACCACAACAGGAAACATCTGCTGGATAATTCAAAGATTTAGAAAAAAAGTTTACTAATTACACATTCCTTAGTTATGTTATAAAGTCTAAACCTGTTCTGTTTTTCCTTTAGGACTTACTGCTGTTGGCGGTTTGGTGCTGATGGGGGGCTCATATTTTCCTTCCAGCGTACCACAGACATTAGCTTTACTGGCTGCGTTTGTTTCATCTGTCAATATCGCAGGTACAAATTTACTAATGTAAATAATATTTTTATTTTTTATTTATTTATACCCCGCCCATCTGACTGGGTTTCCCCAGCCACTCTGGGCGGCTCCCAACATAATATTAAAAACATCAAATATTTTAAAATTCCCTAACCAGGGCTGCCTTCAGATGTCTTCTAAAAGTCAGATAGTTGTTTATTTCCTTGACATCTGATGGGAGGGCATTCCACAGGGCAGACGCCACCACTGAGAAGGCCCTCTGCCTGGTTCCCTGTAACATCTCTTCTCACAGTGAGGGAACCACCAGAAGGCCCTCGGCGCTGGATCTCAGTGTCCGGGCTCAATGATGGGGATGGAAACGCTCCTTCAGGTATACTGGGCCGAAGCCGTATAGGGCTTTAAAGGTCAGCACCAACACTTTGAATTGTGCTCGGAAATATACTGGGAGCCAATGTAGGTCTTTCAAGACCGGTGTTTTGTGGTCTCGGTGGCCACTCCCAGTCACCAGTCTAGCTGCCGCATTCTGGATCAGTTGTAGTTTCCGGGTCACCTTCAAAGGTAGCCCAACGTAGAGTGCATGGCAGTAGTCCAAGCAGGAGATAACTCAGTCACCATCCCAGGACAGGTGGAATGCACTTTGGGGGATTCCCCTGGCTCCCTGTGTAGCTGGCTGGAGTTCCCGCCAGCTCCTGCTCTTTAAATTGGCCAATGAGAGGCCTGCTCTGTAGGGTGTGCTTCACTGGCTGAAAGGACATTGGCTGCCAAAGAGGCATAATAAGCAGAATCACCTTCCGCCCTCAGTGCAGTTGGCGGAAGAGCACTACCTACTTATTTAACAGCTCTCAGGACTGCCCCAATTTTTTTTCTGCTTGAAGCAAAGCAGAAAAAATTACCCAGTTATTTTGGCACCTGAGGCAGAGGATCCCACAAGCACCTGCCCCCCTCCTTGGCAGTAAAAATGTAATAATAATAAGTTGAATGACTTAAAATTTGATGGAGTCTTAGTCTTTAATCTGGGTAACTTTATCACAGCTAGCGATGGAGGAGAAATCCAGTTTGTATTTCAACATGATGCTACCCACTTTCTGAAACTATCAGAACTGAAACTCAGCCAGCCTTCAAAATTTGCCCTTCCCTGAATTTTGCAATGTGGTTCTTCAGCCAAGTAAGATGTAGAAAAATGTGCACACTAGGGTAAAGTGTGCATCCAAATGCATATATTAATGAAAATTTCATACAAGAATGCATTATATTGTGAAAAACTGCTTTGCAAAAGTGAGTATATTAGAAAAAAATTCATACAAACGTATGTATATTGGGAGAAATTTACACTAAGATGCTAATGAATTTTCATGAGAGCTTTTTTTTTTTTAATGAAAACAGTTGTGGAAATGTAGTGAATTGAATTTAAGCCTGGAAAATTGAGAAACAGAGAAAAAGGAAATATAGGGCTCTAACTGTTTCTTCATTTTCATTCTAAAAATCCATGTTCCTTTTTTCCCCAACAGGTGGCTTCTTAATTACCCAGCGAATGCTGGATATGTTTAAACGACCAACAGATCCACCAGAATATAATTATCTTTATCTCCTCCCTGGAGGGGTGTTTGTTGGAGGATATGGTGCTTCTCTTCTCAGTGGACACAGCATTGAGCAGGTCAGAAATCATTTCTAATTTTTACCATCCATTTGCGTAGATTGTCTTAGCAGAGATGGTAAGCAAGCAAAATCAGTGCTTATGAGCTACTCTTAAGCAAAGCCAGATCTAGATTAAGGTGATAAGAAGCATGCACGACGTATTGTAGCAGCATAAATATACCATAAAGTCATCAAAAAAATTAACTAAAATTAAAGTAATAAATGCATTGAAATCAAAGGGGAAATCTTCACACACAAATCATTCACTACAGTCATTTTTTCAAAGAGATATTTTCTGGTTTTGACAGTGATGACATCTACGATGTCTTACCTCTAAGGGGCTCAGGGTGGCATTAATAATAATAGTAATAGTAACAACAACAACAACAACAATATATAACACAAGTCCTGAAAGGCCTACATTGGCTCTCAGTACGTTTCCGAGCACAATTCAAAGTGTTGGTGCTGACCTTTAAAGCTCTAAATGGCCTCAGCCCAATTTAGATGGGAAACCCAGCCAGATAGGAAGCATAGAAATAATAAGTTATTATAATATTATTATTATACCTGAAGGAGCGTCTCCACCCACATTGTTCAGCCTGGATACGGAGGTCCAGCTCCCAGGGCCTTCTGGCGGTTCCCTCCCTGTGAGAAGTGAGGTTACAGGGAACCAGGCAGAGGGCCTTCTCAGTAGTGGCACCCATCCTGTGGAACACCCTCCCATCAGATGTCAAGGAAATAAACAACTATCTGACATTTAGAACAGATCTGAAGGCAGCCCTGTTTAGGGAATGTTTTAATGTTTGATTCTATTTTTAATATTCTGTTCGGAGCAGCCCAGAGTGGCTGAGGAAACCCAGCCAGATGGGTGAGTATTAATAATAATAATAATAATTTATATTTATACCCCACCCATCTGGCTGGGTTTTCCCAGCCAGATGGGTGGCTCTCAATAGAATATTAAAAACACGATAAAACGTCAAAAATTAAAAACTTCCCTAACCAGGGCTGCCTTCAGATGTTTTCTAAAAGTCAGATAGTTGTTTATTTCCTTGACATCTGATGGGAGGGAGTTCCAGAGGGCAGGCGCCACCACCAAGAAGGCCCTCTGCCTGGTTTTCCCTCTCCCTTGTCTTTACAATTTGGTTTGCCATTTCCCAGAGGAACAAGAACAGAAAAAAATTAAACATGGTGTCAGTTTTCAGCCTGCATTTTCATTTACTTTAAACAAGAATGCGGGCAAATGGGGTGATATGTTTTATTTTTTGGACTCCCTTACGTTCAAAACAAAGCAGGTGAACAAAATCATATTTGAACAGAAAACTGACAAATGCTCTGGAACATTGGTCACACAACAGGTATAAAACACTGGCTTTTTTTACCAACAGCTGTATAGGGGGAATCCATTATTTGATATTGCTTAAGAAAATACCTATACCTGTTGCTTAGATTATGTAGGGTGGCCCATTGTTCTTTCCATCAAATAAAAGACAAAACCGAGCTGTTCAATAAAAAGTCTATTCTTTTATTCAATCTCCAGAAGTGTCTACTGAGCCAAAGCTTAATTGTAGACTAGAACAGATGTTGGCAAATTATTTTCAAGATTCAGAGCAGCGAATTGCCATGCAGCCCCTTTTAGAAGTGCATTGTACCGTGCAACAAATACTGAGGAGAAATTGCATCTACACTTTACACTAATATTCTACTGCCAAATTAATATACAGTGGTACCTCAGGTTACAGACGCTTCAGGTTACAGACTCCGCTAACACAGAAATAATACCTCTGGTAAAGAACTTTGCTTCAGGATGAGAGCAGAAATTGTGCTCCGGTGGCACGGCGGCAGCAGGAGGCCCCATTAGCTAAAGTGGTGCTTCAGGTTAAGAACAGTTTCAGGTTAAGAACGGACCTCCAGAATGAATTAAGTTCTTAACCCGAGGTACCAATCTTATGGATTATCTCACTTCATATGTATCCTGCTCTTCCTCTAAAGAGGTCAGTGCAGAATCTGTAGCAGATTTAAAGATGTTTTGAAAACAAATACTAGGAAAGATCAATGGAATAGAAATAGAAATATTGTTTGATCCTATTTGAATGTCAGATGTCAAGGAGATAAAGAACTATCCAACTTTTAGAAGACACCTGAAGGCAACCCTGTATAAGGAAGTTTTTAATGTTTGAAGTTTTATCGTGTTTTTCTAATATTCTGTTGGGCGCTGTCCAGAGTGGCTGGGGAAACCCAGCCAGATAAGTGGGGTACAAATTATTATTATTATTATTATTATTATTATTATTATTACTACTACTACTACTACTACTTCCAGAAAAATGAGAACAGGAGAACTTTGCTAGAACAGGCCAAAAGACCACATGGTCCACATACTCTTCTCATAAAAAGGAAAAACAGTTAATATATTATTTAATGATAGCAGCAAAGGTACTGGTGGCCTGGCATTGGAAAACAGAGGAATTTACCAACAGTAAGAGACTGGGAGTCAAAATGCTGGACTTAAACTCAATCTGCAAGATTAAGTTAAATCTGCAAAATTAACCAAATTGGAGAGAATAGAATAAGAGCAGAATTTAACTGCATTAAATTAATGAACATTTCTATTCAACATATTATTAAACTAAAAGTACAGTTGGTTACAAAAGTAAGTTAAAATTGGGCAGTATAAAGATATGAGAGGTGTCATGTTTTGTATTTTGGCCTGTCTATTTCATACAGTTTGTATAGTTTGATCAGAAATTTAAAAATCAACATCTTAATCGCTATATACCAAAAGATAAAACATTTACGTTATTCCTGTTGTAGAATCATAGAAGTGTAGATTTGAAAAGGGTCAACCCACTGCATTGCAAAAATCACAGTTTATAGTTATTATTATTCTTAGACTTCTTAGATGCTTGTTACCCAAAGGTCTCAAAGCAACTTTCAGCACATTTGAAAACATAAACATAAATACATTATAACTTTTTTAAAAGTATACGTCAGTTACTTATTTTAACTTTTCCTTTTAGAGAGAAGAAAGGCATATTCTGTACACTATGAGCTAGTCATCTGTTTTTATGATGACACAAAAAACACCTTTCATATTTCTGGAAATGCAGACAGGATAAAAGAAGTCTGTGTTAGCCTTGGTTAAATAAGGGTGGAATGACTAGATTATTCTAATTGGGTTCTGCTGTGTGACTTTAATGAACATTGTTGGGGAAGGGGAAATTTAGTAACACATTTTTTTTCTTCTTCCCTAAAGATTACATTGAACATTTGTGATTAGCAGTGGGGGAAATAGCATATGCTTTTCAAACATAAGGAGAACACCACATGTTCTATATAAATGCATTGTCATACAGGGATTTCAAAGCATTTTGGTGTATCAAAACACTAAAAAAATCAAAGTGAGAGGAAAATCTGACGGAATGATCTCACAAAGCTGGCATCTTTAAAATGTGTTTGAACTAGTGATCTGTAACTCTTCCACACATAAGAACAATGGCTGAAACTTAAAAAAAGAAAACTTGGCATAGAAGAAACTGAATAAATCTAGCAAGGATGGTTATACCAATAAACCATAATCTTGAGCTACTCAGTTCTTCCCTTGTTATACACCTCTGGAAGAATGTGATAAGAGCTAAGGGTTGTATTCAGTGCTAGTCCTACTCAGTGCAGAGCCACTAGAATTAATGATCATGGCTAATACATGGAGGATATAGCTATGTTGCGTGGCAAGTGAAATGAAGACACTGGACACATTATTTAAGGTTAATGGGCATAAAAGGCCACAACTTTATTGATTACAGGAATAGGAAGGTATTGGCCTTAGGCATTGGCTCCTATCGACTACCCGGCGTGGAGACCGGGAAGGGTTATCCACCAGCCGTGGGAGTCCTGTTGAAGTACGCCAACTAGGATCCCACGGGTGTCACCGCTCGGGGGCATGCCGTGGGCCCTCACCTCCTTAGGTTTCGGACAGGGCAACACCCCCCAGAGTCCTCTACCGGACTACCCTTTTCATTGGGGAAGGTGATGGCGCTTCTTTCCCCCCTTCATTTGCATAACAATTACCCCTGCCAATGCCTAACCACCAATACCGAGGAAGTTGTGACGTTTGCTACAAGGTAGGCGAAAAAACCAAATGGCTGGAAGGTCAAAGCTAGCTAAGCCTAAAGGGTGGGTGGGATGGGAAAACCGGGCAGCTGGAACGGGGCAAAGAGGGCGGTCCCCGGGCACGCCGGCCTTAAATGGGCTAGGCCATGCCTCCCCGGCCCGCCGATTGGCGGGCCGGGTTGTAGGCACGCCCGGGGATTCCCTCGTTCTCACGGGGGCTAAGAGCCAGCCCCTGCGTGAGTGGGAGGGGTGGGCCCGCAACCCCACCTCCTCTCCAGCTCGGAAGTGGCTTTCTATCACACTCAGAGAAAGAATGTCTTCAGTTGGTGGGAATTGTGAGATGCCAAGCGTGCTGTTGCACCGGGGTCCTGCTTACAAACTTCCCAAAGATTGGACCCTTTGAGAAGAGTATGGTAGACCACGTGGCCTTTGGGCCTGATCTAGCAAAGTTCTCCTGTTCTCATTTTTCTGGAAGTAATAATAAAATAACCATAATTTATTATTTATACCCCACCTATCTGGCGGGGTTTCCCCAGCCACTCTGGGCTGCTCCCAACAGAACATTAAAAACACAATAAAACGTCATACAATAAAAACTTCCCTAAACAGGGCTGCCTTCAGGTGTCTTCTAAAAGTCAGAAAGTTGTTTATTTCCTTGACATCAGATGGGAGGGCGTTCTACAGGACAGGCGTCAGTACTGAGAAGGCCCTCTGTCTGGTTCCCTGTAACCTCACTTCTCGCAGTGTGGGAACCGCCAGAAGGCCCTTGGAGCTGGACCTCAGTGTCCGAGCTGAATGATGGGGCTGGAGATGTTCCTTCAGGTATACTGGACCAAGGCCATTGAGGGCTTTAAAGGTCAGCACCAACACTTTGAATTGTGTTCGGAAATGCACTGGGAGCCAAAGCAGATCTCTCAGGACCGGTGTTATGTGGTCTCGGCGGCCGCTCCCAGTCACCAGTCTGGCTGTCGCATTCTGGATTAATTGCAGTTTCTGGGTCACCTTCAAAGGTAGCCCCACGTAGAGTGCATTGCAGTAGTCCAAGCAGGAGATAACTAGAGCATTCACCACTCTGGTGAGACAGTGCGTGGGCAGGTAGGCCTCAGCCTGCATACCAGATGGAGCTGGTAGGCACCAACCTCATTCCTGATGCTCCTTTAGTTAAAAAATAATCTCATACTACAGCTGCCTTTCCTTTTGCTCACACCAAACAAGTCACATACTCGTTTACAGCTTGCTGTGCAGAAGGCTTTGTGGTAAGTGGGATGTCAGTCCCAGATTTAAGAACTATCATGGTTTTCTTTCATTCACTGCTTTGGGTGATCTCTGTTTTCGTCTCCCTCAGATGATGTATCTGGGCTCAGGTCTTTGCTGTGTAGGTGCGCTAGCCGGGTTGTCCAGTCAGAGCACCTCTAGACTTGGCAATGCTCTAGGAATGATTGGGGTTGCTGGCGGCATAGCAGCTACGTTCGGTGCTCTGAAACCATCCCCCGAAGTGCTGGCCCAGATGTCTATGGCCATGGCTATGGGTGGAACCATGGGTGAGTACTGTCCGTTGTACTAACTAAACCATGGGTAGGCAACCTAAGGCCTGGGGGCCGGATGCGGCCCAATCGCCTTCTCAGTCCGGCCCGCGGATGTCAGGGAATCAATGTGTTTTTACATGTGTAGAATGTATCCTTTATTTAACATGCATCTCTGGGTTATTTGTGGGGCCTGCCTGGTGGTTTTACATGCGTAGAATGTGTGCTTTTGTTTAAAATGCATCTCTGGGTTATTTGTGGGGCATAGGAATTTGTTCATTTCCCCCAAAAAAATATAGTCCAGCCACCCACAAGGTCTGAGGGACAGTGGACCGGCCCCCTGCTGAAAAGGTTTGCTGACCCCTGAACTAAACTATTGAACTTAAGCAGGAAGCACCTGGTGCTTCTTGGAAGCACTCCTGCAATGAGAAAGTCATTTGCAGTGAACAAGCTACCAAAGAACGGCTTTCTGGCCACTGCTGTTCTTCCCCTCCAATGTGCAGATACAAGGGAATATTGTTTTACTGTTTGCTGTGTTTTCTAGGTAAAGGTAAAAGGTAAAGGACCCCTGGATGGTTAAGTCCAGTCAAAGGCGACTATGGGGTGCAGAACTGCTGACCTTCCAATCAGCAAGCCCAAGAAGCTCAGTGATTTAGACTACAACACAGTGTTCTAGGACATGTTTTCATTTAATTCAGGGCATTTGCAAGCCCCAACAAGCTGACCTTAATTATGTGCTTCTTAGATCATTCATGGATGGATGGATGGATGGATGGATGGATGGAGTAGAAAGATAATTGCACCAGCCGTTGGAATTTATGTACAAAGCAGTAGATGTTGGTCCATTAGGGTGAATTGGACACTGCCCCACAAATTTCAGAGGTCCTTCCTCTGCACCTTTCTGAACACACCCATTATTCTGTTTAAAAGTGCTGTTGGGCTGCCATAATAACACACATCTGTATGGAACAAGTAGTTTGGGAATGTGGTTCCTTACCCTGCAACCATCAGCTGCCCAGGAGGCTCGGGGACTTTGCTTCAGGATGAGAGCAGAAATTGTTCTCCGGTGGCACGGCGGCAGCAGGAGGCCCCATTAGCTAAAGTGATGCTTCAGGTTAAGAACAGTTTCAGGTTAAGTACGGACCTCCAGAACGAATTAAGTACTTAACCCAAGGTACCAATGTATTTTTTGAACTAGTTGACAAAAAGTGACTAGGTGTGATTATTTCCAAAGAAAAATCCACAAGTTGATTCTTCTTACTGGTTTATGGGGCCCCTGTATGCTGCTCTGATCTACTGTAAAAGATAAAGGGTAAAGGGACCCCTGACTGTTAGGTCCAGTCGCGAACGACTCTGGGGTTGTGGCACTCATCTTGCTTTACTGGCCGAGGGAGCCGTACCGGATGTCAATGCCTTTATGAAAATTTGAACTATTGCTACGGCAGGTAATATGAAGACCTCACTGCCAAGGCATCAGTGATCCATCAGTCAGTGTGTTAAGCATCTTTTGGGACTTAAGAGGTATATTTAACTCCAAAAGGTGGCAGTCTTGACTAAGAGGGAAAATGACAAAATAGAGAAGCAAGATGTTTTAAACATAGGGGGCATTTCCTCTGGAGCCAAATTTGCAGCCAGTTGCTATGAAACAAAGTAGTTTTTGTGACACTGGTGTTTATGAATTTTTGTTATGCTACTTTCTCAAAGTCTGTTTGGCCCCCACAAGGCCAGGCATCCCCCAAGCATATCCATTCTAAATTGTAAAATCAGCTTGCATGTTTTTGTTTTTTTAAAAAAATAGTTTTGTGAATAATCCCTCAGTGAACATAAATGGAGGACAAAATAATGAGAACCTATTCTGTACCCACAAAACCCAAGTTCTTGGAAATGTCCTCTAGAATTCTTTTGGGTGGATTATTTTGTTCTGTGTTTTGCTCTTTACCAGGACTGAAATCCCTTTCCAACAAATATTGATATATCTTGTGCCATTTTTAAAGGATGGCTAATAATAGTTTAGAAATCCATCTCAGTCTTAAAAAACTGGCAGAGCAGAATCCCAGTCCAGCTTTTATGAGTCCTCTAAGAAGCATATAAGAGATGTGGGTGGCACTGTGGGTTAAACCACAGAGCCTAGGACTTGCCGATCAGAAGGTCGGTGGTTCGAATCCCTGCGACGGGGTGAGCTTCCGTTGCTCAGTCCCAGCTCCTGCCAACCTAGCAGTTCAAAAGCACGTCAAAGTGCAAGTAGATAAATAGGTACTGCTCCGGCGGGAAGGTAAATGGCGCTGCTCTGGTTCGCCAGAAGCGGCTTAGTCATGCTGGCCACATGACCCGGAAGCTGTACACCGGCTCCCTCGGCCAATAAAGCGAGATGAGCGCCGCAACGCCAGAGTCGGTCACGACTGGACCTAATGGTCAGGGGTCCCTTTACCTTTACCTTTAAGAAGCATATAGAGCATACAGAACTCACTGCCACCCCCACTCTGTGCAGTAGCAAGATTTCAGGGGGGTTCCGGGTGCCCACCCAGGGTTGGTGTTCCTTTGGAGAATTGAAGACGCAGCAGAGACTGTCATAGCTTTAAGAAACATTATTTATTCACATGATTACACCTTCAGTCTGCATGGAGGGAGTCCAGATCTTACAGCATGGTCATTTCAAGAGGGACTTGTACAGCACTGGAGTCCAAGGCCTCTTTCCCAGCCGCAGTCTTCAGCCATCCTGCCCAAGATGGATCACCCCCTTTGTTCTCTCCTTCTTCCCAACACACCTTGCTCTAAAGACTCTTTTCCTGTCATCTCAAGCACACACCCCATCATCATAGCAACCTCTGTCTGCCCAAGCCCAATATTCCTCTTAATTGGGCCATCAACACCTTTTGTCAGGGAAGCGGGTGGCACTGTGGTCTAAACCACTGAGCCTCTTGGGCTTGCCAATCGGAAGGTCAGCAGTTCGAATCCCCGCAGCGGAGTGAGCTCCCATCGCTCTGTCCCAGCTCCTGCCAACCTAGTAAATCCGAAAACCTGCCAGTGCAAGTAGATAAATAGGTACCACTGTGGTGGGAAGGTAAGCGGCATTTCCTTCCGCTCTGGTTTCTGTCACAGTGTCCCGTTGCGCCAGAAGCAGTTTAGTCCTGCTGGCCACATGACCCAGAAAGCTGTCTGTGGACAAACGCCGGCTCCCTCGGCCTGAAAGCGAGAAGAGCGCCACAACCCCATAGTCACCTTTGACTGGACTTAACCGTCCAGTCAGAGACTGAGCACTGTGGTTCTCAGTCTCAGAGTATTACGTAAGAAGAGCTCCAGTTTTATCCCAGGATTCCATGATACATTTTCCAAACAACAGTGTCCCGTGTCTATTCCAAACTTTAAATCATAGCTAAGTCCCTGTAGGAACAGGCATTCATTGTAGAAATAGACAATACCGGTAGGAAGTGGGTATGGTTATTTATGTCGGTGGTTTTCAAAATTTCTACCTCCAGAGAGTTCTGTCGATGCAGGCATGCCTGCCAAGAAACCCTGGCACGTTGCAGAGGATTCTGGGTGTTCTTCCAGGGCAACCTCTCTCTTTGTAGATCACTTCTGGCTAAGAGTGTTAGCTCTCCACATCACCCTGCTGGGACTGAGGGTGCCCCAAGACACACCCAACCCTCTGTTGCTGAGCATTGCAAGGATATAGTGGACAAACTGTCTCTCAGGGTTATTTGTTTGCCATTATTTATCTACTCTTGACAATGCCCTGTTATGCTTCCAAGGTAGCCCAGGACACCCCAGGAAATTGCTTGAAAATTACTATTTTATGCCATAGTTTGATCTTCCAGCTATCCTTCTATTTAATACAGTCTGCCAACTGCAGATCGCTCTCCCACTCTCCTTCCCCTGATGGGGTTGTGGTTCTGACACCCTATTTTTGCTCTGAGTTCTTTAGATGCTGTTGCCTTGAGAGAGGTTCTTGCGACACCTTCTTTTGGGAGAGGGCTTAAAATAAGTTTGCAATTTCCTATTATTCTGTCTTTGCACAAAAAAAGGGGGGAAATAACTTAAGAAAGTAAAGTAAACAGCCTTTTGTTACTTAACTGGCTGTTTATGTTTCTAAGACGGTATGAAATACAATACAACATTTTCTTTAACGACAACAACAAAAATATCTTGGATCTAAATTGTTTCCTTTTGCAGGTCTCACCATTGCGAAACGGATTGAAATTTCCGACCTTCCTCAGCTTGTTGCTGCATTTCACAGTCTGGTGGGTTTGGCAGCAGTTCTGACGTGCATTGCAGAGTACATGATCGAATATCCACACCTTGATGTCCACCCTTCTGCTAATGTTCTCAAAACAGTGGCCTATTTGGGCACCTATATTGGGGGTGTAACATTCAGTGGTTCTTTAGTGGCATATGGAAAACTACAAGGTACGCTCAATTATTTTTATTTTTATTCCCTGCGGTTTAGACACCCAAAGTTACGGCGTACAACCTTCTGCTAGGATTTCCAAAGGCTTTTAGAGTTAGGAACTCTGTTCACGCTGAATTTCCGTAAGGATTGATGCCAGCCAGAAAGAAAGAAAGAAAGAAAGAAAGAAAGAAAGAAAGAAAGAAAGAACCTTTGAAAATTTTGTGGCTTGGTCCCAAGATTTGCTGAACAAGTAAATTTTTGCTTCGGACACAGCAATTTATTTGCAGAGTAGCTGTAGTGTCATAATATTACAATTTGGCATTGTGTGAGTTATGCAGTCACAACAAGGACCAGCAAAGAGTAGCAGACCAAGTGCTGCACTTAGACTCGAAAAGACCTGGGTTCAAATCCCTGATTTCCAGAAATCTCCTTGACAAAAAGCAGGTTAGGGGACCCAACAAACACATATCCAGCAGGTTCTATTAACACTCTGCTGAACAAACCTCAGTCTTAAAACTTAGGATCACAGGACTGGAAAGGACATCCAGACTAAAAACCCCAAATTGCAATAAAATATTAACATGCCAAAACATTAAGCCTCAATACTGGTTTTTCCCTCCCTAGGTATATTAAACTCTGCTCCGCTTCTTCTCCCTGGTCGCCATTACCTGAACGCTGGGCTGTTGGCAGCTTCAGTTGGCGGCATGATTCCTTTTATGCTAAGCCCCAGCTATACGACCGGCATGGGCTGCCTCATAGGAGTTTCAGGACTCTCCTCCATCATGGTATGAACAGAAATGGAAGCTTTGGGTTTGAAGGAGGGAAAAGGTGGGGCAAGTCAGGAACCAGAGGTGAGGGCAGAATTGGGTCAAGAGGGAACCTGGTGCGTGTTAGAATTCCTGTTCCATGATTGCAGTCATGGGATTTTTGTCCATCACATAATGGTATAAGTTTTGACTCCACAGAGTGGGAAGTGTCGGAGACAGGATGTTTGTGTTACTGTGTTCCGTGAAGTGGAACTATTGTCCTTTGTTCTTTTTCTCTTTGCTGTCTGATGCTAGAGAGAGAGGGAGCCATTTTGCAGTGCTCCATGTGTGTTTATATGTAAATAAAGTAGATTAGCCAAAATGCTGAGTTGCTGAGGTCTGTCACGCATGATGCGCAAACTCTGCGGATCCCTATGTGTGCCGGTGTCTGTTGGCATCGGTCGTTGTGATGTTCAGGTTGAAGAAAGATTTTGAGGCTCCTGAATGAACAACCAGGAGGGAGAGAACATGCCAGTTGGACATGTGTCTCTGCCAGGGTCCTACTCGAGTGTAGGCCGAACTCCTGACAGTGAGTTGGGGCAGAATCTTCTAGAACAGATTGGTAATGGTAGGAGGATGGAGTCATGGACACTGGACTGTGAAACAGATTTATTAGGCAGTGAGGCTGGCACAAGTCTAGTGAGCTGATACTGTGCAGTTCGAAAAATGGGAGAGGGGGTCAGATACATTAGGCGTATTAATTAAGCACTTAAAGATGAAGCAATGTCAGGGACGGCATGTACACAAATTATAAAAGGGTAAGATGTGCTCAGTCTCCGTACTGAAAACAAACTGCCCAAATTATATTTTAAAAGCCCTTCTTCTTTTTGACTCGAACCTCCTCCTCTTCACCTTCATCTTCAGGCAGGTAACATCCTTGTAAAGTAGCCATTTTGTGTGTGCCTATTACAGTTACTGTACGTGTTAAGTTGTGGGTGAACATATCAGACGACACAGCGATTCTTCAAACAGCTCTTGTTTATTCAGAGGCCAGAACTGAACTGAACTGAACTGAACTGAAGGGTTCAGTCAGCCTGCTTATATAGAGCTCCAGTACAATGTAACTGTAACAATTTTCTAAAGCTATCCAATCACTGAACATCACTTTCGATCCCTTATTTGCATAACTATCTACAGTATCCCCCTGCTGGCCCAGGGTGAAAACTTCAGTACATAACAGTACAAAGACAGATTAATAAATGAATCATTGCCGTATAGGTAGATAAGTACAGATTCCTTTGAAGAAACCACTGGTACGGGATGTAAGCAAGGAGCAAAGCATGTTTTGTATTCGTTCATGTTCCTCCATCTCCTTTCTATAGTGTGGGTTGTCAAAGAGAGGAATTTGTTTAGCTGGAAAATCTGCTTTTAAAAGCAACCCTCTTGTCATGCTCCTTGGCGAGTCAGACAATGGGGTTGGTAGTAGGTTGTTTTTTTTCTTTGTTTTTAAGTAAGGCCAGCACTGAAATATACTGGGTTTTTAGACCCCAGTACGTATTAACTTGCCAGAATGTGGTTTAGCTGGTTAGCAGAGTGTAATCATGGAACGTCAGCTACCCTTGGCATGCAAATATATTCCAGACAAAAAGGCTGGGTATAAATTTAGTAAACAAATAAATAGCAGTGACATAGTCTGCACTGTTGATCACAAACAAGATAATTTAGGGTATATAATTGCTCCTGGACCATGGGGTGGGATGGAGAAGCAACTATTTTGATGTTGCTGTCGTTCAGCCCAATAAATCATATTGTTTTCCCTATTGCGTGTGTAAGAAATATAAAATAAGTCAGACTGGTTTTTTTAGTGTGGTGGTTGGGCCGCCAGCAAAGGCTGTGCTGTGCTGCCTATTTTGAATTTCAAGCAAGGTAGCACAAACTTCTCCCACGAATATCCAGCGTCTGCTGAGCAATACAAGATGCAGCTGCGGCTGGAAGGGGCTGGCAATGTTCCGAGGACTCCGCAGAGCCCTCTTCAAAATAGTTGTGCGGCTCTATAGAAATTCCATGAAAAAATCCAGTGCAACCCCTTCAGGATCCCACAAACCACATCTGCAGGGTTCCAAAAACTTCTTAGCTGCGGGCTTTATGGTGAAATAAGCTACTGGTTTAATCAGTCAGATGTTATTGTAATCCTAGATTGGAGAGAGAAAGAGAGAGATAACAGTATGAGCCAAGAACGGGCTTGATGTAGGGTTCCCAAATGTCTGTTTGACGTAACCAAGATCTTTGGGTAGATGCTTGCAATTTTCTTTTTTTTGGGGGGGGGGTTAATAATTAATGCCCTTCTTTTGCACCATTCAGACTACTGTGGCTGTAGTACACTAGGAAATATAGGGAGCATTGTAGTAACACTGTCATGTGAAGGAGTCAATAGGTTTTTGGGAAGGACAGTAAGATGGGCAGATCAGAAGAGTCCTTATTGGCACTTCTAGATATTTAATTGAACTGTCCTCCATTCCAATTGCCAATGCAAGGCATATATGGCTTTTGCCATAGAAATGGAACAAAGCACCTGTAGAGTGGACTGTCCAGAGTCAACCTTTACTTTAATTACTTAAAGTACTTCTTCTTCTTCTTCTTCTTCTTTGATCACTCGTAGCCGAGTAAGATTGTCTTCCATAAACATGGTCTTAACAGTGAGTCTGTAAGTGACTGTGGAGGCCAGTTCTGGATCCACACGTCCTTCCACAGTGGGGACATAGGTTTCCAGGCAGGAGTTTGCCAAGCGTGCCTTCCTCTTAGCACATTCCCCCCTTTTGCCCAAATTTTGGGCATCTTCAAAGCCCATTGAAGACATAGGTTTCTGGGTGGGAGTTGATCACTGTGTGGATTTGCCAAGCGTGCCTTCCTCTTATAGCACGTTTCTCCCTTGCGTTCTGAGTTCAAGTGTCTTCAAAGCGCATGACACCTTTGGTAAAGGCTGTTCACCAACTGGAGCGCTCACATGCCAGTGTTTCCCAATTGTTGGTGTTTATACTACAGTTTTTTAGATTTGGCTTGAGAGAGTCTTTCAACCTCTTTTGTTTAATGCTTTCCATTTTTAAGTTCGGAATAGAATAGTTGCTTTGGAAGATGATAATCAGGCATCCACACAACCTGATCAGTCCAACAAAGTTGATGTTGAAGAATCATTGCTTTAACACTGGTGATCTTTGCTTCTTCCAGTACACTGGCATTAATTTTACTTAAAGTGCTGGCCATGTATGACCGCAGTCTTTGTTTAATCTCTATGCCTCACACATACTGCTGATTAAACTCCCATTTCTTTCCTCCCCACTCCTTTTCTTTCTAATGTGGACCTTATACACCCTTGCTGTTACTTAAACCTGACCTACGTTGGGTTCACCTTCCCTTTTTGGCACGTGAAAATGGCAGGGAGTAACCCTGACGGCAGCTATTGGTGGAGCGGATATGCCTGTGGTGATCACTGTACTCAACAGCTACTCTGGCTGGGCCTTGTGCGCAGAGGGGTTTCTTCTGGACAACAACCTGATGACCATTGTTGGAGCCTTGATTGGTTCTTCCGGAGCTATCCTGTCTTACATCATGTGTGTGGTAAGTAGGGGGAGGGGAGAAATTTGAATCAGTTCTCCTTTGAAGGTGAACGTGTCTAGTTTGCGCTTTCCAACCAGAGAACTGAAGGACAGCCAACCTGTGAAACTCACACTTCTCCAAATTTTGCCACGCAGTTCTCCAGCCAAGTACAAAAATGCATATCTACTAGGGTGAAATGTGCATAAGAATGCACATCATGATAATATATATATATATATATATATATATGCATTACAGTAGAGGAATTTGCTTTGTGAAATTTTGTATATTGGGCAAAACTGCATACAGATGTGTATATTAGGAGAAATCTGCAGTAGAATGCCAGTGAATTTTCATGAACTTTAAAAAAAAAATGTGAGAATTTGTTTTCCTTAAAAAAAAATGCAAACTGATTTGGGAATGCAGAGAACTGAACTTAAGATTGGAAAGGCGAAAAACTGAGAGAAACCAAAATATACAAGATTCACTGATCCCCAGTATAAGATGAGTATAGGCACCCCGTGGTTGGTGTGTTTTCATTTTTCATTTAGCAAGGCAATAATTTCATGACTACCCCAACTTTATCTAGCAGCTGGAGCAACCCAGCCAGATAGGCAGGGTATAAATAATAAAATTATCATCACCGCCATCATCTTTAAGTCACTAGGTGTCAGCTGCTACATCATCAATGTCCTTGTGAGGAAAGAGTACTGGAGATATATGCTGGGTTTGTTTGCTGTTTTGTCATTTTAAAAAATCATTTACAAATATGCATGTTGAGGAGGGAAAACAGGCCAACCTCTCTCCCTGTTATATACACACACAACCTGACAGGACACTTGTCTCAGCCTCCACATTGGACGATGTATCTAGCCTTGCTCTACAATGTCAATCAGTCATCAGTACCCATTAATGGAAAAAGGGGGACCTGTGGCCCTCTGAATGTTTCTGTATTACAACTCTCCTCATCCCTCACAATTGGCCATGCTGGCTGAGCTTGATGGGAATTGGAGTCCAACAACACAGACCTCTCACCGCTACATTATAGGAACAGGCTTAGGCACTGCTTTTTTTCTAAAAAATGTTTAGGGGAACTCTCATTTTCCTATCCATATTGAAATACTGCCCCCCAATGAGGCCAAACTTAGATTCACAAAATGTTTAGGGGTATGCATACCCCTGCATTCGCCCCTCCCCGAAAAAAATGCACTGGGTTTAGGTATTAACAAAACAGGCTGTGTGCAGTTATAGTGTGTAACAGTGGTTTGCTTTCCTTATCTATGAGTAAGCATTATGACGAAATACCTAACCATAGTTGATCACAAACCAGGATATGAAACCATGAGTTTGAAAGCAATGGGTTGTAGCCAACAAAATTCTACTCAAGAATAGACCCATTAAAATTAATAGACCTCAGTTAGTCCTGTCCATACTCTGAGTATGACTAATGTGGATACAATCTCGTGGCTTTAATTAACCATGTTTAAGCATTCAGTAAAGCAATGGTTAATGTAGTTTTACTGCCTCTCCATTCACCCCAGGTGGCAAGCAGATATCCCAAGTGGTTTTGGTTAGACCTGACATTTGCTAATATATGTCTAATGGTTTGTCCAGGCCATGAACCGATCTTTGCCAAATGTCATTTTGGGTGGATACGGTACAACATCCACGGCTGGAGGAAAGCCCATGGAAATAGTTGGAACACACACCGAAGTTGGAATCGATCAAACTGTTGACATGATCAAGGAAGCTAATTCGATCATCATTACACCTGGTAAGAGTTCAACAATGCTTTATTAAATTGTTTAGTAGTTATGCACATGGGCTATGAAAATGTTATTGCTGAGGTTCTTGTTCTGCTGTTATCTGTGCAGTTCCCAAATATCCATATTTATTTTCCCAATTAACAAATAACTTTTCACTATATGGAATGCAAAGGTAAACAATCTCTAATTACCTACTTGTTAAAGCAAATGCTGTTAGTCACCTCAGTCTCTGCTGACATCTGTGCCTCAGCTGAGATGATTAGAAGATCATATGAGGTGAGGTTGGTTGGGCCACTTAGTGGTCAAGGCTGAGAACTGAACTTCAGTTGTGTGCTGAGACAAACAAACAAGTTGACCTGGAATGAGTCTGTACCTCAGAAAAGTGCGTAATGTCACTGACCAGAAATGTCCTTTTCTAAAACAGTGGGAAGGAGACTTGGAGACATTTCTGAAACTGAAAGCTGATTCAGGATGTAAGAAGGCTTCATTTTCCTTTCTACCCTTTGTTCATTGCATGCAGCACTGCTTTCCATTCCACCGGAGTTCATCTTCTGCTAAAACTGCATTACTTGTCTTGCTGTCTGCTCCGGCAAAATGATTTAACTTATGTAATTTACGTAAGAAATTACGTTGTCATTATATTATTCCACTGTATTCGTTCCACTGCAAACAAAAAATAATGCAATTTGGGGGACATGGATGCAATCGATTATGTATCGTTTGCAGACTAATAACGACAACATCATATATCGATGTTATTAGCTGGATTGATTTCTGTTCCAGAGAGGGGACAAATAAGCCAACATTGGCAATTTCTGCTCCCGTTTCTGTTTTTTGTCAGAATTCTCTGGCATCCCTAGAGCTAACTGACAGTTCTACCAGATTCTAGATGGCGAAGGTTCAGACTGGGGTGGAGGAAGGGGTGTGCGGTGGGTGCAGGCCGCCCCAGGTGTCACCACTGAGGGGGGTGACAAAATGCCGGGCAGCACTCACCACGGGGCCTGCAGCGTGCCTGAGCCGCACGTCTCTCAGTGGCTTGGGCACGCACAGGCTCCACACTGCCCAAACGGTCTGCCTGCTGCCTTCCCCCCAGCTGTAGGGAGACTGGGAGAAGGCAGGCAGATTCTGGAGGCCCTGCCCCATCCCGCCCATATGGGTGGCTTGCCCCACTACTGGGTGCACCACACCAGGTGCCCGAGTGGCTTCCTCCACCACTGGGTTCAGAAGCAAACCAGAGTTGAGCTTCTCTTCTTTCTCCAGCTTAGCAAAAAAAAAGCCAAACAGGAATAAAGGCCCTGCTTTACCAAGTCCTTAGGAGGGTAGTCTCTCAGGAGCTCAAGTTCAGGAGCTTCAAGAGGAGAATGGGTTTTTCTATTTTGTCTTCAAGAAGAAGCCACCTGTCCTCCTGTCGTTCCCATATACCATGGCCCCCTGAGCAAGACAGAGTGGGTGAGGAAAAATCAGGATGGTGCCAAAGTCATCTTGCACTCTTCTGATGCCAGCTTCTTTTCTGTGTGGCAGAGCTTGAAGGGCATAAATGACACCTGGAGTTGCTTCATTTGGTGACTTGAACATGCATTCTGTCTGGAATAGACTAATAGCTCTTCTGTGGCGCTTCTTCTTCATTATTACAGGGCTGGGAAGCATAATGACTCCAGGGGGTTTGATGCTATCCTGATTTTTTTGTCCATTTCCAAGCTACATTATTTGACCATGAGACACTGTACCACATGGTCTTTGAATTCTCCAGAAAAGCATTCCTCCTCTTATTTTTATAGGAAACCAAAAAAATATGTCCTACTGGATGAGTCTGAGTTCATAGCAAAAAAGAAACAAACCAAAAAGAAGATGCAAGTCACTGATCTCATTGACAGGGAAAATTCCCCTGCTAGGGGCATTGAGTTGTTTGCAGGAGCATTCAATTAAACCAGCTGGTGGTCTTGGCAGGACAACTTCAGCTTGGATGCTTGAGCCAGGCCTATCTCTTCTTGGGCTCTGATAGTTCAAACCTCTTGCAGGAACAGAAAATGAACATGTCGAAGTCCATTATTCCCCATCTAAACATACTGCTTTTGAGGGAGGTGGGATGAGAGAGAATGAATTTAATACTTCAGAGATGTTTTTTCAGTCATGCTTTAAAATAGGGTTACCAGACGTCCTCGTTTCCCGGGGACAGTCCCTGGATTTGCAAATAAGTCCCCAGGCAAATTCCATCCCCGGAATGTCCCTGGATTTCATCTAATGTCCCTGGGAAACGCATCAGCGGCAGTCTCTCAGCACCCCGGAGCAGTTGGTATTGGCTGGCTTCAGGAGCTGCTTGGAAGTCCCCGTATGGTGGTGGTGCAGGGGCTCTAAGATGCAGCTTCCGGGCTGCCTCCACCTTCCCTGACCCCAGCAACTAAGCTGTGAAGGGAGGCTTCATGCTGCCTATCAGAGCTTGCGTGCAAGCAGGAGGGGACAGGGATCTCTCACTTAGGCAATGGGAAGCCTCGCTTCCCAGCTGAGGGATCCCTGTCCCCTCCTGCTTGCACGCAAGTAGGAATGGGATTGGGGCTGTTCCGATGGGAAGGGAGGCATCACACTGCCTGAGAGATCCCTGCCCCTCCTGCTTACACGCAAGTAGGAGTTGGGATGGGGCTGCTCTGAAAGGCAGTGTGAAGCCTCCATTCCCAGCTGAGGGATCCCTGTCCCCTCCTGTTTGCACGCAAGTAGGAATGGGATTGGGGCTGCTCTGATGGGAAGGGAGGCATCGCGCTGCCCGAGCCTCGCCGCCGTCGCTGCCGCTCTTGGCCCTCCTTCTCCGCCTTCCATGTCTGACCCAACACGCACCACTTCCCCACCACCACCACCAAAGAACCAACAACTCAGGGGCTGCCCAGGCTCATGGAGAAAGGAGATAGAAGCCTCGAAGGAAGGGGAAACGTGGTGGTTGAGGTCAAGGCGGCGGCCGCCCCTCTGCCACCACCATCGCTGCAGCATCAACATCCCAAACTTGTAGTATTTTATTGGTTGGTTGGTTGGTTGGTTGGTTGGTTGGTTGGTTGTACCCCCGGATTCATTGAAAAAAATCTGGTAACCTTACTTTAAAATATATATTTTACATGCTTGGAGTGCTCAGATATTTCCTCCTGGTCATAATACCAAAATTCCTCTCCCTCAAGAGATGGGAGAATTTTGTGCAATGAAAGTTTGTAGGGGGAAATTTCATCTGGAACTAAAGACTGAGTTCTGAATTCAACACTGCAGAGTGTTTGGAGGGCTGGGAATCCTCTGGTTGTTTCCTAGTAGGGTTTTAGCAGTGGGTTGTATTGGTTTTCTTTATGCTACCCCCAACTCCATTTGCTCCTAAATGTCTGTCTTAATTTTCATACCGTTGGGTTGATGTTCTACGATTGTTATATACTCTGGTAAGACTTTTTGCTTATTTGTGGGCCACTGTGGACCCTTGGTATATATTTGCAGCCAGATAAAAGGGCCCCAGAATCTTTGTTTAAATCTAGGGCTGGCGATGGTGGTCAGAGTAGCTGGGGGCCTGGAAACTCCTAGCACTGTTGCTGCCGCTGCTGGCTCTCACAGCTGTCTTCTCTGAGCATGCAAACAGCGACCAGAATAACTAAAGATGGAGCGGCATTTTCCCATTTCCCCCCAAAAGGGGGACCCAGACTTGGCCCCGTGTCAGTGGGGGTGGGCCCAGCTTTTGCCCAAGGATAATAATTTATTATTTATACCCCACCCATCTGGCTGGGTTTCCCCAGCCACTCTGGGAGGCTTCCAACAGAATATTAAAATACAATAGTCTATTAAACATTAAAAGCTTCCCTAAACAGGGCTGCCTTCAGATGTCTTCTAAAAGTCTGGTACAGTGGTGCCTCGCAAGACGAAAATAATCCGTTCCGCGAGTCTCTTCGTCTAGCGGTTTTTTCGTCTTGCGAAGCAAGCCCATAGGGAAATTCGTCTTGCGAAGCGCATCGAAAAACGGAAAACCCTTTCGTCTAGCGGGTTGCGAGGCATTCGTCTTGCGGGGCACCACTGTATTTGTTGTTCTCTTTGACATCTGGTGGGAGGGCGTTCCACAGGGCGGGTGCCACTACCGAGAAGGCCGTCTGCCTGGTTCCCTGTAACTTGGCTTCTCGCAGCGAGGGAACCGCCAGAAGGCCCTCGGAGCTGGACCTCAGTGCCCGGGCAAAACGATGGAGGTGGAGACGCTCCTTCAGGATGGCATGTTCTGGTGCTTGGCTTGCCAGGTGACGAGGGAACACACTGAACTATATTGCCTAGAGTGTTCTAAACCGAAAGCTTTCCACTACTTATTGGGACAGTGCGCAGTTCAATTTACTGCCCCTGAGTATGACACAGACTGTGCAAGACATGCCAGCTACTCTCTTTGACAGAATAGCATAAAGAAAAAAAAAGGGGGGGGGGACACCATTTTTTTGTCCCATGAGTTTTTAAAGTTGCACCACACGAAAAGACAACAAATGAAGAGGCGCTATTGGAGAGATGAGTGTTAAAGGGATAAATGCGAACATGCACTTTGAGATGTGCTGCATACACATACCATACATTTAAAGCACATCTATTTCCCCCAAAGAATCCTGGGAACTGTAGTTTATTAAGGGTGCTAGGAACTACAGCTCTGTGGGAGGCTAAACTACAGTTCCCAGGATTCTTTGTGGGGAAGCCATACGCTTTGAATGTCGGTGTGTATGCAGCCTTAGATTTGGTTGGAAATTCAGACCTGGGAGATATTAAGCAAGTGCTTAAGCTCTGATTTCTTTTCTCTCGTCATTATAGGTTGGGGCCTTTGTGCAGCGAAAGCTCAGTATCCTATTGCTGACATGGTAAAGATGCTTAATGAACAAGGGAAGAAAGTCAGGCAAGTGTGATCAATATGCTGGTATAAACAGTTTATATTACTAATAAGAAAATTAGCTTTAGTCCCCGGAGATCTGGTGTGATCTACAACCATTAACTCTACAGTAACAGCTTTGATGGCGCTCTTATGGAGTGAGATAATTCTTTAAAAAGATGACCTTGCTATGTGGAGGCATATCATAAGACCTGTTTGTATCTACCCTTCATCCATGAGAAATGGTTGGCCACTTCTTTTCCTTCTGTCTTCATTCCCCTCCTTTCATCTCGCTCCTCAATTAGTGGGTCCTGCTAACGAGAAACATCATAAAACTCGAACTCATAGCTAACAGCAGTGGTTGCTTTTTTGTGATAGGGAATGAGTTGCTTGTACAGTGGTACCTCGGTTTAAGAACAGTCCTGTTTATGAACTATTCTGTTTACAAACTACGCAAAACTGGAAGTAGTGTTCCAGTTTGCGAACTTTACCTCGGTCTAAAACGGAAACCGAGTGGTGGAAGGGCACCGGCAGCGGGAGGCTTCACTGGGGAAAGCGCACCTCGGTTTAAGAACGGATTCGGTTTAAGAACAGACTTCAGGAACGGATTAAGTTCGTAAACCGAAGTACCACTGTACTCATGTTGTGGGTGCCAGCACAAAATGGCTGCCCATGGCATCAAAAAAAAAAAGGGGGGGACTGTACTCTGTGAGTACCATCCATCACTGGTTAACAGAACAAAACAAACTGCTTTGCTGGTTCAAAAGGTTATAAAGAGTCAGTACAGTGTATGTGGAGAGCTATTTTATGATGAGCTACATCTACTGAAAGCCCTGTCTTCTTTTGCACTGCGCCACTCTGGTCATGCAGCCATGAATGGCACGGAGCATCTACACATTAAAAATAGTGGCAACTTTTGCACATTTTCTCCTCTGCACCCTATTGTGCTCTGCCACCACAACAAATAGCAACATGCTCCTTGTTATTTATTTATTTATTTATTTATTTATTTATTAATCACCTTTATAGACTGCCTTTCTGCCAAGGCATTTTATGCTTCCTAGGCTGCCGGAAGTCTACATTTCCCTCCATCTCAGAACACTGCCGTTCCTCCATTAGGAATACAGGAAGCTGACTTAAACAGAGTCAGACCAAGTTTCATGATTGTTATCACATCTAGTTTGGCTGTTTGAGTTCTGGACATGGATGAGGGACATGTGGATATGGAACCCTGCTTAGGTATGAATCTTACTAGGAGTAATTGAGCCAATAATAATAATAATAATAATAATAATAATAATGTATTATTTATACCCCTATCACCTGGCTGGGTTTCTCCAGCCACACTGGATGGCTCCCAACAGAATATTAAAAACACGATAAAACATAAAACATTAAAAACTTTCCTAAACAGGGTTGCCTTCAGATGTCTTCTAAAAGTCAGATAGTTGTTTATTTCCTTGACATCTGATGGGGAGGGCGTTCCACAGGGCGGGCGCCACTACTGAGAAGGCCCTCTGCCTGGTTCCCTGTAACCTCACTTCTTGCAGTGAGGGAACCGCCAGAAGGCCCTCGGAGCTGGACCTCAGTATACGGGCTGAACGATGGGGGTGGAGATGCTCCTTCAGGTATACTGGGCCGAGGCCGTTGAGGGCTTTAAAGGTCAGCACCAACACTTTGAATTGTGCTTGGAAACATACTGGGAGCCAATGTAAGTCTTTCAGACCGGTGTTATATGGTCCCGGTGGCCACTCCCAGTCACCAGTCTAGCTGCCGCATTCTGGATTAGCTGTAGTTTCTGGGTCACCTTCAAAGGTAGCCCCATGTAGAGAGCATTGCAGTAGTCCAAGTGGGAGATAACCAGAGCATGCACCACTCTGGCGAGACAGTTTGCGGGCAGGAAGGGTCTCAGCCTGCGTACCAGATGGAGCTGGCAGACAGCTGTCCTGGACACAGAATTGACCTGTGCCTCCATGGACAGCTGTGAGTCCAAAATGACTCCCAGGCTGTGCACCTGGTCCTTCAGGGGCACAGTTGCCCCATTCAGAACCAGGGACCAATTATACTCTCTTGGCCTAGCGTACCTCACAGATATTAGCAGAGTGACTGAAAAGGATCAGACCAGAGTCCACAGAGAAAAGAAACTGATGCTAATTTACTCAATGTGAGCTGAATAAAAGCAGCACATAATATGAGGATAAATAAACAGAACTTTTTTCTTTCATAGGGTACATAGGGTAAAAACTGATTAAGAAGTACTTTTCCCTCCTACACTTGCAATTGTGAAAACTCAGCTGACACTTTCGTACTGACACTTAACTCCCAACTAACTACAGCCTCCAGCCAGTTGGAGTTTGCTGTCATTCAGACCAATAACAGACCTAACCCCTTAAGACTCTCGCTGAATAGTCCCTGCTATTGCACTTCTCACAATAGGTTCCGACCATCTGTTTCAAGCTGAGAACGATGCTGACCCATTGAAATTGCCTTTCACGAATGCTGGCTGCCTTTGCTACCTATCACTCTCTCCTTAGTGGTTCAATCAGGAGGTAGGCAAGCCTGGAGCTGGCCTGCCGCCGCCTGCATAGCATTGCTAACATTTATCAGTTTCTTTTTATTAGTTCAGCATGTCTTGGACGCAATGTGGCCATTCCTTTTCTCTCTTTGGTTCCAGGTTTGGCATCCATCCGGTGGCAGGCCGTATGCCAGGGCAGCTGAACGTTCTGTTGGCAGAAGCCGGTGTCCCTTATGACGTTGTGCTGGAAATGGACGAGATAAATGAAGATTTCCCAGGTAAAGAATGAGGGTGGAGAGAGGAGAGAGAAATAAATAAATAACAGTTTATCTTTTATTTAAACCATGCTGAGAAAGTTAGTTGTATTGTGTGCTTTTGCAATTAGGCCAAAGAATAATCATGCTGTCTCAAGTGCTATTTTCCCTTGTCTCCTATCCTCCTCTGACTTCTCCCATAGAAGCTCTCCAGGTATCAACTTTAGCTGAGCCCCATAGCAATCTTTTTTTTTTTAAAAAAATAATATTTATTATTTTCTATACATAAACATAACAGAAGAAAAAGCCAACAATAATAAAGAAAAAAGAATTAAATGAAAAAAAAGGAAAAGAAAAAAGAACATAAAATACATCAAATCACCACATAAACTGAAACTTAATTAATTACTCAAAATCCATCTTCATAAACATATTATTTGACTTCCTCAAATCTCTTCCATCTGAGTTTCTTAGTAATTATATATAGCAGTTTCCAATATAATTATTTCATAAAACAATATCACAGTCATAATCATATTTCCTAACTTTTCTTATCGTACATTTTCTTATTTGTTTATTTAATCCCAATTTAATCCTAGGCCTAATTGATTCTTTCAAGTGATTACATATCTTTAATATTACAATATTTATTCAAATAGTCTTTAAATTTCTTCCAGTCTTCTTGGTATTCCTCTTCTTTCTGGTCGTGGATTCTCCCGGTGAGATCAGCCAGCTCCATAAACTCCATCATCTTCATCTGTCATTCTTCTACCGTTGGTAGTTCTTGTGTTTTCCAATTTTTGGCTAGTAAAATCCGTGCAGCAGTTGTGGCATACAAAAATACTTTAACATCTTTTTTGGGCAGTTCAGAACCTGTTATTCCAAGGAGAAAGGCCTCTGGTTTCTTCATAAAAGTATATTTCATCATTTTTTTTAATTCATTATAATTTTTTCCCCAGAAGTCTTTAACCTTGGAGCAAGTCCACCACATATGATAGAAAGTACCTTCTTTTTCTTTACATTTCCAACATAAATTATCACAATTGTGGTAGATCTTCGCCAATTTAACAGGGGTTAAGTACCATCTATACATCATTTTCATAACATGAGCCCCATAGCAATCTGCACCAGCTACACACCTGAAGCCTACACCCTAGGTGTACTACTATTTGTTCAAACCTCTCTCAGTGGCTTTGGGCCATCATATTGCGAGCATCAGATTTTCAGAGGGCTATTCTGGAAAGCGGTTCTGCTTGTGTTGCATACTTTCTCAGCTGACTTCAGAGGTGGTCTGCTTCCCCAGACTTTCTCTTCTAGAATGAGCTGAGAGATGCAAGAGCCTTTTGATGTTTCATTGGGGAGGTCAAGTTTTATAGCGTGATGCTGCTGGACAAGAATTAAATGATCGAGCTAACAATGCATCTATGAATCAGCAGCTTACAGCTGTCAAGCTGGTGCTCCAGCAAGTCTCCTGCGTAAAATCTCTTTAAGCAATGAAAGAAGCAGAACACTTGTGGGAATCAGAAGGCAGCCAAAAAGAGAATGGAAAAAGGAATTTCAAAAAGGAGCTCGGAAGTAATCTCAAGCCTCCCTCTTAAAAATCTGTGCTTTGAAATGAAAGTGTCCCCCCACCAAAATCCAGATGCTCATAAATTATAATTTAAATTATATAAATTAATCTTACCCTTCCTATTTCATTAAAAAGGCTGCTACTTTCATATTGCAAAACTGATCTAGGTAAACCATCTGGGCCACGGGCATCATATGAAAAGTAAGCTTTTGAATCGAGTTGTGAATATTGAATCTCACACTTCTTAACACCGTTGTTGGGTTCAGCTAATTGAGAAGATTGCCTGTTTCTTCTTTGGAAGAGGGCATGACATTAAGTCATGACTATTCCTTTATAATAATTTTCAGCTGTCAATCAGAATTCACTGTTAGTCCTTCAGTGAAGGGACTTAACCCTGTGAAATTGGCTAGGCCAGTGCGGTAGAGACTACTATCCCTCCTGCATCATAAAGGTAAAGGGACCCCTGGATGGTTTAATGTATGACCCAGGCACTCAGCAGAAGGGACAAATTGTGTCAATTTCTTCCTCTTTGTCTGAGGAAGAGAAATAACAAACATAAGACTCATGTGCGGTTGAGCATCAGCATGGAGTGCCTAAGTCTTCTGTTACAGCTGATGACACACAGCTCTACCTCTCCTTTACATCTGCAGGTGTTCTAGATTCAGGTAGGTAGCCGTGTTGGTCTAACGCAGTCGAAATAAATAAATAAATAAATAAATAAATAAATAAATGTATGTCCAGCAGCACCTTAGAGACCAACTAAGTTTCTTCTGGGTATAAGCTTTCGTGTGCATGCACACTTTTTATACCCAGAACAAACTTAGTTGGTCTCTAAGGTGCCACTGGACAATGTTTTTATTTATTTCATCTGCAGGTGTGGCAGGTGTGGCAGTGGAAGTGTTGGACCATTGTCTTGCCTCAGTAATGGACTGGATAAGAGGCAATAAACTGAAGCTCAATCCAGATAAAACTGAGGCAGTGTTAGTAGGTGGTACCCAGGACTGGTTGCATGAAAGATTTCCTGCTTTTGATGGGGTTACACTCCCGCTGAAGGAGTGGATATGCAGATTTGAGGTGCTTCTGTTGTTATTGTTTGAGTCTCAGGTGGCCTCATAGTGCACATTTAGATGTGGTGGCATGTGCCCTAGTTGGCTTGAGGGAGTTTTCCTTCAGATGTTTGGTTGAATGTCTCCCTTCCTATGTACAAGTCCTGAACTAAGAAAGACAAAACCTCTCTGTTCCTTTCTCATTGTTTCTGTTCAATTTCTTTATCAGGTTTTCTTTTCTCTCTGGCCTCCAGATTTATATGTTTATAAGATTTATATGCTTAGATGTTTTATCTGTCTCCGCATCCCAAGGGAATTAAGCAGTTGTCTGCCAGTGAGTTTGAAAGTCCTGACAAAAGACAGTAGCTTTTCAAGTTTCTGAAGTGCTGATGAGTTTTCTTCTGCCTCTCAGACACAGATCTGACTTTGGTAATCGGTGCCAACGACACTGTGAACTCTGCAGCACAAGAAGATCCAAATTCAATTATAGCTGGTATGCCTGTATTGGAGGTCTGGAAATCTAAGCAGGTAAGTAATGGCAAGGGATTGATCCTTTTGTGATAGCCTCCAACAGAATTCCCTTTACATCTCAACCCATGAGAATCGGGCACAGGTTCCTCATTCTTGATGGATCCTTGGCCTGTTCTGACAGGGCTAGTCCTACGTCGTAAAGAACATGCCTTTAATAAAGGAAGAGGATTCATAAGACTGTATTATGGCATGTGTACTTAATTGGCTCTTCTGTCTACTTCACTTAGTTACGGGTACTTATGCCCAGTTAAAAATGGAAAGGTTTCCACTACAGTTTAGGGTTGCCATATTTCAAAGAGTAAAAACCAGGACACCCTGAAAGTTGTTGATCTTTTTTAAGGAAAACCTCAAAAACACGATTTTTCAATTGATTTGGTTCCCCCCAGACATCAATTCCGCCTTTGGAATTGTATAGACGTTTGGCAGCCCTACCAAAGTTATCTTCCTTAACATTTCCATGTCTAAAGCTTTAAGGCACTTCAATTCACAGTTGTATGTGGTAATATTCCAAGGTCTCTTTAAGTGCTTGAATACTCACTTTTATGGAGTTGGGCCATGTTGAATTGATGATTTCAACCACATAATAATTAAACAATCCATGGCCTTTTAAATTGGGGCGGTGGTATGGTTTTTGTTTATTATGGTATGTATTTTTGTGTTTTTGTATTGTGAACAATCCTGTGATCTTTGGATGAAGGGCGGTATAGAAATTTAAGAAATAATGATGATAATATGGTTTCAGAGTAGGTACACTATGATTGCTTGAGTATCTCTCTATTCATGCCGCCATTTTGTTTCTCCACCAGGTCATTGTCATGAAGCGCACCCTGGGAGTTGGGTATGCTGCAGTTGACAACCCCATTTTTTACAAGCCCAATACCTCAATGCTGCTTGGTGATGCCAAGAAAACCTGCGATGCTTTACAAGCCAAAATTAGGGAATCTATTTCTACCCATTAGTATTCCGTGTTTTGTGTAAAAACATAGGGCACCAGCCACCCAACAATAAACCTTGTTTAGTACCATTCATTTCATTGGTTGAGTTTATTTATTATAACTTATTTAATACATTTGTACCTTGCTCTTCGGCCACAGAAGAGCTCCTGGAGCAGCTTACAAATATCAGGAATAAGACAGCACAGAAAGTTGAGCATTTTGAAATCAAGGGAACTAAAATGAGGGCAACTTTGACTGGATTGCGTCCATAATTTGGTATTGTTTAGGAAATAAGTTTGGTGGTGGGTGGAGACTTTTTTATATATACAGCTGTGTCCAAAAGACAGCTAGAAGAACCTGAGGCATTGGATCATGTTAGTAATTTGTGGGTTCTGTAAAGGTAAAGGACCCCTGGGCGGTTAAGTCCAGTCAAAGGCGACTATGAGGTTGCAGCACTCATCTTGCTTTCAGGTCAAGGGAGCTGGCATTTGCCCACAGACAGCTTTCCACGTCATGTGGCCAGATGGACTAAGCCACTTCTGGTGCAACGGAACACCATGACGAGTGCCAGAGCGCATGTGACGGGGTGAGCTCCCAGCTCCTGCCAACCTAGTAGTTCGCAAGCACGCCAGTGCAAGTAGATAAATAGGTCCTGCTGCGACAGGAAGGCAAACGGTGTCTCCATGTGCTCTGGCTTCCATCACGGTGTTCCTTTGCGCCAGAAGCGGTTTCGTCATGCTGGCCACATGACCTGGAAAGCTGTGTGTGGACAAACGCTGACTTCCTCGGCCTGAAAGCGAGATGAGTGCCACAACTCCATAGTCGCCTTTGACTTAACCGTCCAGGGGTCCTTTACCTTTTATCTTTATTTTTCTGGCTTCTGTGCCTTTGTAGTTGGAAATGTAAATCTCTGTAATTAAAAATTCAAATGACATCTTTTGCAGCTTATTTCTCAAACTTTGCAATTGTAGTTATGGCACAGAGGACGGTGAAAGGGATGGGCCAATTTGGGTCTGGAGCATAGCTGTCAACCTTCCCCTTTTTTTGCGGGAAATTCCAGTGCTGTTTCCCGCTGCTTCCCACTGCTATCCTGGATTGTTAGATATCTCGTAGACTGTCCCCGGGACAGGTGAGGCTGCTGATCCCTTATTTTCGAGGCTGCTGATCCCTTATTTTCAAATCTGAATGTTGACAGCTATGGTATGGAGAAGTGCCATCAGCTGCCACACCAAGGACAGGGTAGAGAAGCAGTGGTGGATAGGCTCTAGGCCTTGTAGCAGCAGCCCATTTCAAGGGAGTGATGGCTTGCTTTGCCACCCACCAACTGCTCCTCAAAGTGACTGGCTATGATGAAATGGACATCTCATATATTGGAAATCATGCCTTCTGTGTTTGTTCCAATGACCCCTCCACTTCTCATTAGCCTCATTTTTAAAAAAGAAAAGAAAAAACCACAGCTGCTTAAGTCAGGGAAAGTCTCTAAAGCAGCATCAGTTGCAATGCAAGAGGTTGCAGCTGGTGGAGAAAATGGTTAGACCTCTCTCTTTTTTGCAGAGAAGCACTTTTAAGTGTCCCCTAGAGGATCTTTGACTCACAGAGTCACAGAGGAGTAAACTGAATTGTAACACACTCTAAAAGTAAACCGACACTTGTTTATATAAGGTTTTATCTGTCTCTACTTTTACACTAAAAATGTTTTCAAAGAAACGTGATTTGGAAGAAAACGAATTATGTTTTGCCTCTTCGGACTGATTGTTAAGAATCCATTGGGTCAGGGGGTCGCTTTGATGTGCGTTTCCAGTGGATGGATTCCTTTCCCTTTCCATTATAGCCCAGTAATCTTCCACAAAGCTGCTTTAGAGACTTTCCTGGGGAAAGTTCAAAGGAGTCCTTGTTTAACAACACACAGAGAGATGAAAATGTCAGAGAGACAATCAAAAGTCATTCACTGGAAACAGTATTAATCATTGCGCAAAGCCAAGATGCCCTTTTCTTGACAGCAATAAAAAAAACAACACATGGATGGTGAAAGCATTTGCTGTTGCAATTTATTAGAGAGATGACTGTTGAAGATATTTCTTGCTGTAAAAACATGACACAGTTTTGTATAACAGTGGTTTTAGCAACATAGGCTACCATCCAGTGAGCCTTAAGGACGATTCTTCACTATGTACTGGACTGCAGACTACATGTCTAAATAGGGGTTATTCTACGTACCCTGAGCCTGTATTCTGCTATATCACCATTAGATGAATATGTTAACCCCAGCTGGTCAGCTCTACATTTTTGTGTGTGCAAATGAAACGAATGTTAGATTTTGCCCATACTGGGGAAATAAACTATCTTCCTACTCTGCCCTCCCCAAACACCTGAATTTTGGGCTCTCCCTACAAAACTGATTGGCGATACATATAGGATAAATAGAAGTACTTCATATATATATATATATATATATATATATATATATATATATATCCATTTTAACAATCCAATCAAATCACATTAAGTACTCCAAATTATACAAATACCTATCATATAGTCCAAATATTCTGCCAAATTATAAATTTTTGTTGGGGCTTCCCATGCTTCAAGTTCAGTGGGGCTCTAATCATCTTACGTTTCTACTGCCTTGAGTTTCCAATAGTTCCTTCTTTAAATCTTCCTGTTGTTATCCTTAAATAGAAGTACTTCTTCGCACCATGTACAATTAATTTCATAGGCCTAACTACCATAAATTGCTGTGAGGAGGGCCACTTAGCTTACGTGGTTTTAATTGATCAGGGAGAACAACTATCAGTTGAGATACCAAAATGAAATGTCATTTTAGAGACAACTGACATCTGATGGCAGATGGAGAAGAGCCCAGCCCAGGCACTGTGTATAAACTTCCCCAAACCATCTAGCAAGCCACATGACTTGGCCAAAGGACTCTGGCATTGATAGGCCTTCAGTCTAATCTAGCAGAACTCTCCTTACCTGCTATTTCAACAACACATTTCAACACAGTTCCTTTTACCAAACCATAGAAATTCTATCCCTTTTCAGAATGATAAGGCTCTAGTGCAAGCCCTATCAATGCATGCTAGATCACAGCAAGAACTAGGAGTAAGATGCTTTGTACAGCCTTGTACAGTCTTCCAAAGCAACTATTCTATTCCGAACTTCAAAATAGAAAGCATAATGCTGGTGGTCAACAAAAGAGGTTTAAAGATCTCTTAAGGCAAATCTAAAAAAAGTAGTATAAACATCGACAACTGGGAAACACTGGCCTGCGAGTGCTCCAATTGGAGAACAGCCTTTACCAAAGGTGTCATGGACTTTGAAGACGCTTGAACTCAGGACAAAAGGGAGAAATGAGCTAAGAGAAAGGCACCCTTGGCAGGCCCTCACCGTAATCAACTCCCGCCTGGAAACCTATGTCCCCACCATGGAAGGACGTGTGGATCCAGAATTGGCCTCCACAGTCACTTACGGACTCACTGTTAAGACAGTCTTCTTGGAAGACAATCTTACTTGGCTACGAATGATCACCAGAGAAGAGGAGGTTCAAGGATAATGGAAGTTGGAGCAATGGGCCAGGGCCTGTAGTTCAGTGGTACATCCCCCAATTTGCATGTCAAAGGTGCCAGGATGAATCCCCGTCACCTCCAGTTAAAAGGATCTCAGCTGACTTCTGATCTTGGAGAGCAGCTGGCAGTTGAAGGAAACTGTACTGTGCTAGATGGATCAATATGACCAAAATAGTTTCAATGGGAAGGAGCGGAAAATTTTGCCCAGGGCCAACTTATTTCCTTGGAAGATCAGTAGCACAATTCTAGTTTCCCCTAGCTATATTCTTGAAGGAGCAGGAACCCGGAAAGTATCTAATATGGTCAATCTTACTCAGCTACAAGTGATCGCCAAAGAAGAAGACGACAGCCTAAATAATCAAAAGAAGAAATTAATGTGTAAGTTAAATCAAAATCAAATGTTCAATGACTTCATTTATTTCACTATAGTAATTTAGAAACTTTGCTCTGTTTCTCTCACCACCTGCCTATGGTTTCTGTACCTCATTGTGGACCTTAAGAAAAAGAGTTAAAGGGCAAAGGAAATGGAAATAATTCTAGGCACTGTCACTGAATGAAACTTAGGCATACTTCTAAACATCACCACTTCTCAGGAACAAACCCACTGGAACTGCTTCTGGAATCATATATTTTGCCTTTAGTGAAAAATCAGATTTTTTTTGTATCCCTGCATTTGATCAATGATATTTACTGAAACGAGTTAAGTAACTAGCTGTTAATATGGTTAAGGATGTGTGCCTTTAAATCACAACTGGTACTTGTATTAAATGAGTTGTTCCAAAGAGGAGGAGAAGAACACAGATGGTGCTTTGGTAACTGTGGATTTGGCACATCACCTTTAAACAGATTGTTAGGCCAATAGTAACATCTCCTGTACGAAATGTGTTGTGTATCAAGCCTGCAAGCTTCTTAATAAACAAGGGCTTTGGGTAGAGGTTAGGAAGCACTTGTAACACGTGTACTTCAGTTTTAATGCACTGTTTGTTGGGGAGTGGGGGAAAACCATTTAAAGGAGTTAATGTCTGTTCTTCTGCTGCTTCCCCCAATGTGGCTCTACAGCTTACACACAGTACAGTGGTACCTTGGTTCTCGAACTGAATCCATTCTGGGAATCCGTTCAACTCCTGGAATGGTTAAAAAACCAAGGTGTGGCTTCCGATTGGCTGCAGGAGCTTCCTAAAGTCAAGCAGAAGCTGCGTCGGACGTTCGGCTTCCAAAAAACGTTTGCAAACCAAAACACTTACTTCTGGGTTTGTGGCGTTCGGGAGCCAAAACATACAAGTACCAAGGCGTTCGAGAACCAAGGTACAACTGTCTAATAATTGCTTCATTTGCAATGTAAAGTGCAGGGCTCAGCTCAGCGGCGTAGCGTGGGTTGTCAGCACCTGGGGCAAGGCAAGTAATTTGCGCCCCCTAACCCGGGGCAAGGCAAGCAATTTGCGCCCCCTAACCCGGGCCAAGGCAAGTAATTTGCGCCCCCTAACCCGGGGCAAGGCAAGTAATTTGCGCCCCCTAACCCGGGCCAAGGCAAGTAATTTGCGCCCCCTAACCTGCCGCCACTGCCAGCTTCTTCTTGCTGCTGCCTAGGCTGGTCTGGTGTGGTTCTCTCCTGCGCTCAGCGCTGCGCTGGGCGGCCGCTGCACTGTCCCTCCCCCAGATAGTCCCTCGCTCTCTCTCCGCACCGCACGCCTGGCACCCACCCCTCCACAGTGGGCGGCGACCCAGCGGCTCGGATCGGATTCGCACAGCCAGCACTGCAGTGAGAGAGAGTGAGCCAGGTAGGGGCAGAGAGCTGCGAGTGCGAGCGCGCCCCCCCAGATGTTGCGCTCGGTGCGGCCGGCCCCCCCTGCATCCCCCACGCTACGCCACTGGCTCAGCTGTGGGCAGAGGACCCTTAATTCCGTTGCAAGCCTTCCAACTTTAGTTGGAAGGAAATGCACCTTTCTCTGCAAATGTATGTTTCTCCTGGTAAATTTATTTCAGAATCCAGCAGGAAACTTTTGTTTGGCAGTACCAAAGCTGTCAACCTGAAATGGACATAGAAGTAGTCATTATAGTAAACCTGCTATTATAATATTACCAAAGCAATTTTACAGCTTAATTTAGACCCAAGCATGTTTACCATTGGCATCCTGCTGAATACATTAGCCTGGATTTTTGTTATTTATTTTTTTTGGTCTACTGAAATATTGTTCCAATCATTTTTTAGTAAACAGTTACATCACCGGGATTAAGTCATCCCTGACGGTGAAGTGCGCATTCCTATAGAGTGAAACAGCTGAACTAAGTTTTACTATGTTTAAGAAAAGAGACTCTATGTTGGCATTTTCCCTGCTTATTACAGTCTGAAAACATTTCTATTTAGAGGCAACGGGCTCAGTTTTATTTCAGGCAACACTCCCATAACAGTCCAGCTTTTTTTTAAGTGTCAAATTTAGCAAAGAAGTGGGGGAAGATAAAAGAGACAGAAAATCCCCCCAACAAAACAATATACGCTGTCAGTTCGCATTGAAAACATAACAGCCATCAGTACTTCTCTCTAAAATATGTAAGTTGATATAAACCCTCCAAACATCCAAATTGGTGCTTATAAAAAAATATGTTCAAATGTAGCAAGGGCAGTAAAGTCCCCAGACCATTTGGAGTCTCTTGGCAACCATAAGAGAGATTTGCCTCAGATGATAAGTCATGGGGTTGGATTTAGGATTGAACTAAAAAGGACAGGAACATTTTGCATTCTTACAAACAAACAAAAAAACCCTCTAGCCAACTGTGCAATTTATTTAATTCAATTGTTACTAATAAGTTTAAAAGCATAAAGTACAATGGATCATAGGGAATATTTTAGGGAACTGATTTTTGTTATTCACATGAAAAATATACAGTATTGCCTTAGTCTTTTCCTGCTGACTTGGCATTTTTTATCAATTTGTACATAAACGAGAAGAAGAAAAGGAGGTTGTCATACTGTCCTTCATATTTTTCTTTCAAGAATTCCTTATGATAGTCGACTAGGAAATAATAAATTGCTTCGATGGTAGACAGGTACGTCTCTGGCTTTCCTTTCTGATGACGCCAAAAGCAGGTTTTCCGCGACTTCAGTTCAATTTGCAGCAATCCTGCATTAAGAGAGGTAACGAAACGGAACATGTATGCGCTAAATTGTACATATGTCTCAAATCACCTACTGGTAACAGACTGATATAGAAGTTCTCAACCTGTGGGTCCCTAGATGTTGTTGGACTTCAACTCCCATCATCCCTAGCTAGCAAGGCCAGAGCTCAGGGATGATGGGAGTTGTAGTCCAACAACATCTGGGGACCCACAGGTTAAGAACCGTTGCCAGACGCTCTCAGGCAGAGGGGAGCTCTGGTTATAGGAAGCATGCAACTCCCTTGTTACAACAGCTCGGGTGGCTACTGGTCTGTTTCCGGGCAATCTCAAGTGTTGGTTATGGCCAAGGCTATCTGAAGGAACCTGCCCAGGCTTTTAAGATCTTTGGTCCCACCACCCTCACAGGCATGGTTGGTGGGAAGACAGAGAGGACCTGGTTGGTGGCTGCTCACAGATTTTGAAACCCCCTTTCTAGAAAAGTTAGACAGGCTCCCTTCTAGTTGCTTTTCCACTAGCACAGGCATAGGCAAACTCGACCCTCCAGATATTTTGGGAATACAACTTCCATCATCCCTAGCTAACAGGACCAGTGGTCAGGGATGATGGGAATTATAGTCTCAAAACAGCTGGAGGGCTGAATTTGCCTATGCCTGCACTAGCAGGTAGAAGCTTTTTAATTCTTTATTATCTTTTTATATAGGTTGGAAACCGCCCAGAGTGGCTGGGGCAACCCAGTCAGATGGGTAGGGTACTACTATTACTAAAAATAATACAGTGGTACCTCGGGTTACAGACGCTTCAGGTTACAGGCACTTCAGGTTACAGACTCTGCTAACCCAGAAATAGTACCTTGGGTTAAGAACTTTGCTTCAGGATGAGAACAGAAATTGTGTGGCGGCAGCAGCAGGAGGCCCCATTAGCTAAAGTGGGACCTCAGGTTAAGAACAATTTCAGGTTAAGAATGGAGCTCCAGAACAAATTAAGTTCTTAACCACTGTAATAATAAATAATAAATAATAAATAATAATAAATAATAAATAATAAATAATAAATAATAAATAATAAATAAATAATAATAATAAAATAAAATAATAATAATAATAATAATAATAATAATAAAATTATACCCCGCCCATCTGGATGGGTTTTCCCAGCCACTCTGGGCAGTTCCCAATATTAATAATAATTTTAAAAAGCAACAAAACATCAAACATTAAAAACTTCCCTAAACAGGGCTGCCTTCAGATGTCTTCTAAAAGTCAGAGAGTTGTTTATTTCCTGGACATCTGATGGGAGGGCATTCCACAGGGCAGGCGCCACAACCGAGAAGGCCCTCTACCCTCTGATGATGATCATTAATTCCAATCAGCCTTTGAGAACTGACTGTTTTTTAAGGAAAGGGTTTTAATAGTGCTGTTCTATTTTTATTACCCTTATTTCAATAGATTTGTTTCTTATATTTTTAAAATTCTACTAGAGTTTAATTACATTTTAACGTTAATCTTTTATCCTTTTGTGTTTTATCTGTGTTGTTTTGATTTGTGGAAGCTGCCTTGAGTCCCAGTACACGAAAAAGGCAGGATATAAACAAATATAACGACAATTTCATTTCTCTAATCAGGAAACCAGTCCACTTAGGGGCTGGATGCAAGGGACTGTACCTGGTGTTGGACCACAAGGCATTTAATTGCGACTAGAACCATGCCCATGTATAGCTATGGGGATCCATTGCTTCATCTGTATGGATTGTTCAATTTGTTCATGCATAGCGGTAATGAGACTGATGTGTCAAGCACATCCCTTCGATTTGCACTTTTATTAATCTGCAGCACTGGGCTTTAGAATTTGGTATTAACATACCTTGGAGCCTCTCATCTGTGATTATTTTGTTCGTTTGATTCCAGGTGCTATCAATAAATACAATTCTCTTCAACGGAGCATTTCTGCTCATGCTATGAAACTGGTGTTCGCCCAAGTCGCTTTCACTGCCTGACTCTGTTTTCGCACATTTGAGGACTGGTTCTGCTGGTGAGTCCTCGTCACAGCCAACCCTCTTCTTAGATTTGTTTTGCAAACAGAGGGGAATGTCATTTATTGAAACTGAATTAGGCCCAGGAAAGATAAGTGCAATCTAGAAGAAAAACAGACACAATGTTGGAGTTATTTGGGATGGGAGGGATCCGTGCAAGGTACCACAGCTACTAAAAAAACCCCAGAACTACCTCTCAGCACAGCATCTTCATAAACACTAATGTCAACAGGAACCAACAAAAGAGCAAGTGACAGGGCTGTAACATGATCCTCCCTCTCATAAAACATGCAGGAAAAAATGGATAGATGCAGGGCAGACTCTTTGCCTGCTCACAAGCTGGACTAACCAATTTCTCTGACACCCAGAAGCAACAACTGCTGGTGGGCAGGGTGTGTGTGTGTGTTTGTGTCACATCCTACCCACCCCTACAAAAAGTGAACTTGTCGCAGTATTATTATTATATTATATTATATTATTATATTATATATTAATTTATACCCCACCCATCTGGCTGGGTTTCCTCAGCCACTCTGGGCAGCTCCCAACAGAATATTAAAAACAATACAGCGTCAGACATTAAAAACTTCCCTAAACAAGGCTGCCTTCAGTTGTCTTTTAACAGTAAAATAGTTGTTTATTGCCTTGACATCTGCTGCGAGGGCGTTCCACAGGGCAGGTGCCACTACCGAGAAGGCCCTCTGTCTGGTCCCCTGTAACCTCACTTCTCGCAATGAGGGAACCGCCAGAAGGCCCTCAGCGCTGGATCTCAGTATCCGGGCTGAACGATGGGGGTGGAGAAGCTCCTTCAGGTATACAGGACCGAGGCCGTTTAGGGCTTTAAAAGGTCAGCACCAACACTTTGAGTTGTGCTCGGAAGTGTACTGGGAGCCAATGCAGATCTCTCAGGACCGGTGTTATGTGGTCCCGGCAGCCACTCCCAGTCACCAGTCTAGCTGCCGCATTCTGGATTAATTGCAGTTTCCGGGTCACCTTCAAAGGTAGCCCCACATAGAGCGCATTGCAGTAGTCTAAGCGGGAGATAACTAGATCATGCACCACTCTGGTGAGACAGTTTGCAGGCAGGTAGGGTCTTAGCCTGCGTACCAGGTGGAGCTGGTAGACAGCCGCCCTGGACACAGAATTAACCTGCGCCTCCAGGGTGCCTCAGAACACCTCAGAAGTCCCCATGCGGTATTCTATTCTGTCCCCCCACCAAGGGAAGTATTAAGAATTTTGCAGGCCTTCCAACTCGTCACAGAAAAATTCTCTTGAGGAAAAAGGCCTTGTGTACAGGCATTGCCTCCCTGCTCCCTCTCATCAGCTAAGAGCTCACATTCTCCTTCCTTGTTGTGGGGAAGAGATTTAGATCCAGCTCCTGCCTAATTATAATCTAGCTAGCTGGGGCAAGTCCCTATCAGGAACCTAGTCCGGGGAGACCCCAAGTTGTTCAAATGGACTAGGGCATTTAGGGCAACACCCCTGGCCTGCTTAGTTTGGTCCTCCACCAATGCTTCCTTCTACCCCGTACCCTAACCATGCCAAATCTCCTAAGAACCATCTTTCTCCACATGACTCTCAAACTCTGTGCAAGCATGGCTCTCACTGATGTCTGTTTTTAGCTTTCTGTTTTTAGATTTATATATATATGTAATTACATAGTGGGACGTGGGTGGCGCTGTGGGTTAAACCACAGAGCCAAGGACTTGCCAATCAGAAGGTTGGCGGTTCGAATCTCCCATTGCTTGGTCCCTGCTCCTGCCAACCTAGCAGTTCGAAAGCACGAAGTGCAAGTAGATAAATAGGTACTGCTCCGGCGGGAAGGTAAATGGTGTTTCCATGTGCTGCTCTGGTTTGCCAGAAGCAGCTTAGTCATGCTGGCCACATGACCCGGAAGCTGTATGCTGGCTCCATCGGCCAATAAAGCGAGATGAGCGCAGCAACCCCAGAGTCAGCCACAACTGGACGTAATGGTCAGGGGTCCCTTTACCTTTATATAATTACATAGCAGTATATAAATATTTTAATAAGTAAATGTGGAGGGCCACAGGTTAATCGTCCCTGGTGTAGACCTACGTAGGTGCATACATATCCTTCCCTCTGTAGGTAAAGTACAGTGGTGCCTCACAATACGAAATTAATTCGTTCTGCGAGTTTTTTCGTCTTGCGAGTTTTTTCGTCTTGCGAAGCACGGTTTCAATTTTTTCAAAAAAATCTTCAAAAACCTCAAAAAAGGCTACCACACCGCGTGCTATGAGTTGCTCCCCGAAGTCAAGTCGCAACTGCACCTCTTCAAGCAATGCACCCTGTATTACTGTAACGGTTTTAAGAAAAAGGAAACAAACTTGCAAGACGTTTCCGTCTTGTGAAGCAAGCCCATAGGGAAATTCGTCTCGCGAAGCAACTCAAAAAACGAAAAACTCTTTCGTCTTGCGAGTTTTTCCGTCTTGAGAGGCATTCGTCTTGCGAGGTACCACTGTATCTCCAGAGTAGATATTGTGTACATCAGGTCTTAGAAAAGCAAAAAGTATAATATCTTGCCTGTCAAATCAGGAGGAACCCAATACAAGTGGCAAATGCAATATAAAATATGGTAACTGGGCAATTGTGGTGTATAATTTAGAGAAGTGGAGAGTGGGGGAGCAAACAAGCCACTTATTTTTCCCCTTTTCTATGTGCAGAAGGGATTCCGAACTCCAGGTGAGCCCTGATATTCTCTTTGTGGAAATTTGGAACACTAGCAGCATTGTGGATTTCATAGGCATAAGCAAGAAGGAAAGAGGAAGGAAAAAATCAAGTATCTCCCCCATGCTACGTCTAAACAACCCCTTACTTCGTGTCTCATTCCTTCGTAGTCTGGAATACAAGGATATGTGTAAATGGTAACTTCTTCGGGCGCCAGGAGCTTGGCATGTACAGCTGTGCTTTTGCCATCCGTTTCATTGGGATGCTTAATGATGTCAATTTTCAATGGAAGCTGCAACCAAGAGCACAAGTACATATATAGAAGAAAAGGCACTCCCCATTCCATTTCATAAGAAAAAGTAAGTAACTGGCTGAACATTTTGCATTTGGGTACAGGCAGCAGAGGGGACGCGGGTGGCGCTATGGGTTAAACCACAGAGCCTAGGACTTGCCGATCAGAAGGTCAGCAGTTTGAATCCCCGCAACAGGGTGAGCTCCCGTTGCTCGGTCCCTGCTCCTGCCAACCTAGCAGTTCGAAAGCACGTCAAAGTGCAAGTAGATAAATAGGTACCGCTCCGGCGGGAAGGTAAATGGCGTTTCCGTGCTCTGCTCTGGTTCACCAGAAGCAGCTTAGTCATGCTGGCCACATGATCCAGAAGCTGTACGCCGGCTCCCTCGGCCAATAAAGTGAGATGAGTGCCGCAACCCCAGAGTCGGTCACGACTGGACCTAATGGTCAGGGGTCCCTTTACCTTTACCTTACAGGCAGCAGTGCACAAGATACACACACTTTGCATCAGTGCATATTAAAAATCACTGCTTTCCTCAGCAGATCTGCTTAAAGCAGTGGGAACACACAATGACCAGACAACTTCCACCAAAATAAATTGTTTCTGAGCCCTATGGGTCAAAGCAGCAGGGTGCAGACTGACTGAATGAAATATGTTACTGCCTTTTACCCAACCTACTCTAACTGGAGGTCATCTCCAAGGTCTCAGAAAGACAACTTTCCTATTAAAAAGGACCTTGGATAGCAACTGATTTGCAGTACTAGGGATTCCATCTGGAATCAGGGGCCCCTCTTCTTCTTGTACCACTAGAGTTTGGCAAGCCTGTAGCAAGCTCTGAAGAAAAACAGAGTTTTGGGTTGCCGCAGCTTGTTTTTAAAACTATATTGCAAAAACATGAGTCTCACTTCATTCTTCCCCAGTTCGTTTATTAGAATGATTCACTGTGACCAAAACTTGCTAAAATTGACAAATTAGATCAAAAATAAGATATATCTTGCACTAACCTTCACAACAGGAATTTCTCCAGTGGGAACAGTTTCAACTGGAACATAGCATGTGTAACAATAGAACATCCTTGAACTATTACATCTGGGACATTTTGATCTCCCTTGTTTTGGGGCTCTTTCAAGAACAGTCTGAGGCGCTAGATGCAGGTTTTCAAGTGGTGTTTCCTGCAACATCGACGTAGTCTGTGAATCTAAACTATTCAGGCCTTCAAAATTTCTTTTTATTCCCTGGTGGCTCTTTTGGTCATCTTCTGAAATCACAGGTGAATTGAAAGACATCTTACTTTCAAGTAATATCCTTGGACCTGTTACAGGGAGAATAAAAATCACAGCGGCTTTCAACAAGGGCCAATTTTCACAGAAACATTTTGACAGTCACAGCAAAACTTTTATGATTTTAGATCAACTTAAGTCAATGGCTATTTTGATTTTAAAAAACAAAAACAAAAAACTAGGGGTGCTTTTCGAAGGTCTTCTTTTTTGGAACACTTTATGGTGGGACATATCTTCTGAGGACTGGGTACAAGATTGCAGTCTTAATGTCTTCCCGATGACTGCAAGTTTCACATACACGTATCTTTGGGGGGGAAAACGTGTATTTAATTTAGTACATTTGTTTAGTGCTGACTGGGCCTGCCAAAAAGCCAGATTCAGCTTCTGATGTGACACCGCTAGCCTGCATTTAGGTTGGTTTGCAGTGGAGTGTGCAAAACACCTAATTCAATGCATGACAGTGGCTTAGGAGGAATATTGGAAGCTGCCTGATACAGAGTCAGGCCACTGGACCATAGCTCAGTACTGCCTGCAATGATTGGCAGAGTCTCTCCCTAGCCCTACTTAGAGACTGTCTGCATTTAAAGCAAACACTCTGGCCAGTGAGCTACAGTCCTTCTTCCCCACATTGGGCCATAAGGTAATCCAATGGAAAGCAGGATCTACCTTTTGTCCCACATCTCTCATAGGCAGATTTTGAGAATTATCTCCTGCTTAAGCCTTGGTTGTTAAACATCTGCTTCTCAATAGTTTAAATATCTGCTTCTCTAGGGTTTTAATTCTAGGGCCCAACTGATGAGTACAACACAGTAGTTTCCTACACTGATATGACAATGTGTTTTTAAAAAAAACCAATTTAGCTGTATTTGTAAATGTATTTTGCTGGGCTTCTTATGTTACTGTATTCTTATTTCCTAAGTCACTTAAGGGCCTTAGTGGGCCAGGTGGTGGGAAAACACTTAAAAACAAATAGGTAACTAGGTAGACAGACACTTATGCATAAATATGAATACATTAAGGTGCTTATCTTGAATGGCCGAGACAAAATTACAGATAAGCAGGTTATTTAGCCTATAACAGTGCAATCTTATATATGTTTACTCAGAAATAAGACCCACTGAGTTCAGTGGGGTGGCTTCGCTCCAGGTAAATGCATGTACCACAACCCAAACCTTTGGAAAAGTCAAGTAGCCCTACAAATGCAAAAACAAAGCAATTATAACATTTTCTCTGTAAACATTGTCCACGGAACATTGCTAGTTTATATATTTTGCCAACCGTCTGGAGTTAACATTTGTAATGGCTGTTTATGTAGTGGTACTTTTTAAAGAAAGCGATAACTTTCCAGCTTCACAAAACTTGGAACCGTCACTTTTCTTGGTGGAAGAACACAGCAACGGTACTAAATTTGTTTTTGTTGTTTTCATGTAACAAACCTCACTTCCAATTTGCAGTTTTAGTGCTTTCTCCTCCTGAATGGGGGGAAAAATTGAGTCCGTTTACTCTGGAAAGCTTGCAAAGTGTGCGAAGAAAGCATCTCAGGTTTGGGCTAAAACCTTCTAACCACGCAGATTCCTCAGCGAGAGAGCAGGAAGTTATTTTAATTTGTTATGCATTCCCAGCCTACAAACTGATTCGTTTTACTATAATGTCTCATGGCAGATTGGTGTTTAAATCTGAAGCCCCAAAGGGCTGTCATTGAGACCATACGGGTGAACGCTGCTAACAAAGGAAAGGCAAAAACTTCCACAGTCTCCTGAAAATGTACCTGCAAAGTTGTCACTCTGAATTTACATTGCTTGAGACAAGTTAACATATGCAGCACCTATGCCACACATTACATGGAGGGAGGGGGATATGCGCACAGGCGTATGAAACTAAGACCGTGCAGGTTTCTTCCCATGAACCATCTCAGTTGTGTTCAAGCTAGTTCTTTCTTCACTCAGAGCACAGAGGTTCTGGCACAAGGTATTGTACATAGGGTGGTCAGATGCAAAATACATCACCTAACTTCTGAAGGTACAGGAACCTTTTTGGATTTTTGCAACAAGCCACCCAGATTCTAATGCACTCCATTAGCCATATATATCCATATATATCCATAGTGGATACTGCTGACAACAGGAAAGGCGACATCTCTGTGATCTCATGGAAAAGTACAGTGGTACCTTGGTTCTCAAACACCTTGGTACTCAAACACCTTGGTTCCCAAACTCCGAAAACTCGCAAGAGTTCCGGTTTTCAAATGTTTTTTGGAAGCTGAATGTCCAATGCAGCTGTCGAATATTGTTTCCGGGGCGCCTGCACCAATCACAAGCTGCACCTTGATTTTCGAACATATCGGAAGTCAAACAGACTTCCAGAATGGATTAAGTTTGGCGCTTTTTGTTTTTATTATTTATTTTGCGTTTTTGTTTTTGAGGCTTTTTCGGTTCATTTGTTTTTGTGACTGTGTGGAACCCAGTTCAGCTACTGATTGATTGATTGTGTGACTGCGGGAATGGATAAAAGCCCCCCATCCAAACAATGACTATTATCAGTGCAGGTAAGAAAAAAAATTAATTGTAGTTTTTATCATCTACAATACTGTCTTATTTTATAGTACAGTACATTGATTATTGCTTTCATTTTATGCATCAATGGTCTCGTTAGATAATTTATGTTAAATTGCTGTTTTAGGGGTTGTTTTTAAAAGTCTGAAACAGATTAATCCGTTTTGCATTACTTTCTATGAGAAAGGATGCTTTGGTTTTGGAATGGACTTCCGGAACGGATGAAGTTTGAGAACCAAGGTATCACTGTACCTGCAAAGTTGAGCAAATAAATTACATCTTTCACATTTTGTCAGTGGAACTCAGGCACATCTTGTATTAATGAATGCTTCATTCCAACTGCTGATCACAGTCGCAAATTTCTGGCCAAGAACCTTAAAGCCAAGTTGGATCACTGTTACTTGGACTGCATACACACTACAGTGGTACCTCAGGTTAAGTACTTAATTCGTTCCGGAGGTCCGTTCTTAACCTGAAACTGTTCTTAACCTGAAGCACCACTTTAGCTAATGGGGCCTCCTGCTGCTGCCAGAGGACGATTTCTGTTCTCATCCTGAAGCAAAGTTCTTAACCCGAGGTACTATTTCTGGGTTAGCGGAGTCTGTAACCTGAAGCGTATGTAACCCAAGGTACCACTGTATACCTTTAAAGCACATTTCTCCCCTCAAATAATTCTTGGCACTGTAGTTTGTCAACAGGTTGCTGGGAATTGTAACAATAAAAGAGGTAAATACATTGCCCAGAATTCTTTTTTTTTGGGGGGGGGGTAGGGAGATGCACTTCAAATGTGTTTTAATGGTGCAGTGTGTATGCAGGTCCATAACCATTACCAAGATTTCTTAGCTGATATTTAAAATGACAGATTCCACTTCTAAGTCTCCCTCCTCCAATTCAACACCAGCCCAACTTGTGGATTGCACTAATACCACACACAGGAAATATAAGATCATGCCTTTCTCACAGATGCTGGAAGTACTTGCTGCTTTCTAAAATCAAGCAGTTCAGCAACTAGGAAAGTACAACTGAGGATCATTCTACAACATTTTGAGAAAATGCGGGAAGGGGAAGAAATGACTTCCACATGTTCAGGAACCACACTGGTAATTCACTGGAGTGGTACAATAACTGGGTGTTGTTTGCAACCCAAGGAGATCAAAGCAGTTGGAGAATTCTGATTTCCCCCAGTGACCCAGTCCTTATCTTCATTGTATCTTGTTGCCTACTCAAATCATCCCTGATCACTGGTTCTGCTAGCCAGGAATGATGGGAGTTGTAGTCTAACAACAGATGAGGACCTGAAGTTGAGAAAGGTTGATCTATTCAATGTGTGCTCTGTTGTTATAAACACAGCCTTAAGTGACTGGAGAGTAAGCAAATACTGTATTCTTGCAGTTGAGGAGACTCCAGGTTTTCATTTTGCCTCATAACAAAGTTGAGGCATCACATCGACTAGATGCCCAAGGTCAAGTTGTCTGAAAACCTGTGCCCATATTGCTTTAAGCTCCAAAACACATCTTTGCTTAACTTTATTAAGAACTAAGGCCTACATGCATTTCCTTGAGGGTAAATCCTACAGGGTGATCAACACTCTAAAATCAAACTGTAAACCTGCAAGCCCAGGAGAAGTACATTGTTCTTCACCAAAATTACTGGGGCCTGCTTGCTCTAAAAGCACCATTTCGATTTTAAGGCCACAATCCTATGCGTACTTACCTTAGAATAAACCTCAATGAAAACAATGGGTAAACACATGCTTGCTCGAAAGTAAGTTCCATATTGGATCCATCAGAACTTTCGAATGAATGCATTCTATGTTTTGCATCACTGCTCTCTCTTTTTTTGGTATATAATTTTATTAAGTTTTCTGTTTTACAATTTAAAATACTCCTTTTACATCCTTAAGACATCAATGACTTCCCTTCTTCTCTTTCCATGGTTCATTTTACATATACTAAATCCCTGCATACAAGAAGTGAGGTTACAGGAAACCAGGCAGAGGGCCTTCTCAGTAGTGGTGCCTGCCCTGTGTTGCGCCCTCCCATCAGATGTCAAGGAAATAAACAACTACCTGACTTTTAGAACACATCTGAAGGCAGCCCTGTTTAGGGAAGTTTTTAAAGTTTCATCGTTTATCATGTTTTTAATATTCTGTTGGGAACCACCCAGAGTGGCTGGGGAAACCCAGCCAGATGGGTGGGGTATAAATAATAATAATAATAATAATTACAAAAACTATACCGTTCAGTATTCCATTACTGCATCCATCAAATCTTGTTTACACTTTGTCAGCTCTTAAGCTGATCGCTCGCACTGCGTTTTTATTATGATGATTATTGCTGTGCGTTCCTGTTGTAAATTGGTGCGAATACAAAACAACAACTGTTACGATCTCACACATTACTATCGCTTTTGTTAAACCATGCACAGGATCGGGCAAAGAAGCAACTTGGGAGAGGGTCCGAGGAAGAACCTCGGGGGGGGGGACAAGGAAAACCTCCATTGCCCTCCCCTCCTTAATGGGAGATCTTCGGGGCCTCCAACCCCCCCCCGCACTCCCCCCCCGGATCCCCAAATAAATAGAGAGCAGCACTTCGGTCTCGTTACAACGAGCACCCCTTTCCCGAAGAAAAGGGAAGCCAACCTACTTTTTGCAAAGCCTAGGGGTTCTTCCCTCCGCCTCCTCAAGGTTGGGGGGGGTGTCAGTCACAGCCACTGCACCGTAGAAAACGACGTCTGTCTCCGCTACCACCGCGTTGCAGCAGCAGCCGCCGCCGCACAAACACCCACACCCGGAAACGTGCGTGTATAATCTTTGCGTAGCTAAATATATATATATTTGTCGAGATACCTGCCTCGAGGTCGGAACTCAAGTGCCGGGGCCAGCGGGGAAGGCCGGAAGGATTTGAGGTGGAGGACGGAGGGCGACGGGGGACGGTTGCTAAGGCGACGTAGCAACGCCGAGAACGGACTTCCGCCACGGGCGGCGGAAAGAGGCGCTGACTGGGAAAAGGGGGTCGTGCGCAAAGGGCTCCATGGCTGCCTCAGAGAGCAGTACGGCGCCCACAAAGGTCGGGGGGTTAATATAAGCCTTTCTTTGAATTGAAGTACCTCCTGAAAGGCATAACAGCGCGCATGTTTACTCAAAAAGCCCCTCTCCCTCTGTTCCATGGGACTTGCTCCGGGTAAATGCGCACATCTGACTTCTTTAGGACCAAGTGAGTGGAACATGCTGTGGAAAGTGGAAAGTGAGACCAGTGAAGGAACATGCTTAGGATTGGGCCATGGGCCTAGTCAAGGGGTGGGGCAGATGCTGCCCTAAATCCTCAAAATAATAATAATTATTATTATTTTTCAGTTAAGGTAAAAGGTAAAGGGACCCCTGACCATTAGGTCCAGTCATGGCCGACTCTGGGGTTGCGGCTCTCATCTCGCTTTATTGGCCAAGGGAGCCGGCGTACAGCTTCCGGGTCATGTGGCCAGCATGACTAAGCCTCTTTTGGCGAACTAGAGCAGTGCATGGAAACGCCGTTTACCTTTTCGCCAGAGCGGTACCTATTTAACTACTTGCACTTTGACATGCTTTTGAACTGCTAGCTTGGCAGGAGCAGGGACTGAGCAACAGGAGCTCACCCCGTCACGGGGATTCGAACCACTGACCTTCTGATCGGCAAGTCCTAGGCTCTGTGGTTTAACCCACAGTGCCTATTTTTTATTTTTTATTTTAGCCTCATTATAACAATACCAAAAGGGATGCGGGTGGTGCTGTGGGTTAAACCACAGAGCCTAGGGCTTGCCAATCAGAAGGTCGGCGGTTCGAATCCCTGCAGTGGGGTGAGCGCCCGTTGACCCAGAAGCTGTACACCGGCTCCCTCGGCCAATAAAGCGAGATAAGCGCCGCAACCCCAGAGTTGTCCGTGACTGGACCTAATGGTCAGGGGTCCGTTTACTTTTTATAGCAATACCAATTTCTTCTTTATCTTCTTCTTCTTCTTCTTCTTCTTTTTCTTCTTCCTCTTCCTCTTCCTCTTCAGCGATCACTCATAGCCAAGTAACAATTGTCTTCCATAAACACAGTTTTAACAGTGAGTCCGTAAGTGACTGTGGAGGCCAATTCTGGATCCCCATGTCCTTCCACAGTGGGGTCATTGGTTCCGGGCGGGAGTTGATCACGGTGTGGATTTGCCAAGCGTGCTTTCCTCTTAGCACATTTCTCCCTTGCGTCCTGAGTTCGAGTGTCTTCAAAGCCCATGACACCTTTGGTAAAGGCTGTTCTCCAACTGGAGCGCTCGCAGGCCAGTGTTTCCCAGTTGTCAGTGTTTATACTACATTTTTTTAGATTTGCCTTGAGACAGTCTTTAAAGTTTAAACCTCTTGACTAATAACAATCATTGAAATACTGAATTATATAATTTAGATACCCCCACATGGTAGAATTGATGGTTTGATGATTTTCTTTATTTCTGCATTCCAAAATCTTATTAATTTAAATTACAGTCATAATAATAAGGACATGACCGGGGAGAGGGGGCACAACCTCAGTTAATTAATCCTCAAAAATTATTAGCTGAGGTTCTGCCCCCCTAAAAAACGCTCAATAGCTTTTGGAAATACTCTTCCCAAAAAACGCTCAATAACTTTTTGGTTCCACCCACTAACACAAATCTTGGCTACTCCCATGGATTGGACTGCTAATAGATGCCTGTTCCCATGTGAGGGGGCTTGCTGCCTAGTAAACGAATGCATCCCATAAATACAGTGCTTTTTTAATAGAAAAAAAGTGGTGGTACTCGCCATTAAGTTGTTACAGTCCTTTTAACATGAGTAACCCCACCCCCCGGGGCGGGGGGAACCCTGCAGAAATATATATGACTAAGAGCTATTCTGGGATCGGTAGTTGCAGATTTCCTGCTGTGAAAACGAGCAATTTAGTGGTAGCACTTTGGATATGTTTTGTTTGCTAGAAATAATTTTTACACATATAACATCTGCCACATGCGGAGTGGGGTGGGGGTATTGTGCACCAGGTTGTGAGACCAATAAGTGTGCAGCTTCTTTTTTTAACCATCTCAGTAGTCCAGTTTATTTTATTTCTATTGGATTTGTTTACAGAAAGTAACTCAAAGTGGCTTACACAATAATTGTGTACAAACCAGCTCATTTTTGCATTGGGAGGATCTCTTCTCTAGCTGTTAAATGGAAGGAAAAACGACAGCTAGATGCTTTTGGCTTTTATGCCTTTTGATGGATCGGAACTGCAGCCAGAATGTAAAAGGCAATGTTTCAATCTATGTCTTGTATTTGGTATAATATTTTATGGCCAGTAGCATGTTATACACCCATTTCCCCTCTGGCACAGAGCAGCTTCCTTTCTTATACTAAAAACCCATACTTAGGGCCATTATGGCTGTTGTCTGGCTACTTGAACAATGAAATCTTTCATTAGATTCCACCCACCTCAAAAACAAAACAAAAGCACCTCACAACAATATTGTGGCAAGCTGAAACATGACTTTGGCATGACTTAACCTGATTTTTGGCATGATGGGTCCAAACTGTGCCAATTTGGACACCTCTGAATACATCCCCAACTCTTTTGGATGGGGCATTGCCAGATTTGGTGTAATGGGCCAGACCTGCGCCAAGCTGGATGGCTCTGAAGGTATTGTCGCCTAATTTGGTCTGATGGTTCCCAAGGGGGAGCCAGTGCTCTTAGTCTACATTTGGATGCCAGGCATCATTTTGAAACAAGGTGGTGGACTGAAATGTGACTTTGGCATGACATTACCCAATTTGGCGTGACGATTACAAGCAAGGCTTTCCAAGGTGGAAATGGTGTTTTGTGACCATATTTGGATGCTGTTGGATGCACAGAACCCTCTGTGTGTGCGCACAGCCCTTTTAAAAATCAGAATTTTCTTTGTTTTTTAAAAATTAAATTCCTAGGCAGCACCAGGCATTCCCCATTAGTGCATTCATACTTTGTGATTCCCAGCAACTGGTATAGTGAGGCATAGTACCACTGGCAGTGGAGGTAGAAACATAAGCTCTGGGAGTGGTTGATGCATTTGAACCTCAAATAAGAATAAGGATTCCCAGCTTGGGTGGCTGTGTAAACCAGTCTTGTATCACTCCTTTCTTGTTAGTCTTCTGCATAATTTCTTGTGTTCCTTTATTTTCAGTGTTATCTATTCAGTGTAATGCCTCCCTCTTTCATATACTAATTATCAAAACCCAGCAGTAGACATCACAGACTTACTGTTGCTAAATTGAGCACCTAATATTTCTTTTACTGGCATGCACTATTTATGGAGGGTTTCTTTTGTAATACAAATGTATCTTTGTTTCTAGGCAGTGCCACAGCCTCCTCGCACATTTGAAGAATTTTTAGTCTCTCAGAAGTTGGTAGGTAGTTTTTAAAAATAATAATACCCGTATGTTTGTGGGGGGAGGGGGGTTAGGTCTGGGGAGAACAAAGTTTTGAGCAAGGACCTTACAAATGTATACCCTGAGAAACAAGTTTAAATGAGGATTGCATTTCAAGCCCTCAGGCAGTGGAATGTAAGAACAGTGCAGAATTGGAAAAGCTTACATAGAAAGGCACTCCTGTGGTTATTTTACATTTTTCATATGCAAGTTTTGGAAGAAATGTAGATGTTGTTACCCATTTGTTTTTTGGAACTTACGCTTTAGTGATTTCATTGCCTTACATTTTGTCCGATTTTACCATTGTGATATATTCAATAGAGTGCTAGACCTGAACAAGGGAGAACCAGGGTTCAAATCCTCTCTCTGCCATAAAGGTCACTGAGTGTGCAGCTTTGGATAACTCACTTTCTCTTACCTAACCTACATTACACAACACATAGTTGGGACTTTGAAATTTTTTGCTACTGCAAGATGAAGTGATAGCTGCCTACTTAGAGACCTTTAGATGTCCTGGGTCCCACTCAGTGTTGAAGTCAGGTGGTTGTTTCTACCAATATCTTGAATACTCATATCATGTGATACATAGGCAAAATGATGATCCAAAGCACAGCTAGTTCTACACATGACTACACAAGCAAAGACGTTGATCCAACAACAACACCCCTGGTGTGAGCACAACTTGGCACGGCAATCAGTTCTGGTCTTTAGACTGGGCAAGCGACGTGGCACTTCTCCAAGAAGGATGTAGCTGCCTCATCTGTTCATGCTGGCACTGGTGTCTCTGTAACCTAGGCAATGGAGGAAGCATCACTGCCTCATTGGAGGCAAATGGGACAGGTGCGGCAGTAACCTCCCTTGGAGAGGCAGGATTAGATGTGGTTTCTGACAACTCCAGAGGCAGAATTGGTGGCATGAAAGGCAAAGTGGGTGAGCTGGAACCAGCCTCTGACAGCTTTGGAGGGGCAGCCCATATCTTGCACTGCGGAGGCTAATGGGAAGATGGAATGGGGCAACAGACCCCGCCACCATCACAAGAACCCTCTCCAGCATCCTCTTCCTTGGGCTCTCCTGACCCAGCCAGAGACCTTCCCAGCCTACTAGATCCTTACCCAGAGTTATCTATTTGCTGCTACTCTGTTCTCTGACTCAACCAACCCCCCACGCCCAGGCCCATGACAGAGGCTTAAAGAAATTCATGCAAGATAAAGATAACAATGGATAATGCTCACAATAGATATGAATCTTATGCAGTATGCTTCTGAATGCTAGTTGCCAGGGATCAAAAGCAGGAGAGAGCAGTTCTGCTCATGTCCTGCTTGTGGGCTTCCCATAGGCATCTCGTTGGCCACCCTGAGGAACAGAATGTCCAACTAATCAGGTCTTTGTGCTGATCTATTCACCAGTGCTTTTCTTATGTTTGTTGTGAAGATAAAATGTGATAACTCTATTTAAGAAATCCTGAGCTCTGCAGAAGAAAGATCAGATAAAGATGTATAACTTCTCTCCCTCCCCATAATTTTTATTATTTTTTCCCAAATATCTTAAACA